GAGTCAACATTATTATATTTTTTCCCTGCGAAAATATAACTCACTATTGTTTCACCTGTTGCGTCCAAATGAATTCTAATTTTGATTTGGTTGAAAATGGATAGGTCTGACATAGTTTTAAAAAAATATTCGGACTCAATTCTTTATTCGTATAAATAGTAACTTTAATTTTTATATCTTTTAAGTATTTGCATATCTATATTTGTACCTAATAATTATATTTGTTTTAAAAAAATATTTAAAAAAATATATATTTATATAACTTTATATAAGTAATATAATAATACAAAAATTTAATGCATAATTGTCAAATAAAATTTAAGTATAAATAGCAAACAAATATTTAAATATTACTAGTGTTAAATGTATCTTAATACAATCATTTTCTAAATAAAAATATTTAAAAATTATAAGCATAATTAAACACATAAATAATTTATTAACAATAACTTTGTCTTGCGTAAGACTCGATCGAATAACGATAATACTAAATTGGGAAAGTGACAAGATGAATCTACATAATAAGTAGCCAAATACTAAATGACAATGAAAAATTGATACATAACATTTTTTTTAATTTTTTAATTTGAAATTAAAAGAAAAATAATATATTTAATTAAAATAATATAACATAATTAATATATATATATATATACTCGAATTTTTAATCTGGAGTATTTTGTCAAAAATAAAAATTTATTTAAAATTTATTAAAATTAAATATTTATAATATATATAAATTTAAAAAAAAAAAATTTGAATAAAAGATAAATGATTACAATTAAATCTTGTAATAAAAAAATATGTGTATATAAAAAAATTAAACTTTTTTATTCGAAGAAAAATTTATTTAATAGGTAAATTGTAATAAAAATATATATAAACTCAGTAAAACAAAAAAAAATAACAATATTTTTATATTTTACAAAAACTTCTTTAAATATAAATAAATCATAAAAATAATATTATTTAGATTTCAATAGATTATACTTATGCTTGCAACGTTTGTATAAAAAATATTATTTTAAATTAAAATAAATAAAATAAAATTTAAATATTATCAATAACTAATAAATTTACTTAACAGAAAGTGATTATAAAATTTATAAATTATTTACAATATTTATTATTTATCATTCATTTTATAATTTAAATATTAATATAATTTCTTTACAGCAAATACTTTGTTTTCATTAGTATCCATTGAACTCCCCATTTCTCAGCATTCATGTTGCTGTGAAGGGTTTCTGGCATCTGTTATTTCTAGTCTCAATTCCTGTTACTCTCTTCATTCAATCATCCAATTTGTAAATCCAAGGAGATAAAGAATGTTTCAAGAAAGTGATTGAAGAAGTATAAAAGAGATAAAAGTAATTTCATGAAAAAGAAAAGAGAGAGGTGTATTTAAACAAAAAATGGAAGTGTAAAAAGCAGTGACTTTTTTTTTTTTCGAAGTTCACGATTAACTCCTTAGACCAGGCTTGGTCATTATAATGGTAGAATTCTAGCAATGTGGGCCTATTTTACTATAGATTGGTTTGATCAAGCCCAAAACAACTGTTACAATGTAGCAAGCCCAAAAACAAAATTACTTTTTTTTTTGTATTTAGAGTTTCTAATATTGTTAAATTATGTTTAGTTTTGAGTTTGTATGTTTTTTTTTGTTTATTTACTGTGAAAAGTTGTAATATTTTTATTATTTAATATTCTTTAATTGTAAGTACAGTTAGACATTTAATCTAGGAACCTTTTGAAAATATAAAATTAATCTTTCTAACAGCACTCACTTAAAAAGGGCAATGGTCCTGTACCTAATTACACCATACTGAAAATATCAGTTTCTATTATCTCGCATGGTTAATACTTATGGTGTTAGGGAAAAAAAAAGGATATTATTTTGTTGCAGGACTTTCACACAAGAATTCCATTATATTATTGAAGGCTTAAAACTTAGAACAAGCAAAGAAGAATTACGAGTGGACCACATCATTTTCAGAAAAGGTTCCCACAAAATGAAAATTACCTATAATCCTTGCAACACTGTTTATTGGGCCACTGATTTAAACGAGTGGGACATTGTGCTGTAGACAGAGGTACAGATTTTGGATTTAGAATAGATGGCATTACGCCAAACTCTTGTTTGATACGTTCCACGTAAACAGAGAGAAAAACACACTAACTTAAAAAGTGGGTCACATATATAATATTTTTATTTTCGCATAACTTGATCATATAAAAACTTCATTTAAGAAAATTAATTTAATTTCATGTGAGCCACACATATGGGTAAAGTTTGGGCACAAAAGTAGAGTCGAGAGTCACGAGTCACGTGGTTCATCCAATCAAAGCCTGCGTTTGCGTCCCACCTCGCAGCTGAACCGACAGGCACGGACCAATTGAAGGAATGAGAAATCCATACAATCAATAAACCCATATCTTCTCCTTAATTTTTGTTCAAGTTTTACAATTTAAGGAATTTTTTTTCTACATAGTATTTAAAAATAAAAAAATGATTTTTTAGATATTAAAGTAAAAATATATATCATTGAAGATTTTTAAATTTTTTTTATATTTTTGTATTTTTTAAAGATATCTCAATTTTTTCATAGAAAAATTGCAATTTAAACTGTAATAATTTTTGTCAGTTGAGTTGATCTATATATTTAATAATAATGTTAAATTTTTTTATTACATTTCATTTGTTTTAAAAAATTAAATATTTAAAATCAAAATATGTATATGTTTCGGTCAAGTGTTTGATTATTTTTCAATAAAAGACAATTTAAATAATCAAATCACAAGAAATTAATAAATAAAATAATATTTTTTCATCACTAATTTGAGGATGTATTACGACAGAAATAATACCAAAGCAAAATTTATTTATTTATAAATAATTTTGACAAATAAATTACAGTTGAAATGTAAATATAATTAGGATACGAGCGTGAAAATTATCTTCACACGTATAATTAATTTTAAAAAGGAAATTTTTTATCATACGCATGTAAGTTAAAATAGTGTAGACCCATATTTTAATTACTCAACATACCCATGTCATTTTAAAAAAAATGCAGAATAGTTGAATGTAATTTACTAAAAACTGATTATAAAATGAAAAAATAGAGTCGGGGAAAAGAATAAAAAAAATGGGGAAAATTCAAAGAAAGCGCCCTCATCTGAGAGAGAACTTGCCATACAACACCCTATATAACGACAACGGAGACATTATTTTCTCGAGAAAGTGACAGAAAATCTTCAGGAACCCCACATTTATTTTTGAAGGAGTAGCGGTAATAATATTACTTAGAATAACATCCTATGAAAATTAAATCTCAGACACAGTGGCTAATAAATGATGAATGGAAGCCTCATGGAAGAGAAGAGAATGCATGTGCCGATATAGTTGCCATAAACTATGGTTCTTTCAAGTTTCCATGTGAGAGCTCTCTCTATGTCTACCTCTCTCTCTATATATTAAACAAATGATGATTAAATTATTTTGTTGCAAATTGCATGCTGAAGAACTGGACATAAACATGCCATAAAAAAAGAGAGAAATGAAAGCAGACAACATTAAAAATTTCAACTCTTCAAATTACAATTGAAAGGAATAGAAAAAAAAACATTTTAGTTGACTGCTTCATGAAACCAGTTACACCCCCAATACGAAAAAGCATATATATAATATTTACATCTTCGATGCACGTGTTAGTTAATTTTTCGTTACTATGAAAAAAAAGAACTCAACTTTGTGTTGAGATCTGAAATGTACAGCTACGTGAACAACTCACCCAACGTGGCTACCATTATCCCAGCAATTTTGACTTCTTAGTTCTTACAAGGAGACTCGTGTTTTGATATTAAGAAACAAGCGTATATTACATTTTCTAATTTTCTCCCTTGGGATTTACTGTAATTGTTCGTTTAAAAATAATCTAAATTTATGAATAAAAAAGAAATAGATGAAATCTTCAAACTGGTCTTTTATAAATTAGTGTATCATCACATTATTTTTTAATTTTTTATTAAATTAATTCTTCAAAATATAAAAAATACTCCCAAAATTATTTTCCAAAAACTTCTTAAATGGGTAACATAAAAATCAAGGTGGTAATATTTTCATATGAACTACTTTTATACACAAAAATAAAATTAATATGACAACACATTAATTTTTAAAAAATCAATTTAAAGGTTTATTTAAAAAATATAAACAATATAAGTTCTTTAAGAAATGTATGGCTTTGATGGTCCAAGTCATCCAGTAAACTGAGTATGCGTCGCACACGAAAAATAAAGAGTTGTGTAATTTACGCAATAAACTCAAACATTTGTCTTTTATAATATAAAGTTTTTATCATAACAAATATTATTATTATTATTATTATAAATTTAGTTTCTCTTAGATAAAGTGGTTTTGAATTCGAACAGTTCACTTTTGAATTTGTCCTGTGTGGTCTGTTTGCAAACAGGAAACCATGGACCATGTTCGGGTCAAGACAATTCTGTCACGCCAAATTCATCAGCTACGTGTCTACGTTTATTTTCTCTATAAAGCTCCTAAACAAAATGATTATTGACTCACGTTGTTTTTGGCTTTCCAACACAAAGAATAAACCACTTTTACGAAAGTTTAAAAAAAAATAAAAATAAAAAACCACAGCAGGGGACAATCAAAGCAGAGGAGCTAAAAAGAAAAGGAGAAAAAAAAAAGACTCAAGAAATTTCTTTTCAAGGGAAATAATACATATATGATTAACAAGTTTTGATATTATTTTTTATGACATTTATTCATTTATATGATTTAACAACGTTGCAGATTGTGACCTTATCCTCTGTCCTCTCTGCAATGAATCAGCAATGGGGACAATGATTGAATGCCAGCCTTCAATGAGTAAAAAGCCAAAACAGAATTTATCAAACTCAGGAAATTAGAACACCCTTAAGATCCAACAATGGTTTTCTTTTCAATGAATAACACAATAAACAAATCTCTCTCTTGACTTTCATGATGCGATAAACAGCGAAAGAAGCCATTTTTCTCAGCCGACAACACAAAAAAGAGTCATCACAGGGTGCAGAAGGAAGGGAAGTAGAAGGCCTTGAAAAATGGGAAGCACAAAACCATTCAAAGAAAAATCTCTTTCCCTCACTAAGAGAATTCTTCCCTTCTCTCTATATGCTCTTCTTCCCACAACTCTGCTTTGTATATACCTCTACCTTCTCTCCCTTACTTCACATTCCAAATCCACCACCAGCCTCACCTACCACCCTTCACTTACTTCTCCTACCCCTTCTACTTCCCCTCCTCCTCCTCCTTCTTCTTCTACAGGTATATATATATATATATATATATATATATGCTAATTATACACATGCATCATTTCATCTTGTTAAAGCTTAAAACTATAAAATTGCAAGTTACTTTAGTTTTGTTTTGCCTTGAATTAAGGGCACGTTAGTTTACTAGACTTAATTTTTTTATATATATATTTTTTCTTTTGTAGAAAAGGAGAAAACCTATCCTACCCCATGTGACTACTCAAATGGAGATTGGGTCCGTGACACAGGAGGCCCTTTATACAATGCTACTACATGTGGTAAAATCAAAGAAAGTGAGAAATGCATCCCAAATGGAAGGCCTGATTCTGGATATCTTTATTGGAGATGGAAACCAAGTGAGTGCAATCTTCCAAGGTTTGAACCCCACAGTTTTCTGCAACTCACTAAGAACAAGCATGTAGCTTTTGTTGGGGACTCTTTGGCTAGGAACCAATTGGAGTCCCTTCTTTGCATGTTATCCACAGTTTCAACCCCAAACCTTGTTTTTCGAAGTCCCAATGACAATAAATTTCGTCGTTGGTACTTTCCTTCTCACAATTCAAACTTCTCTTTGTATTGGTCACCTTTTCTTGTACAAGGTGTTGAGAGATCAAATGAAGGGCCTTATTATAATACAATGTATTTGGATCGTGTTAATGAGAGGTGGGATATGGATTTGGATCGGTTTGACTTTGACATCGTTGTGGTTTCATTTGGGCATTGGTTTTTGCTTCCTTCGGTTTATTATGAGGGTGGTTCGGTTATAGGTAGCTTAAACTGTCATGATCTTAATTACACCCAGATGGATTTTTATGTTCCATTAAGGAAGGCTCTGAGGACTACTCTTAGTAGCATAATTGAGAGGAAAGAGGGTAAGGGAAATGGTGGTGTTGATGTAATTGTGAAGACATTTTCACCTGCTCATTTTGAAGGTGATTGGAACAAGGCTGGAACGTGTTCAAAGACTGAGCCTTATAAGAAGGAGGAGAAGGAGCTTGGAGGAATGGATGCTGAGATCAGAAAGATTGAGATTGAAGAAGTGGAGAATGCAAAGGGAAAAGCCAATGAATTTAGAGGGTTAAGATTTGAGGTACTTGATGTGACCAAATTGGCATTGTTGAGACCAGATGGACATCCTGGTCCTTATATGAATCCTTTTCCATTTGCTAAAGGTGTTCCAGAATATGTGCAAAATGATTGTGTGCATTGGTGCTTGCCAGGGCCTATAGACACATGGAATGAGATTTTTCTAGAGATGATCAAGAAGTGGGAGGAACAACCAAGAAGAGAAGTGTGATGTACTTTTTAATCTTTATATTGTTAATTCATTATACTCTAATCTTTTCGCCACGCTGGTGATGGATAGTATATTGCATTAGAAAAGATCAATTTTTTTTGGTAATAATTATAAATTATAGTTGAGGGGGATGATTAATTCTGTTTATTCTCTTTACGTTCTCTTCTTCCCTAATGGGAAAATGTCATTACACATCATGTATCAACGAGCTTCTCGGCTATTATTTTTAAGTTACCCAGTTTTAACAAAATGTGCTAATTTTTTTTAGTTTGAAAACAACTAAAATCCAAGATCTTAAAGTGCAGAAAGTTCGATGTATAGTATTCTTGTAAAGTACGGTTGCTATCCATTAAATTTGCCTCTTCATGTCTATATGAATGGGGATATCAACATGCAATACGACAGGATCCAACTTAAAATGACAACTACAATATTTATGCGTGGGACAGGTTACACAAATCGTCTTAGAATATCAAATATTTGACGTTTTCAAATTTACGATTATTTCAGTGCTTCAAATTACACAAATTAACTTCCGCAATTCCACTATGTGCAGATAATGATTGCAGTATAACATTACACTTACGTTTTGGGAACGACGAAGATAGCAAACACAAGTACATGAATTTCCAATTTTCCAAGCATATGCATTAATTAGTATACACGACGCTAAGTATATGCGAGTGCGTGTAAATTACTAAATATTTTCTTCTCCTTTTACAAATTAGACATAACCGTAAGCTCTTGATAGTACAATATATAAACTGAAGTGGAATTGGCATCGCCAAAAAATGCATGACATACAATTTACTATGTCAAATTGGAGAAACGAGGAAGATGAGAAATCAAGAATGTTCTAAATAACGATAACAACAACAACGTACTTTTAATTAAAATTTATTAAAAAATAAATATAAAAAGAAGAAACATTAAGTTAAAAGTGAAAAAAGTAGAACTTATATAATTTTATAATTTTTAATAAATTTTAACTTGTTATAAATGTATTATTAACATTATTTAAATATCTTTTATAGTTGAGGACTTCGCGGTTGAACTACTATTTATTTATTAGGCTGCTAGTTTGCTACTATTCCTGGGCCCTGAATCTGAATCAACAACGTGGACCAAACCAATTTTTGGGTTTGGCTCTGGTTTTATTTTGGGCTCTAAAATTTTACCTTTTAGTAGTATTGAGTTAAGCTAAGCAGCATTATATATTTGTTGACAAAAAAAAAAAAAAAGATAAGAAAATAGCAGAATTATTATTTGACCAAAACAAAAGCATTATTAACAACATCAAAAATTGTTTATGGAGTTTGGATCGTAGTTTGGTGGTTAAGTTATAGGACATATCCATTCCCTCATGCCCTCTCAGCCGAAACACTCAAGAAGTCTTTTTTTATATTATTGTTAACAAATTTTTAAATTTAATAATAGTATCGATGGTAAACATAAATAGTATTTTTTAAAAATCCACATCATTAATTGATTTAAGAAATTTATGATAAAAATAGTATTTGATTCTTATCTAAACTAATTAAAAATGTTATTCACAACATATTAAGAAAAATAATTATATTTGGTAGGGCTCCATGATTGCAAATTAAGTACGCAAAAGGATTCAAGAAGTTACACTTGTTCTTCAAATGTCCAAAAGATTCAAATTGCTCCATTCTGTGGAAAAAAATTTCACTGCACGGCTATGTCTATGTGCCTCAAACTTACATTTTCCTCAAAGTTACCCACTGTAATTCCTACTAACTGGACATGGATCCATGGGATTTTATCGCATATTCAGACGTATACTTAAAATTCGCATTTCTCTTTCCAATTAATACAAATAGAGAATTTTTTTTTTTTACATATAAACAATAATCACATTTTTAGTTTTTTCTTTTTGTGTTTTAAAATATAGTTTTTATATTGACGTGACTATCAACAAACTTATAATTTTAACCGTGAATAGTCTAAATTTAATATTCTTAATGTTTATGTTTACAATTTTAAATTTTTTTTTATATCTTTCTTACTTAATTTTTCTTTAAATGTTTGCTTCTTTTGAAAATGACGTATAATTAGTCTAACTTTATACGGGGTCCATAGTTATTTATTAACACCTTTAAATACATATATACGTGCCGATGTGTGTAATGGTTGTTTGATTTATTGAAAACAAGGATGAAGTAGGGGTAGATTTAGAAAATATGTACGAAAAGGAGAAAATTCTATAAATAATATAAATTTCAGAAATATAGCATGACATTTGGGTATGCTTAGGCGAAGACACATAAGAAGCAAAACGAAGAAGAGGAAAGGGTTGGAAGATGAGAGGTGCAAATTTGTTTAAAGACAAATTTCACTCTCTTACCAAGAAACTTCATCCTTCTGTTTACTATGCTCTTCCACCCATTGCTTTGCTTTGCTTATTCTTTTTTCCACTCTTCTTTACTTCATCTCCACCTTATAACAACCTTACCTATTCCATCCCCGTTAACAACCACTCTTCTCTTTCCTCTTCTACCTCTCCAGGTAATGTGTGTGCATGCAATATTTCGTCTTGTAAATTAAAACTATGTATTATATATATATAACTACTAGTGGATTTTGTCTTAAATTCATTGTCTACATCTGCATCTCGGTTTATTAGACTTAAATTGTTATTTTTAATTGCCAGAAAAGGAAAAAGTTTATGAGAATCCATGTGACTATTCCAATGGCAAATGGGTCCGTAACAAAAGAGGTCCTTTGTATAATGGTACCACCTGTGGTAAGATTAAAAAAAGCCAAAATTGTATCACCAATGGAAGGCCTGACTCTAGCTACCTTCACTGGAGATGGAAACCAAGTCGTTGCCATCTTCCAAGGTTTGAACCTAACACTTTTCTCCAACTCATTAAGAACAAGCATGTGGCTTTTGTGGGGGACTCTCTGGGTAGGAACCAAATAGAGTCCCTTATTTGCATGTTGACCACTGCTTCAAAACCTAAAGGTGTGCACCATGAAGGTTCTCAACTCTATCATTTTGGTTCTCACAATTCATTGTCCTTCTATTGGTCCCCATTTCTTGTGGAAGGTGCTCAAAGAAAAAGTCGTGGACCACATTATAATACAATGTATTTGGATCATGTTAATATGAGGTGGGCAAGGGATTTGGATCAAATGGACTTGATTGTGCTCTCATTTGGGCACTGGTTTTCTGTTCCTTCAGTTTACTATGAGGGTGATAAAGTTATAGGTTGCTTGAACTATCCTGGTCTTAATTGTACTAACATTGGTTTTTATGGTCCATTAAGAAAGGCTTTAAGGACTGCTCTTAATAGTATAATTGAGAGAAAAGTAATTAAAGGAAATGGTATTGGTGTAATCATGAGAACATTTTCTCCTTCTCATTTTGAAGGTGTTTGGGATAAGGGTGGTACTTGTTCAAAGAATGGGCCTTATAGAAAAGGGGAGAGGAAACTTGAGGGAGTGAATGCTGAGATAAGACATATTGAGATAGAAGAAGTGGAAAATGCAAAGGCAAAAGCCAAACAATTTGGAGGGTTTAGGTTGGAGGTATTGGATATAACTAAAATAGCATTGTTGAGACCTGATGGGCATCCTGGTGCTTATATGAATCCTTTCCCGTTTGCTAATGGGATTCCAGAATATGTGCAACATGATTGTGTGCATTGGTGCTTGCCAGGGCCTATAGACACTTGGAATGAGATTCTTTTGGAGATGATGAGGAAGTGGGAGGAACAAACAGCCAAGGAGTGAAGAGTGAGACTTGTATCTTGTTAATTCATTGCACTAATTTTCCTGCCACGTATCTGTCTTCTGCTATTGATTAATTTTTAATTTTTTTCAAAAGTCGAAGTATCTGTCTATAAATTGATCACATTTTAAAAGTTATTTTGACTTTTAAAAGTATTTTATATAAAATAATTTTTAAATTAAAATAACAATAGACATATGAGAATCACAATAAATATTCTTAAAAAATAATGTGAAAAATAATATTTAAAAGAACGTGCAACTAACCTTAAACTTACAAAGTTCATTATCCATTAATGACAGCCTTGTTTTGAGTTACTAGGTACAATCAGCGAGTGGAATACCGATATAGCACTTTAAGTAACATTCACTATTTTCATATATTTATGATTGCACTTTAACCTTTTAGTAAATAATAAGAATAATAAAAATTCTAACAAACACTGGCATGTGCAACTTTAAACATTATTGGCATAACCATTAAAAAGTTAATATCATAAATTCTAAAAGTAAAATTTGTGTTGACATTATTTAAATATAGTTTAATCTTAAACTTTTGATCGAATGCGTGCGTTCATAGGTATAGACAAGAACTGGTCGACGGGTATGTAAGTTTTCGACCATCTGCACTCGTACAACACTTTTAAGAGTAATATATATTCCCTTAGAATTGCTCTTATAAGTTTATGTCATCTTGGTCACTTATGTTTTAATGCATTTTTTTTAAATTATAAAATTCATTTAGTAATTCTCTTAAATAAGTTTGAGCACATGCATGTCTGAATTCCATAAAAAAGAGTAATTTATATATTGTTATGCATATAATTTAGAAAAGATGCAAGAATGGTTTTTTTTTTATTTATTAAAAACTATTATCAATACATTTTTAATTGTGACTCAACACAACTTTTAATAATTTTCTATTGTTTAACAAGAAAGTTTAAAACAATAGTTAGCAAGACTTAAAGAATTTTTTTATAACACTTTTTTTCATTTGTTTTTTTAATTGCGCCAATTATCTTATCCTAACTTTTCCTCTTTTCTTTTTACCTCCTAATTATAAAAAAGTTTTATTTGTGAAAAAAATGTTACATACAATTACGTAATAGTTTATGTAAATGGGGTTGGACCCCGTCGCCACGAATTTTTTTTTATTGTTTTTGGTTGTCGAAAATAAAATTGGGCTACTAGCCATCCCTGAGTTGCAAGTGTTTTTTATTTATTTTTTGTCTCGTTTGTTAAATTTGTAAGTGCCAAGTGCTAACTTTCCACCAGTTTTTTACTAATGTAGGCCTTTAGAAAAAAATGGTACGAAGTGTGGGCCTCGAATACATCGATTTTAAAATTGGTTTGGGCTTAGACTATGCTTCGTACAATTTTTCTTCAACCAATATGTGACATTTTGACCCCCCCCCCCAACAAAAATATAGTATGTGAGATTAAAAAATAAATGTGATTTTGACCAAAAGAAAAAAAAAGTGCATGTGAGCAATTTTTTTTTTCATGACTTCTTTTCAAAATTCATCATTTTGATGGATAGATTATAAACATATATTTTATATATAGAACAACGTAATATACTTTTTTTTTACATCAACTTGTATAATATAAATTTTAAGTTCATGAAAAAAATAGAAATTATTTAATAACAACTTCATTGATGTTTATCTTTTAAATATCATACGCAAAATGGTGAATGATCTCGACAGTCATAGTTAAAAACACTGAATCAATAAAATCACATCTTATGAAATTTCATTCATCAGTAATGTAGGTAACTATTTACACTCAATAGCTACAATGAATTTCAAATACATTTCTTTTTAAGTACCATATAGTTATAAAAAACATATTCTTGTAAAATGAAGCAAATACTTGTTAATATATTTTAGTTATATATTTTATATATAAAAAGTTGTGCAAATAAATAGAATTTCTTATCAGGAAAATGAGTTTTATGTGTTAAAATAAAAGGAACTAAGTCTTTTGTTGATAAGATTCTAACCTTATACAAAATAGCATTTCTTGCATTAGTGGACATGGTGCCAAATGGTGTTCGACTTAGTCTTTTTAATCTTTAAGTAGGAAGTCTTCAAAGTAGGTTAACAACTTTATTATCATATTTTTTCTTTTCTACAAATCATCCTAATAAGTCAAACTTAACATGTGCAATCAATCATCTTAATTGAGAGGAACTGGGTAGACGATTCTGCCCTTCCATCACATGCAACAATTACGTTTATTTCTCTTCTGAAAGTGAAAGACTAAGGACTTTCACCTCTCGCGCTGCGGAGAATAATCCAATTCTACTCGATAATGAAATAATGGTTTTTATAAGAATAAGGACAACGCAGAGCAACAAAAATGGAATTTCTGTTCATGTTGAAAGAAATAAAACAAAGCTAAATCAAAAGGCATAACCAAATTTAATACAAAGTATAATTATAAAATCATTTTTTTACCATAGTTATTATTGAATCAATGCATATTTCATTTTTTGACAAAGGAGACACGTCTGTTTATATCACAGTAACAAGGAATCGGACAAAATTGGAAAAGCAATATCATATGGCAATCAAAAGTCAAGATAGAATTTCTGAAAATTAGTTAGTAAGTTAGAGAGATCATAGAAATCCTACGACGGTGAGTGAATAACCCAAGAAACCTGCTTCTCTGTCTCTCACCTCTTTGACTTTATTCACTTCTCCTGATCAATGCAAAAACCAACACACACTGTTTTTTCTTCTTTCTTTTATCTGAGAACACCATTAGACACATAACATACGGTTTAGAAAAGAAAACAAACACAAGAAGTCTTTGAAAATGGGGACTAAAAACCCCTTCAAAGATAAAACCCTCTCCCTCTCCAGCAGACTTCTTCTTTTGACTATTTGTGTTTTGCTTCCCATTGCTCTTCTTCACATATACTCTGACTCTCTACCCTTTTCTTCACCTCAAAAAACTGATCTTCCTCATAACACCCACAACAACACCACATACCAATCTTCTCCCCCTTCTTCTTCTTCTGCAGGTATATATATATATATATATATATATAGGCATGCACGATTTCCTCTTGTCAAAATTATATACTTGCTATGTACCAATGAGTAAGGGTTTTGTCTTGAATATTTATATAATGATAAATACTAATAAGAGAACCGATTAATGTACTTATACTATAATTTCAAATGCATTCTAGCATAATTAAAAACTTTTTTTGATTGATTTCTTAGCAAGTTAACAAAATTTGCATGGGGAATGGGATGTGTTGGTTTTACAAGACTACTTGATTGTTATTGCAGAAAAGGAAGAAGCTTATGAGACCCCATGTGACTACTCCAACGGCGAATGGGTCCGTGATAAGAGAGGTCCTTTGTACAATGATACAACATGTGGTATGATTAAAGAAGGTAGAAATTGCTTCACACATGGGAGGCATGACTCAGGGTATCTTTTTTGGAGATGGAAACCAAGTGAGTGCAATCTTCCAAGGTTTGAACCCAACACTTTTCTCCAACTAGTTAAGAATAAGCATGTAGCTTTTGTAGGGGACTCTATGGCTAGGAACCAATTAGAGTCCCTTCTTTGCATGTTAGCCACCACTTCAACTCCTAAACTTGTATACCAAAATGGTGAGGACAACAAATTCCGCAGGTGGCAATTTCCTTTATACAATGCAAGCATTTCCTTGTATTGGTCACCATTTCTTGTGCATGGGGTTGAAAAATCAAACACAAGCCCAAATAATAAGTTGTACTTAGATCTTGTTGATGAGAGGTGGACAAGGGATATGGATCAAATGGATTTGATTGTGCTATCATTTGGGCATTGGTTTTTGCTACCAGCAGTTTATCATGAGGGTGATTCAGTTTTGGGGTGTCATTACTGTCCTGGTCTTGATCACCCTGAGATTGGGTTTTATGATGTGTTAAGAAAGGCTATAAGGACTACCCTTAATGGCATAATTGAAAGAAGAGTTGCCAAAGGCAATGGAATTGATGTAATTGTGACAACATTTACACCTCATCATTTTGAAGGTGAATGGGATAAGGCTGGTGCTTGTCCAAAGACTAAGCCTTATAAAAATGAGGAGAAGCAACTTGAAGGAATGAATGCGGAGATGAGAAAGATTGAGATTGAAGAAGTGGAAGATGCAAAGGCAAAAACCAATGAATTTGGAAGGTTAAGGTTGGAAGCATTGGATGTAACCAAATTAGCATTGTTGAGACCAGATGGCCACCCGGGTCCTTATATGAATCCTTTTCCATTTGCTAATGGGCATGCAGAGCGAGTGCAGAATGATTGTGTTCATTGGTGCTTGCCAGGACCTATTGACACATGGAATGAGATTTTTTTAGAGATGATGAAGAAGTGGGATTACCATTCAAAGAGTGAAGACTGAGGTGTTTCTCATATCTTGTTAATTCATTAGTATAGTTTAATGTTTACATTACAGATGATTGAGCTGAGAAATGACTAGTTTTTATTTATTCTGTTTAGGTTTTTCTCTTTCAAAATGAAAAAGGAAATATGTATATTGCTAGTATTTTTTTTTATATTGTGAACAACTTAGAACTCTCTGGTCAATAATGCAGAAGATTTGATGATACTCTTCTTCTCTCTATCATTACTATCGATAAATTTTGCTTATCATGTTTACCAGAATTGAGGATATCCATATGCAATATAACAAGGCATCTATTGTATCAAGTGACATGTGGAAATTGGGACAGTGGTAACATCTACATGTTTGATTCAGTTTAAATTACTATTTAAATTAAAGGATCAGAACAAATCTTCAAAGAAAAACACGTGTACAAAATATTTAGCATCTCTTTAGTGGAGACTCGTATGTAACATTAAGCATGTGCAAGACTGAGTAGGTAGGTGTTTTTTCTTGAAAAAATGGTTAAATCCCGAAAGAAGATTAAATGTTAGAATTCTAGTTCTACAATATCATTTTCAAGAACAAGCTTCAAGTTCTCAAATGTGGTTAAGACAGTATTGTAAAGGCTGCAGTTTAAGCTCTCAAACGGCAGAGAGCAACAGGGTCTCTAACTAATGAAGAGTAACGTCGCCGTATTAAAAAAATTAGGTAAAAAATGAAAGTGAAATATATATGTATTTATCTGAAATTTATATGAGAATCAATATAAATATATCATATTATTTAATTATTAAATTGATAAAATTTAATATTTATAAAGATGTTAAATAAAATAATTCTTGTAAGCATCACTCTTATAATAATTTGATCCTTATCCAATATAAAATAAAATAAGGTTCAAAAAATGTTAGGGAAGTTACATGAGCAAAACTGGTTAGTTATTTAAATATTTTCGTATGATTGAAAAGTTAAATTTCTTAAATTCATACTTTATAAAAAAACTACTAAAAAGGTAATTGTCTAAAATCTACTTATGAAATGAATATATATTATATATATTTTTTACTCAGTTCATTATTAATTTAATATTTTAAGTTAATATATATTCTTTTTATTTCTATTCTCATTGTTGATATCCATTCTTTTGATCACACTTTTATCACCGTTGATTTCTTTTATTTATTTAATCTATATTAAAATTAAATTCTCTTACATGCTTTTTGCTATCACTTTAGGAATGTGATGCATAGATGAATGTTTCTAATTTAAAATATTAATGATTTTGCAATTTTAAAGTAAACTCTTAAGATATTATTTTTAATTTCATTTTTTATTTCTTCATAATATTTAAAAAATAATAATTAAATGCATTTCTATGCACAGTATGAACGAGTATTTATTACATATAAATACTTTTTATCATTAATAATAAATTAAATAAATATAGTATTAATGAATTGGATATCGGTAGTGTTACGAAAAAGAGACAATAAGCAAAATAGAACCTGTGTGGTGGAAAAAATAGTTTAACAAATTAACATGAAGAAATAATCGTCACCCTTCACTTCTTGATTGTTCCTCCCATTTTTGAATGATCTTCAGAAAAATTTCATTCCAGGAGTCTATAGGCCCTGGCAAACACCAATGAACACAATCGTTCTGTACATGTTTTGGAAGCCCATTAACAAATGGGAAAGGTTTCATATAAGCACCAGGATGGCCATCTGGTCTCAAAAATGCCAATTTGGTTACATCAAGTGCCTCCAACCTAAACCCCTCAAATTTATTTCCCTTTGCTTTAGCTCTTTTCACTTCTTCAATCTCAATCTTTCTTATCTCAGCATCTACTTCTCCAATTTCCATCTCCCTCTGTCTATAAGGTTTAGTCTTTGAACAAGTACCACCTGCATCCCAATCACCTTTAAAATGGGAAGGTGAGAATGTTCTCACAATTACATAAACCCCTTTTCCTTTAGCTACTTTTCTCTCAATTATGCTATTAAGAGTAGTCCTTAAAGCCTTTCTTAATGGACCATAAAAACCAATCTCAGTGTAATTAAGACCTTGACAATTTAAGCATCCTAAAACTTGATCATCCTCATAATAAACAGAAGGAATCAAAAGCCAATTCCCAAATGAAAGCACAATTATGTCTATTTGATCCATATCCCTTGCCCACTTCTCATGAACATGGTCCAGATGCATTATATTATAATGTGGCCCTTTGCTTTTGCTTTGTCTTTGAACACCTTGCACAAGAAAAGGGGACCAATAGAAGGACAAGCTTGCATTGTGAGAAGCAAAGTGCCACTTGTTAGAACCTTTATGGTGGACACGTTTTGGCATTGACACAGTGGCTAGCAAGCACAGAAGGGACTCAATTTGGTTCCTAGCCAAAGAGTCCCCAATAAAAGCTACATGCTTGTTCTTAATGAGTTGGAGAAAAGTGTTAGGTTCAAACCTTGGAAGATGGCAATGACTTGGTTTCCATCTCCAATAAAGGTAGCCAGAGTCGAGCCTTCCGTTGATGATACAATTCTGGCCTTCTTTAATCATACCACAAGTACTACCATTGTACAAAGGGCCTCTCTTGTCACTGATCCATTTGCCATTAAAGTAGTCACATGAGTGATCATTAGCATTGCTGTCCTTGTCTGCCAATAATAAAAAGAAGAATGAACTCCATGAATACAAAACTCACTTGAAATAGTATAGTTCTAACAAAACAAAATCATGCATGCATATATGCATAATGTACCTGCAAAAGAAGGAAGATGAGTAGAATTAGAAGCAGAAAGAGAGGTGGAATAGGGAAGTTGAGTTGCTGGAGATGGAGTAAGAGACAAAGGGTAAAAGTATAAGCAAATTAAAGCTATGGGTAGCAAAGCTATGGGAATAAACACATTGAGTGTACAAGGAAGAAGTCTCTTGGGGAGGGATTGATCTTCGAATGGATTTGTAACTCTCATTTTGAAATCATTTCATCCTTATCCGTTTCTGCTTTATAAGTTATATAATATAATTGGTGTCTCTGTAGTGCTGTATGCCGAGAAGCTTTTCATTAGCCAGCTGGTCCATAATTAAGCTCAATCATTCAATACAAATTTATTTATTTATTATATCTCTGTACATGCACCCATTCATAAAACAATTAATGATGTCGTTTCAACAAATTTGAGAGATAATTTTAGTTCTCTCCTTTACTTTATAAATAATATATATATATAATAATTTGAGTATAAGAAAGAAAAAGATAAAAATTAAATAATAAAATATAATATATCATATAATATAATATATCATATAAAGGAATCCAATGTAAAAGCATTGTTAATGTTTACTTTTAGTTTTAATTAAAGTGAATATCGTATGCAACCAATATTTTAGAAGGTAAAAATTGATGTAATATAAAATGTGCTAATGAAAAAAGAGTGATCGTTCGAGGAAATTTTTAATTGTCTATCAAATACATTAATATATTTAAATGCCTTATATTAAAAACTAAAATGTGATTTTAACGAAAATAAACTTATACCACAAATAAACGGAGACTTATGATTTTAACATATAATAACAGTGTACAGGTAACATATTTTGGTAATTTGTTTATCGCAGTTCAAGTTTTAGTTTTGAATATTTATTAGAGTGTGGTTTTAATGAAATTAAAATATAAAAATTTCTATACTGTCGATTAATTAATATGTATTATAATTTAAAAAGTTAAAAGGCTTTGAAAGAAAAATAGTCATGAAAATATGTCTATTCTATTTTAAGTTCAGCATTCATTTTTTTTTTCAAAATTAAAAATTACTTCGTTATCAATTTATTGTTTCTTTGTAAAATAACAAAGATCATGCACGTGTAATTGCTAGTTTCCAAAGCTTGCAAATAGTAAATAACAAAACAAACAAACAACTGTTCATTCAATAAACATAATAGAAATAGATAACATCGCAAATAATCTCTATGCTTTAATCAGTAACATAACATAAAAATAAAAATAAAAATCATGGGCACAACCAAATTGGAGGAGGGAGAAGAAATGGTGGTGGGAAGAGATGATTATTGCCACCGCCTTCCAAATCAAACACACCGATATCGTGACCACCAACAACACGAAAGTTGAAGCCTACTACGTCTCTTACATAATGATGTTCTTCTTCGTCGTCATCGGTGTAGTAAATATGATTTGGTTTGGTATAAGAAGAAGCACAAGGCATAGAGAAAGATGAATTTAATCCCAGCACTAAGGCATAGTTCCCTATATTATACACTCTGGACCACACAAGTTCATTATTGGCCAACATATATACACTGAATGCATTAGTCCTATGCACATCTGCATCATCATCAGCATCAAGAGGATAGACAAAATGCCTCGCCACCATTAACAACCTGTCCTTACCATGTCCAGCCAGATACTTGAAGTTCCGATTGAAAGGGCCACGAGATAGTGGAATTCCAACTGGAGGTTTGGCTTTAGTAGCTCCTCCTAGTGGTATAGGTTTCGTATGCATATCAAATTCATAAAGTTGAGCTTTGCTGTCAATAGCATATATCTTTCCTTCGTTAAAAATAACGTCTTCAAATTCACATCTATGTGCTTTCGTCGTTGGTATATCTGTCCAACCACCGTCACCAGTTCTATAGAAACCCAATCTATGATAATCATCGTATAAAACTACAGCCATGAAATCATGTGTGTCACGATCTGGAGGAGAAGAAATAATTATCTTGTAGATCGATCTTTTATTCACATGAATTCGCTCTACAGTTCGAGTCGAGCCATCCACCATATTCCGTATAACATATTCATTCCCAATATTTTCAGGCAAATAATCAACTATATGTGGTAAAGTTGAGATTGGGGGAAGATCAAAGCGAACCTTTGTAAATGGATTCAATAAATGCAACGCTCCATCAGATAAACCAAGGATGACTAGGAATCCACGACAAGACCCACGAAACACCTGGTTCTGCATATGCGGCAATCTCATTTGATTAATCTCTTTCTCTCTTGGACTACGAGTTTCAACAGAATCTTCTTCAGCTGACGATAACAACACTAGCCATGGATAGTTGTGCTCCGGAGTCTTTGCAAGTGTCAAACTCCACGATTTACAAACAAGTCGAAGTCGAGCGTAATCCTCATAAGAATGTATGTATTTAACAATCTGATTCAACAGATCAGAATGAAGGTTCGCCCAGAGATCATCGTTACTCATCTCGCAAAACTCCATAGCGAGGCTTATCTAAAATCAAAATCAATGGTTTCACTTTTGCATCCGTGTTCGTATTATATATACAGTTAGAGATAATTCAAGTAACTGAATCCGAGTAGATTGTAATATTGTAATCTTTAGTCCAGTTAGAGATAATATTAATTGATTTGTATTATCAAGGATTTGGATTCTTTTACATATATTTTAAATTTGTTAAAAATTTAATAAACACAGATTTTTCGGATATTTTATTATTTTTATAAAAAAATTGTTATCTATAAAATTTTATTGAATCTTGGCACATGCTAGAAAAACTATTTTAAGTTGTATATTTTTATTAATAAGTATTTTTTATTATTAGAAAATAATATTGTACTATATTAAATAACAGTAAATTAAAAAGAAAATTATAAAAATCAAAATACCATATTAAAATCTTGAAATCAAATTTAATTTAAGATTGATTGAGATTATAATAAATATAATATATCAATATCACACATTTAAATTAAGATAAATAAGAAGATGGTCAAAATGAAAGAAAAATAAAATTTTAATTTTGCATTTAAATCTTAATTAATATTAAAGAAAAATTAAAATTTAAACTTAAATATTAATTTTAGTTAAAGTAAAAAAAAAATTGAAATTGAAATTTAAACTTGAATATATAAACACTACGAGATGAGATTCTAAGAATATTAATTTATAACGTATGAAGCAAAAATAGAATGTAACATATTTCACACTTTGACTCCTGGCTATTTGAAAAAACACCGCACACTGAAATGTTATACATATCACATGTTATTATGTGATGTCTATTTTTTTAAATATTTTTAAAATAATATCAAATTTAATTTTTTACAATTAATTTTTAATATTTGAATTTAATATTAAATTTTCTTTTAAAAATTGCATTATTATTAAATTTCTTGGAAACTGAAGCTGGTGGTATACATAAATAATTTAATCCGTCTGTTGTCTGACAAATACGAAAGATCACAATGGTGCTTTTCAGTTCCTTACCAAATGACAAGAGGGAGGAAGAGAGGTAAAATAGTATTACGATTAAAATAAAATAAAATAAAATAAAAAAATCTGAAAAAATTTACATTCAACAAAAAAAATTATATTTTCCATGTTGTTACAATTGTAGGACGTGGCATGTTTCTTCGATTACTCTTCTCATTCAATTCTGATTGCAGATACGTAGTTGGATCTGTAACATCACTGTTTAGGTCAAATTGCCAAGTTGAATGACAAAATTTAGATGTTTTAATTAAAATTAAAATTTTAATTCAGATAAAATTATAATTTGTATTTTATAATCATTCTAATTATATTACATTACAATTACATCAGCTTTATTTATTTAGTTATTTATTATTAGATATTCTCTCAAGATCCATCTCTACTCCATACTGAGCCAGTCATGTCGAGGGGCCGTTCCAACCAATAGCACTGAATCATGCACTTCACGACTATTCTCTCAATCATGCTCCTAAAATCTGAAACATTTTCTAAGTTATTTAAATACCATGTTGTCTTAACTTACTACTTGATGTTATGTATTTAGGCAATGAAACATACATTGCATGCTAATAACAAGTAAAAGTTCTAAAAAAATATAATCGTTGTCAAAATGTAAAGGTTGGATGTTTGAAGCAAAAAGAATTTTAAAGAACAATTCAGTATAATGTATAAGTTTAATCAATAAAATTACGCAAAAATTTAATATGTTGATCATAACTCAATATCTAAAAGCACCTTCAATCAATTTTAATAATCATTAAAAATAATAAATAAGTATTTATAATTTGAATTTAATGAAAATAATAACTAACTTCACGCTTCAATTTCTAACTTATAAAACCACTCAAAATTTTGATATGTTAATCCTAAATCTCTAAATTAATTTTAGCAATCATTGAAAGAAAATTTTACATTTAAACCAAATTTGATGATATTATAACAAAAGAAAAACATGAAATGAAAATTATACGACTAAAACTAAAACTAAAAATGAATTTGAGAGGAGATGATTACACTATGCCCCTCACTATCAAGTGGGTTGTGGGTGCCATAGCTTTTTATATTTTCCACCGTCTTCAATCGCAAGATTTCACCTTTCCAATCGATGCAAGATTTTTATGTATATGTTCACGATATTCTGGTTCGGTGAGGAAGTATCCTGTGATCTGGTGTTTTTCCTAAATAAAATATGTGGCTTAGAAGGTTCAATGCATACTATAAACAAATCGGTTCACATGGGCACATCTACATGCCAACAAAAATGTATTATTCTTTGCTTTTGATTTTGCACGTCTCACTTCAATACTCCTTAATGCGTTGAAATATAGACCGATTAAAAATAAAGAAACTCAATGATGGTCTGTCCTTAAGAAGGGTATATGTTCATTTTTGCTTTTCACAGAAAATTAAAAAAAAAAGAAAAAAGTATGTTTTCTTTTTTAGTAGGACCCTTGACTATGGTCCTTGAGCAAGATTCTTCCTGTCTAGACGATTCTGTCCTTACATGTACATGCAACATTTAACATTTATATTCTTGTATTTCATAAAAAAAGAACAGATGCCATGTAGAAAGAAAAAGTTGTTCTAATCAGAAAAAATAAAAATTACAGAAAGAAAGATTATCGGGTAAAAAAGAGAGTGACAATCCGTAAATAATAATCAATAGCATCCCAATAAATTATGTCTTCAGTGTTTTTTTTTTTTTTTAATCCATGTCTTTATAATATTGGTTAGTATGATTTAACTACTGTTCATCTAGCGTCAATAATCAATGTTACGAGGATAACATTGGAATAGCAATATTCTATTTATATAAGAATCCAAGAAAGAACAGATGAAAATTAGTTAGTAATTTACAAAGATCAAGGAGATCCAACTATGTATTATTTTTTAACCGAATGAATAAACCAAGGAACATGCTTCTCTGTCTATACCACCCATCTTCAATCTGACAAATGCGAAATCCAAAAGTTACCGTGTTTTTCGTCAGTCATCGTCTCAGCTGAGAACACCAAAGGTTCATAAGGAGAAGAAAGTAAAGTACAAGCAAGAAGAGAAAGACTTTGAAAATGGGAATTACAAACCCATTCAAAGATCAAACCCTCTCTCTCACCAAGAGGCTTCTTCCTTGGACCCTCTATACTCTTCTTCCCATAGCTTTAATTCGCTTATACTTGTACCCTCTACCCTTCCCTCCATCTTCAGAATCTGAGCTTCCTCATTCCACCCGCGTAACCATCATCTCCCACTCTTCTCAATCTGCTTCTACACCTCCTTCTTCAGGTACATGTATGCATAACATAACTTCATCTCGTCAAAACTATATTTTTGCTAGTTTTGTCTTTTAAATTATAGTTGGCAACTTGGTATGTAGGATTTTTTGGTTTACTAGACTTACATGTTGTTTATTAATAGAAAAGGTAAAAACTTATGAGACGCCATGTGACTATTTTGATGGGAAATGGATCCATGACAAGAGAGGCCCTTTGTACAATGGTACCACATGTGGCACAATCAAAGAAGCCCAGAATTGCATCACACATGGAAGGCCTGATTCTGACTATCTTTATTGGAGATGGAAACCAAGGGAGTGCAGTCTACCAAGGTTTGAACCTAACACTTTTCTCCAACTCATTAAGAACAAGCATGTAGCTTTTGTTGGAGACTCTATGGCTAGGAACCAATTAGAGTCCCTTCTTTGCATGTTAGCCACTGCTTCGACCCCTGACCTTGTATACCGAAATGGTGAAGACAACAAATTCCGCAGGTGGCACTTTCCTTTGTACAATGTAAGTATCTCATTGTATTGGTCCCCTTTTCTTGTGCAAGGTGTTGAGAAGTCAAACTCAGGGCCAAATCATAATAAGTTGTATTTGGATCATGTTGATGAGAGATGGGGTGGGGATATGGATCAGATGGACTTGATTGTGCTATCAATTGGGCATTGGTTTTTGCATCCTGCAGTGTACTATGAGGGTGGTTCAGTTTTGGGGTGTCATTATTGTCCTGATCTTAATCACACTGAGATTGGGTTTTATGATGTGTTAAGAAAGGCCCTAAGGACCACCCTTAATAGCATAATTGATAGGAGAAAGGGTAAAGGGAATGGAATTGATGTGATTGTGACAACATTTTCACCTGCTCATTTTGAAGGTGAATGGGATAAGGCTGGTGCTTGTCCAAAGACTAAGCCTTATATAAATGAGGAGAAGCAACTTGAAGGGATGGATGCTGATATGAGAAAGATTGAGATTGAAGAAGTGGAAGATGCCAAGGCAAAAGCCAATAAATTTGGAGGGATTAGGGTGGAGGCATTGGATGTAACCAAATTGGCGTTGTTGAGACCTGATGGACATCCTGGTCCTTTTATGTACCCTTTTCCATTTGCTAATGGGCTTCAAGAGCGTGTGCAAAATGATTGTGTTCATTGGTGCTTGCCGGGGCCTATAGACACATGGAATGAGATTTTTCTTGAGATGATGAAGAAGTGGGAGCAACATCCAAGGACTGGAGAGTGATGTATTTTTCATATTTGTTAGATTCTTATTTGTTACACTTCTCTATTTTCCACTACATTGACGATGGATATTGCTTTGAAAAAGGATCAAATTCTGTTTTTGGCAGAATGGGAACATTTTTTTGGAGGGGTATACAAGGAAGAGAAATCTTAGTTGTTGAATTATTGTTTGTTATTTTTTTCCTGATTGGGCTCCATATGGAAATGAAAATATTTAAAAATATCTTTTGACGAGGGAGGAGAGTGACAAATTGTTGGTAAGAAAAAAATGATCCTTCCCGAATGTGTTAGAAAAGCACATACATGTACAGAAGGGCTAGATGCCAACCTGGAGGAATTCATAACACACGACAAGTCTTTTCTGTCTTAATTTGGTAGCCATGAATTTTGTCTAGTGGGGTGTTGATTTCAATTGGAAAATTTTCTTTTGCTTAAACTTCTCTCATGTTAATTTGATCCATTATGTTTTCTTATTTCCTTAAAAATTATTCATCAAGTCCCATTTGGAATTGTAAGCTGTATAAACGTGTTGAAAATTTTGGCTAGTACTTGCATAAGCTAAGGGCAATTGTGATGCGAATGAACTGAATTGATAAAAAAAGAAAAAGAAAACTTAAATTTCACATAATGGTTGCTTGTTGCATAATAAATGTACTCTCTCTACAATGATATGACTTGGTCAATTTGGAAACCATTTCTTCTTTCTCGTCTGGTTGAGTTAAATGTCCTAGTTGATAAGTTACGCGTCTGCTGTGTGCTGGCTAGTGGCATCTGAAAAATCTCCCTGATTTTGACTTGGCATGAAACTACCATGCTGCAGCCCTGCCATTCTGGTTTTCTCTTGCTCTGATTTTAGATATGAAGACAAAAATTGTCCTGTTGATAGTCAATGCATTCTGCCATGATTCTAGGGACGTTTCCACCTAACCTCATTTAATTTTGACACTCATTACCGTTGGGAAATATATGAAAGAAAAAGAACCTCCTTAATACTCTTTTTAACACATTAATTTTAGTATATTTTGCTCTTGGTTAAAACCCATGTTGGTTCTAACAATTGAGGCAAGTTTCATTTTTTATTTAGTAAATCATATTTATTTTTTTTACTATTGGAATAATCTGTTCAAACTCCATTATTCATCATATTTCTAATCGAGAAAGCCTTATAAATAATAAAAAATGTTAGTAAACATATGTAGAAAATATGATAGCATTTTTCATGTGACAGAGTGAATCTGACTATGCCCTAAAATTAATTGTGGGTGTTTTTCTACCCTTTGAAATCGAGCTTTCACGCATTCCAGTACATAAATTTCTGTTTTGGGTTTCGTTTATGGAGAGAATAAAAAATAAAAAATAGTGTCCAAAATGTTGTCACCGACAAACAAATAAACCCTGTAACTTTGTATATCGCGTCTCCCCTGACTTTTGTGCTCGTATTAATTTTGCCAAATAAAAAACAGTTTTTTTATTTGCAAGCACTGTGATTGATTACATTTAGTATGAATTTAACATAACATTATTTTATTTATTTTACTGTGGAAAAAACTCATTTATATATGTATTGACAAAATTATTTATGTATTTTAATATTTAGTATTAACTTAATGATATTTCATTTTTTAATAATTTAAAAATAAAAAAATTAAAATTAAATTTATTTCAAGTTAAAAATTTTATACAGTCAAAAACATTAAAAATTAAATTGATAAATACTCGTTAGTCACACCGTACTTTAAAAACTATTCATAGATGTGTGTTTAATTTTATTTATTTTTAAAAAATAATCATTTTATTAATTTGATAAGAGCACTTTAAAAAAAAAATTTCCCACAATTAATTGTTTGTGATCATTGATCAACGCCATACGTAAAATAATATTTAATCTTTTAAAGCGAGTATTTATTATAACAACTATTTATTATAATAATTATTTTTATTATTAATGTCTGTATATGTTGTGATCATCGTCGTTGTTATTATTACTATAAATTGTTGTGGTCACTCACGTTCTTCTTTTTAAGAAGAAAGAATTTGAAAAATTCTATTTATCATAATTTCTTTATAATTCTATAAAAATCATAAAAAAAAGTTTGAATGGTACGATTTTATTGTGATTCCAAAATGAAAAGAGCGATCTCATAATTCTTGATTTATAAAAATACATTGTTAGGCGCTCTATTTTATTTTATTTTTTTCTATTGAAGCCAAACCTAAAATTGTATTCGAGAGATAATTATATAAATACTAATAAAGGAGGTATGAATTCTTAGTAAGAAAAAATGTGGTTAAATTATCATAATTAATAATGTCTAGCAAAAAAATTATCATAATTAACAATAATAACACTATCATAAAATAATTTTGTCAAAATCACTATTATATTTATTATTATTTTTATTGTTATTACTGCTATCATTATGGTATTATTACAATCATTACAAATATTATTATTACTATTTGATAATCATTATTATTATTATTATTATCAATTTTATTATTATTGTATTTAATATTATTTTTATTATTATCTTTATCATTGTTAATATTTTATTATTATCACAATTAACCACAATTCTTCCTATGACTAACATTATACTTGGCACAATTAAAATAATCATCACCGTTCAACCATGATAATTATAGTTATTTCTGTTATTACTATATTTAATACTACTTTTGCTATTATTGACTCCAATAATACTATTGTTCAATTATTATTATTATAATTAATTTTTTAATTTTAATATTTAAAATTAAGAATAAATAAATAAATATAAAAATTGTATTAAAAATATTTATTATACTTTTATAATTTATTTTAATAAATATGTACTTTTTCGGCAAAGTTTTCCATTATAATATATTTTCACTTTTGCAGTAATTTTTTTATATGAATAGTTTTATCTTTTATATATAACTTATATTACTATAGATTAAAATTTCTTATGTTGACCAAAGAAAAAAATAAAATAAAAGATTACTTTCTTGTGAGCTTATTTTATTTATCTATTGGGCTAAAGTTTTTGCACGTGTAGGCTTTCGTGACACGCCATTGGTACAAGTATGGAGATTTTGGCCGTGGTGGGGTCCACGTGGAAGGAAAACTGAGGATCGAAGACAGCACAGCATACCTTACCAATGGTGGCGATGGCATCTAAGTATTCATCTGATAACTCTCACAGATAACATTGACTGTCACCAACCAAAGCCATTCCAATTTGGCAATGGCTGCAACTCTCTCTTCACTCTCCTTCTTAGACCCTCAAATTCAAAACCTCTCTTTCCAATTCCACCAACCACGCTCCTTCACAACGCGCCCCTTCCACTTCAACAAAACCCCACTCTCCACTTTCAAACTCTCTTCTTCTCATTCCCATTCACCTGACCCCTTCTACACGGGTCGCTTCCTCACCGACAATGAACACCGCAACCTCAACTTCCTCGAAACCTTCCTCTACTCCCACCAACTCCAATCGGGTTCCATGTGGGTCCGGGTCATGAGGCCCCACGAGATCGACCTCACCGTCCGGTTACTAGCCGATTCCTTCGCCGAATCCATGCTCTTGCCCGCAGCCTACCTCAACGTGTTAAGGTTCCTTGTGAAACAGTACTTGGTGGAGCGAAGGACGTTGATGCCACACATGGCAACGCTCGTTGGTTTCTACAAAGAAGAAGAAGAAGAAGTGCAACTAGCAGGGACTGTGGAGGTTTGTTTTGACAAAAGGGGTGCCAATGTTTCTCTCCCTTCACCCACCCCTCCTTTGGATTCGCCCTACATTTGTAACATGGCCGTGCTAAAGTCTCTCAGAAGGTATATAAAATACCTTATTTTTATTATTATTTGACAGAAGAGTGCACTTACACTTAGGCAGTGCTATATATATGCTCATCATTTTTTTTAGAGTGAAAATAGTGAAACTAGCTAGAAAAATATTTCTAAGTTACATATGAGGAATTTTAAGATACTATTTTCAGTTTTCAGTAGTGCTCTGGTTTATGTCTGATTAAAAAAAAATTTAAATAATATTTTTAAATTTAATACAACGTGTTATGCTTTTATTAGTTTTGGGTTGAAATCGTCATTGTTTGGACTGGTGAGCAATACTTTCAGTTGTTTTGGCAAATTTTATATGGTGAGACCCAAATTTGAAAACGAAATTTTAATTGGTTGGCGTGCCTGTTCTATAAATTGAGTGTTAAGTTGGATCTTTAGATGAATTAATCACATACGATCTTGAATTGGGTTGTGCTGAGTCATGTTGTGTAAATGGGTCTGTAAATAGTGTATAAAAGACTTATTATTTTCAAGGAGAAAAATGTTGTTGGGGTGTATTTTCAACTTATGTGAAATTATGAATGTCTCGATCTACCTGAAGGTAGCTGGATTCCAACTTTCTAAGTGTATGTTTCCGGTAATTCCCTTCAGGAGGGGCATTGGCTGGCATCTTCTAAAGGCAAGTGAGGAATTAATTTCTCAGATGAGTTCATCAAGAGACGTATACTTGCATTGCAGAATGATCGACGCTGCTCCATTTAACATGTATACAAAAGCGGATTACAAAATTGTGAAGACAGATAGTATACTAGTCCTGCTGATGTTGCAGAGACGCAAGCACTTGATGTGCAAGAAACTTCCTCTTTCAAGTACGCCTTCAGAAACAGATCTGTCAGTTTCTGATATGTAAAAGACAACATGAATGTTAAGGTAATGTTGCCGCTGTCTTATATTGCTTGCGAGGAGTACTAAGTCCTAACAGCACACTCTTTATTATTGACTGAAGTTTTTAAAAATCATGAAATAATCCATGAGAATAAATAGGGACTGAGAACCACATCATTTCAGGAGTCCCAATAAATTTCAGCCAATGGTAAAGAGATTATTGCTGGCATTTTCATTGCTTAAAAGCTTGTGTGTTATGTCTAGCTTCCGTATGATCTTATAATCAAATATGTCCCAGGATACAGTTTCTCATTTGTTGTTCTGAATTTCTGTTTCAGCAATGGTAGCAAAGCTGCTCATGTTGGTTTTTAGTTTGACTGGAGAAGGGAGTGTTATCAGGCATCCTTATTTATTTCTCTTATCTGTAGGACAGTGACTGATTGTGTTTCAGGTAAATTACAAGATACTGTTGTCGAAGTTATCGATTTACTTCTCTGGCTCTGACAGCCAAGTGATTTAAAGGATTGTAAAACTGGTAACTTGTTTTAAAATACCGGTTTAGATACATGGGTTCTTTCTTGAAGAACCTAGGAAAATGCTAGAGATGCACAAAAAGTACAAAACATATTACTCTGTATCCTGAAACATATGTCATTCTTGAAAATCGAACGCCTTGTAGCAAATGGAATCTGTTGAACCATGCCTATCATGAGAGAACAAAATATCAATGTTTGGAGATTAGGGAACATTTTCCAGGGAAGTGGTTTTTTTGTCATGGTTTCTTAGGTTGGATACTCCTGCCATGTGACAGAAAGGGTGTGAGTAGCACCGGGGCACGAATGTGGGTGGAGAAGAAAAATAGAAATGCTCTTGTAGCTTTGTCCATAATGGATTGATTTCCTCATCTCGCAAGATCATCCAAATTAAAATGCTTTGCACTGGTCATATTATTCTGCTTGGTGTATAAATATGAATGGAAGAACTTCTGAATGAGTCCACAGTTTTATTGTCAATAAGAAATCATTATAATTCCGGTGTCTAAACTTGTGATTTCACTAGATCATTCTCAAACTATGCATAACCATTCCCAAGCCTTTTGAATTTGTATAGATAATCATTAGGAGTTCTTTTATACATTCTGCCATTGATGGTCTCTCATTACTATCTGTTCGGACACATCTTGATGCTAGATTGGCAAACATGACTACAGACTGAAGGGTGTAAGAATTTCGAGCCATATCTGGATCTATCACCTTACGAAGCTTCTTGCGGTCATTCAATATGTGCCTCACCTGCATATGAATGTCAAATGAATTAAAGTTGTGCTGTTGTATGAATGTAACATTCTGGAACCTGGGAACCAAAATCTTTTGCAGTGTCTGTGTTGTTGAGAGGGGGCAGGGGGATTTCAAGTGAAATTACTATTTATCCTACATGGATTGTAAATCTTAGAAGTTTTTAAAATTCATGTGATCACCTAAAGAAGTCATATGACTATTTTTTATTTCATTCATGAATGCATGATGCAATGCTTAGGATTTGTTCTTCCCACTCTTACAATAAGTCACTTCTCTCTCTTGATATACTCCCTTATAAAAGAAAAACTACCATCAAGGATGTCTTGAAAAAGAGATGACTTGAAAGATATAAAAGAAAATTGCTGATTACTAGTAAGTAGTAACTGAATGTCCAATTATTTTTTAATTTGATATTCTTACAGTTACAGATCAATGCCCTCTATGTGTGTGTACATTTCCTACCTGTAGTACAAGGTTTTGATCGTTGGGACCCTGATTTAGATCTACAGCTCGGCGTCCAGTCAAAAGCTCCAGAAGAACAACACCAAAAGCATAAACATCACTTTGTAGAGTGAGTTTTCCAGTCTGTTGTCAGTGACATAATGATGTTGGTATAAAAACATGTTTGTGTTGCAATCCACATATACTAATATAAGAAAATAGAAGGTTAAAAGATTGGATATACTGTTTGTATGTATGCTGTATACTTAGGTGATAAAAGGAGTGATATGTTCATTTCTGAATTGAATCATGTTCATTTCAGGTTACTTGTAAGGTATAAAAACTAAATGTCTATATTACATTTTGAACTGTTACGTGAAAATGAAAACAATTGTTTCTGTGAGCTGGAACATCTCTTTTTTGCTTAAGATTCCTATCCCATACATATTCCATTCAAACTAGGGTTTTGGGAGAAAAAAAAAACAGAAAGGGAAAAAAATCCAGCAGAGGTTGTCAGATAAAAACAAAGGTGTTTAGGCAAGCACATGAAAATGATTTTAATTAACTCTTTAACACACCTTCCACTAAAAAAGCCATCTAGGCTGGAATACAGATAACTGCAGAAATTTCATTCAACTTTATAACTGGAATGAAAGTTACTTCACCATTTCCATGGATGGCAAGGGTTGATCTGTACACTACAGTATCTATCAGTTTCTGATACCATGACAACCACTTGATCTAAAAGCAGGAGCTATTAAACAAGGGCCCTAAATTTGTTTTTTAGAGTCAAATGATTTCTCACTGTCTTATCGTAGGCTTTTCGTTGTAACAAATTTTTTCTGTATCATTTACTAACAACTTAATAAAACCATATAAGGAAACTGAGAGTTCTTTGGAATTGGATAGAATTTAAGCCTCAGGCTTCTAATGCAAACCAAAATTTCAAGGTTTAGACTATATTGCAGCTTGAGTTGGTGTTGATTTTGCTGGCTTAACTTGCATGGGTAATTTATTTTATGGTAGCCTAAATGAATACAACAGGTACTGGTATGTCCTACACTGGTGTTATTCAACCATTGATAAATTTTACTCTACATTAAGATGTAGATGGGAAATATTGATATATGGTTTAATGAATTATGCATGAGATGAAAGGAAGTTTACAAACGGGATATATTGTGCATGTAATCATACTTTACAGCAATAGTGGATTCTTGATGTTAACATGTGAAGCTGATTGCATCATGGGCACAGGAATAGTTGCAAAAGAATTAATTAGATTTACTGTATAATGCGTAATAAAATCTCAATAAAATCTCATTTTTATCTTCAGGAGTGAATACCATGAAAAATGTTGAAGAAACTTTATCCGAAGGTGTTGAAAATTGAAGTGTAGGTTTTCTTTTTTAAGACCTTAGGGGCATAGATGCGTACCGATGTATACTCGGGATCAAAATAGCCAAAAGTACCAAGTACTCTGGCAGTCACGTGTGTCTCCTGCCCTTCCGGCATTAACTTGGCCAGCCCAAAATCAGATATCTACAAAATGGATGTTAATTTTAGCTCTCTACATGATTGTCAGAACAAAATGTTATCAGTCATTATTGGAAGTCTGTTTATACCTTTGACTCAAAGTTGGCATCTAAGAGAATATTGGTCGATTTTAAATCTCTATGAACAATAGGAATTCCAACATCAGAACTGGAATGTAGATAAGCAAGCCCTTTTGCAGCTCCCAGAGCCACTTGCAGTCTTCGAGGCCAATCCATGTTTCTTTCCCCAATTCCTAAATTAGGTTTAGATTAATAGAAGCTATATGTTATAAATTCTGTCAGTAGTGTGGATTTTGGATGCATGACAAACCATTCAAATGGTCTTGCAGGTTCCCATTACGCATATATTCATATACTAGGAATCTATGCTTTCCATCAGCACAGTAGCCTATCAAAGACACGAGATTTGGGTGATCAAGTCTGCTCAAAATGTCAACCTCGACACGGAATTCACGTTCCCCCTCTGCTGCTTTAATTGCTGGCAGCTCCATTTTCTTGATTGCTACTACCTTCAGAGGGAATAACATTATATTAGAATGTATTTATTTGCATCAAAATCAGAAAATTTGAGAATATTTTAAGAACCATGGTTTACCATGACAGTTGTTACAAAGTCTTGATAATTATGATGAATTTCCATGAGCTTAAAACTTATGTGCAGAGTGTATTACCTCGCCGGACCGCAAAGTGCCCCGGTAAACTTTGCCAAACCCTCCTTTTCCAAGTAACTTTTCATCGCTGAATGAACATGTTGCTTCTTCCATCTCCTTGAGTGTGAAAACAGTTGATCCATGCAGCCTTTTGGTAGGACGTGGGGTTTGATCTTCAAGTTGCCAAAGCTGTGCAGGTTTGTAAACCCCTGAATATAAATTTGTAAATGTTACAAGTTAATTGTGCAATGAAACAGCACTAAAGTGCATGCTTAAACCATGGCAAGAATAGAAAGAAGACACTACAGGGATCTGTATGATCTTGAGATTTGCTTCTACGGCGCTTGTTCCAAGCTGAGACCAAACCAAATGGCATGATTGAATTCTCTATCTTATATGTTCTCTGTTCAATAATGTCAGGTTCTAACAAATGAAGCATGCAATTGGAAATTGGATAGAGGTGAGGTAAGAATTTCTTTACACACAGATACAGATGGGTTTTGCACTTTTGCTAAGAACCTTGAAATATTTGGAATAGTTGGCATGTGCTTGAGAAAGCTATTATTCCCATATAATAAGTATTTTGATGGCATGGGAATCCTCTAAGGAGTACGTATAGAGCAAGTGAAGTTAGATTAGAATACTTGACATAACATCTTCCAACAACACAAGGAGAGAGACAGAGATATGTACTTTAAGGCAAAGAGAATGCTGATTAAAGTAGGTACGGCTTGCTTACCTATGGTTGGGATGTGGTATGGGTGGGGGTCCTTTGTTTGACAAAGAAATGGAAACTGCAGCCTCATTTTCCTTGTTGATCATCTTATTTACGTTTTACCGTTTTCATATTGCAAATAAGTGACGGTTGCAATGGTCCTTTCATTTGTTCTCTTCATTGCAAATACTGTTGTTACCTTGTTTTTAAATCTTTCTTTGGTATGGTGCACCCGTCATTTTTGCTATTAAAATATATCATCATCAGCATTTGAATAAGATTTTCCTTGGTACCAATAGTTATCCAGGGCCATCGCTGTGGCTCCCAAGAGCACTATATTTTTTAACCAGTTACCATCACCTGAAAATCTGTGACAAGGTTAGGAAAAATTCTCTTTTTCCCACCACAAGTTTTGTCACTTGCTCTTCCTCCGCTTCCTTACTATTTGGGGCTCACCGGAAAAGTGAGATTTTGATTTTGGGCACAGGGAAGAATGGAATTGACAAGACTACATTTGAAATCAAAGAATATGTGGTATAATAAGGGTCACAGATGTAAACCAAAAGAGTAAATAAATTAATGTTGCAAATCGTAACAAAGTGAACAATCATGTCTGTCTTTCCTTTCGAGCATAGCATGTGACTAGGGTTGCTTCTGTTCCACAACCACAAGGCATCTGAAATGAAAAAGTGAATAACTTGGCTAATGTCATCGATCCAAAAAAAAAATGAGTTGCATGCTTGGTTTTTCATCGAAAAATCCGAAACCATGGTTTGGACACAAGTTTGTCTCGTAGTAACTTTTGCTTATATTTTAGTTTCAAGATTGTCAATATAAATCAAACATAAATTTGGTTACTTTGAAAAGTTTCAAATTATAGTTTAGGCAAACATCTGTCTTTTAGAACTTTAAATCTAAAACCAAACCCCATTGTACGTACCAATCTGTAGATTCACAAATAACAATATACTCTCAATGTAGATTTAGTGCGTTTCTTTATGAGTTCAAATGTGAAAAATCCACGTCAACCAACCACTACTTTGTGTAGCATTAACGGTAAACGCATGTGGGAACACCACTGAATTAGACACACTTATGCTTAATTTTTTAAGGAAATAACATTTTATATACATTTTGGTTAAAGAATACTTGTATGTTTAATTATAAATGAAAACATAATAGATGTGAATATATTATATAAATAAATTAAATTTTGACACAAGATTATGAGAAACTTTATGAAGTACAAAACGTGTGATTCAGAAAGGCAATAAAATAGGATTTTTTGAAAAATATCAATGGAATGGATATATTTTCTTATCTGGGTGGGTAAAATATTTAAGGTAAACGGAGACTCAATCTATCAAGTTCAACTAACCACCATCCTCGGTGAGAGTTTATGCTGGACTATAAATCACCAATTAATAAAGGGTCCTACAAAATCTAGTCAAGTTGTTATGAGTGAAAGGTCAATTAGGTGAATCAACATTCATTGACTAAAGGAATAACGAAGTAACATTATTTTAGTTTGTTATACTGTAATTTGTTATGAGTAAATAATTTTTTTCACTTTAATCAGTTGACTAGTTTAAGTTAAATTTAGTTTAATGGATGTGTCCATTTTAAGCAATTAGATCTATACTCTCTTTTTTTCCCACTAATCCATACTATAATTTCTCTTAAATCAGGATAGAAAACCCGAAGTTCAATACATTCTTCACCGATGCATGAGTATCACAAGAAGACATACCATAAGACTACTGAAAATAGAGAAATATTTATCAGCCAAAAGTTTTTTACAATGAACTTTCAATATGGTAATCTAAAATTTTGAGTCTAATCATATTAGTGTTCCACAAAGTGTTGTCATTAAGTTATTTGAATATTAATGTAATAACAAACTAATGTTTAAACTATCACGCATTGAGGGTGTAGTAACTTTATTCCTCTTTGCATTAAAAAAAGAAGAAGCTTTATTCCTCTTTTTTTTAAAATACACTTCTTGTCCAAATTAGCTGTCATTCTAATTTCTTGGACAGATGAGTGCGTTCCATCGCTTCAATTTATCCAAAAATCAATTTATTTTACGACTTATCCAACAATCAGTATAAAAACAAAACAAAATAGATACTTTCTTCAATAGGAATAAAGAGCAGGAGGATTTAGAATTATTCTTAAAATAAATTGTCTTTTAAAAATTAATGTGATTGACCATGTATCATGGACTAATTATTATTTGAGCATTTCATTATTTTCTTTTCTTCATTTGTGCATTCTATCTACTTTTTTGCGAGAGTCCTGAGGGCAATTTCTTTTCCGACCTCTCAATTTTTTTAATTGCACTTTTTTAGCATTTTTAAAAAATAAGTTTAAAAATAATTCATAAATTAGTTTTAGTATTAAATTGTTGAAAGAGTTTTTGGAATTAAAATTTTGAATAAAATAGAAGGGCCCGGGCTATAAAAAGAAATTCCCAACCATGAGAGGGTAAAGTTTGGTTCTGGCCATTTGTGATGGTCTCCAAATGATTTGAATCATAGGCTTGAGGCTGTTTGCAACTTTGTTTTCCTCATCTTGTATACATGGAAAACAAAAATTTTCTTTTAAATATTTAATACAATTATATTTATAAAAACTATAAATTTAGAAATTATACTTTTAAATATTTAATATAATTATATTTATAAAAATATAAATTTAGAAATTACACGTTAAGTTAAAATATTTTTAGATTCATGTATTCGATAAAAATGACTTTATTAAAATTATACTTAAATAATGATATTTTTGTTGATTCTTTGTTAAATACACATTTTAAAGAGTCAAGATATTTTATTTCCAATCAAGATAAAGAAGTGTCAGAAAATGGCTCTTTAGGTATTGGGAGTAGGTAAATTCTACAATTGTCTTAAAAAAAGGAATATTCTATACTCTTAATTTTAATAATAAAATTATTAATATATTTAAAAAAACACAAATATTTTTTAATATCTTAATATAATATAAAAAAATATTTAATAACATTTAAATTTAAAAGTACAATAATGTTTGGTGTTTCAATATCAACTGATCACGTGGCCTTATAGACATCATTGACACCGACAATGTTATTATGACAAATAAAAGGATTGAGTGAGAGAAAACAATTTTTCCTCAGAATGTAAAGCACAAAAAGAAACAGAAGATTATATATATATATATATATATATATACGTTAGAGTATGAATACATTTTTTTATCATATTTTATAATAATTATATTAATTTTTTAAATAGTCTAGTAATTTTTTACACACTAACATAACTTTTCAAATTTTTTAATTACAATTCTCCATGTATAATTATATAATCTAAATTTTCATTTTTGCTTTCATACAAATAAGTTTTTTTTATTAGATCTCTCGAAATATTCATACTATTTAATATATTTTTATAAAATGTAAGATTAACTAATTTAATTTATTAAGTATGAGAAAGAGGGAGTTTTATAAAATTTAGATGAAAGCGGTCTAAATTATTCAAAAATCAAACTACCTCAATTTTTGGTTGTTGGAGCCAAAGTTGCTCAAACTGGATTGTTGCCCAATCTTAGTCCAATGACTCTAAATCCAACTAAAGAAAATATATATTTTAGAATAATGTCCTTTTGCATTATAGAACTAAGTTACCCTTTTCTTATATAATACATTAGTAATTATTCATCTTTCAAATAAAAAAAATCAATGTAGTTATGAAGATAATAGTTATTGAGCATTGATTATGAAGAGGGTATTTAACTTGAGTTTTGTTATTCACATAAGGACCGATCTTGCTAACAAATGATATAAAAATATTACTGAAAAATAAATAAATTTTATAAAAAATATATTAATATATTTTAGTAAAAAATATATTAATTCCTTGGTGGCATGGGAATGGGTCAAACTTCATGCAGTGTAGTAGGCGGAATCATAAAGTTGATGTTACCCTAAATTTATCGCTTGTTTCGGAGTGTGGCATGTGTGGTCTCTGTGTGTACAAGATTATTGATTATACCATTAATATGAATAGTTTTACAGGTTTATGAACTAGTGTTTTCAAATTTTTATTAAAAATATATTATTAATACATTGAATTAGGTATAAAAATATATTAATCAATTTTAAGAATCAATAAAATATTATTTTATATCATTAAAGGATTAATTTAGTGACAAATTAAATCTTTAGAAGGCTAATTTGAGGATAATATTTGTATAAATTTAACGTGGTAATGATATAAATATTTAAAATAACTTTTTCAATAACACTTCCATATTTAGTGAATAAAATTAATATTTTTCTTTTATAATTTTATAAACAAATGACATGACACTTAACAACGCATCATATTATATTACTTACAAATGTAAATGACATTTTTAAGTAGTCAGACAAACACTTCAAACAATTTAATACAATTTAATGCATTAATATTATTAAATATATTTTTTAATAAAAAAAACATTATATATTATTTGTTTTGAAAAAAATGATCTTACAAATTTAGTGCAAAGGTATAGAAGTCGGTGTATCAGAGCATTTTTTGATAGCTATCATAATCGTGGAGAAATTATTGCATTTTCGATATATGAGAGCATGAGTGCTTGGGTCCCAAATTTCATGGCAAATGCACGTTTGTAACATTACCCAAATAAAAGTTAGCTGCACCTTCATAAATTGGTAGTTGTATGAATTTACAGCCTTTGTCCTGAATCATAATTATTGTTTTCTTTTCACAAATAGTATATATAGTGATGATTATCCCGTGTTTTCATAGCATATCAATCTATATTCTATCATATATCTGCATTTTGATTTCTTTGTAGTTGATCAACCATGGCTACCCGTGGAAGGCTAGAGGTAGACATTGAGCTCAAGTCTAACCCAGACAAGTACTGGAAAACCCTTAGGGACTCTACAACCATATTCCCTAAGGCCTTCTCACATGATTACAAAAGTATTGAGATTCTTGAGGGTGATGGCAAGTGTCCTGGTTCTGTCCGCCGCATAACTTATGCTGAAGGTAAGAACCTTCTCCCAAGGAAAGGTTTCTTTTCTTATTTTGGGTATGAGTAAAAGGGTTATAATCTTTTCTTCTTTGTATTTTTACCCCTTATGTGAAAATCAAATCTAATACTTGTAATGTGGGATTTTCTCTAGTGTTGTAACCTTGTTATAATGGCATTTAGTGATAGTCTGCTATTTATGTTTGGCTATATATTGTACAGAGATTATAGTACTTCAGTCGTTTCTGTTAAATTGAGCTACTCCCATAATTTTGAACCCCTTAGATCTTTTTGTAACCATGAGATTTTAAAAACCCTCCATTAGTTCCTGATTTTACGAAATATTATTCACTTTATATATATAGTAAAAAAATCAAAGTAAAAAAGACGAAAACAAATGATGTTTTGTAGATTTTTATAATTTTAAGAACTAAAATATCTCACTCACACTTCCTTGATGACTAATCTATATGTTTAATCTAAGAATATTTGTTCCTAGCATTTTGATTTGTTCTTTGGTGGTTTATGGTACAGGGTCACCACTTGTGAAAGTATCCATTGAGAAAATTGAAGCTGCTGATGATACAAAGATGACAGTAACATATTCTGTGATTGAGGGGGACCTCCTCAAGTACTACAAAAAATTCAAGGGGCACATCACTGTAACACCCAATGGCGATGGATGTGAGGTGAAATGGGCTGCTGAGTACGAAAAGGCTAACCTTGAGATTCCTGATCCAACTGTCATCAAAGATTTTGCAGTTAAGAACTTCTTAGAGGTTGATGAGTATGTTCAAGCACAAGCATAGAGGTTCAACACCATTGAATGACCATAATCTTAGTAAATGTATTATTAAATAATGTGGTGGTTCCACCATTTCCTGTTCTGTGTTGTTATTGATCCAGTTGTCCATTATTCAAGCACGAGTAATGGAATATGAGAACTGAAATATATTTGATTCTCTATATATGCTTATTCATATATTAATGTATGCTTAAATCCATGAAATGCTATGCATGAGATGCTACTCATGAGTTCTGAACGAGTACTTCAATTCAGTGAGCTATCTAAAGTCTAAACCAAATCACCTTGATAGAAATTATCAAATTCAACCAAGATTTACAAAACAAATCTCATGATAATAGCTTAATGTAAAACCAAGAAATACATTGAAGAAGTTATCTACCTAACAAAAGGCTCAAAGGACAGATTTTTGAGGCAATCCTAATGTAAATGATAATCACTACGGCATATGAGTCCATCTCAATAAGAACTTGCCCTTATTGCGTGGTAGGAGCTAATCTAAGCCCTACCCAGAATTTTGCATTGCTGATCGATCGATGAACAAAAAGCCCTTAATCAATTAGACTCAACTGCATGTCCCTCATCGCAAGACCACCACACTTTGCCATCCTCCTTTAATTTAATTTGTTGACGCCAAAACTGAGTAATTCTGATAATAAAATCATGATTTAAATCACAATTTGGATTTTTCTACACAAAACACACACACACACAGGAATGTTTTGATAATGTAACTTAGAACTTTAATGCGTTCTTTAAGCTTTAAAATTTTCGAAATATACATTTCTTTACTCTTAAACAATCAAGTAAAAAAAAAAAAAAAAACTCAACTTCCAAAATTACCAAAAAAAAAGTCTTAAAATTTTTTAAAAATTTCTTTATAATATATATATATATATATATATATATATATATATATCCCAAAGGTGTAAATTAAAATTCTCATTCATTAAAAATATCACATTATTCATTCTCACGTGTATCCGAACGTGTTTATAAAAATTTTTCTTTCCTTTGACAAAATGATAAATTATTCAAATGAAGGAAAATAACATTTTTCTTACAAAATTATTGTTTTAATCTTCTTTTAATAAATACAAACAATGCGAAAGGATACTAAAGGGAGTTTATATATGGTGAGTTTTTATTAAAAATTAATATATTAATTATTAAATATTATAATTTTCAATAATTTTATTAATGAAAAAAAACTGTTAATAATATATAGTTGTTAAAAATTAGTAATTAAAAAAGCTCATCAGGCCGTGTGTTAAAACAACAAAAAGTTATAATTTAAAGGTATCTCGGTAATATACTAATGTCAAAATTTTAAAACTAAAAGCCTTTAAAATTGAATATAGGTAATGCCAAATTATTAAGATAGGATGCGTCGTGAAAATTCTTAATAAACAGTATCATACCTGACTTTCAAAAGACGTGATAAGTTGATATTTTAATATATTTTACAATTTATATTTATATATTTAATCTCTATTTTTTATATATTTACACTAATTATGTTATTAATTATTGTAATTTAGTTGAAAGTTATCATTAGTACATAATAGCTGAAAGTTATTAACAGTTGTACGTAAAGTTGAGTTTGAATTTAAAATTTAAAATTTAAACTTAAATATAAAGATTTAGATCGATTCTGATTGTAAATAAAATCGATTTAAAAAGATACAGTTTAACCGACTGAAAACTCAGGACACAGTTTATATAAAGGAGTTTTATGCTCCACACTTGAGACACTTCTACTTCTCTATACACCTTCTTAGTTCTAGTCAAACTCATCTTTGAGAATCATTGAAGACCATTGGCAAAGATAACAAGCTTTCTCTTGAAATCTAAACAAGTGATTGAGTGCCCTTCAAAGAATGAGAACTCTCTTCATCTTTTACCTTTTTATGTTTCTTTTGTTTGAGTTTTTTTTTTATGGTTATGGGTTTATTTATCACGTTCTTTGTAGTTTATTTTGTTATGAGTAGCTAAACTCATAACTAGGGTTATGACGGATCATACTACAAACTTTATGTGATTTTTACTTTTAATGTTGGTATTAGTTTTCATTTAATGTTTGATTTTTATTCTATTGAATTATATTGTATATGTTAAAATTTGATCACCCTTAGCATCTCATAGTTAGTTATATTGTAGGCGATCGTATCACGTATAATTAACGAAACTATAGGATAAAACAAGATAAAGGGCTAAGTTAATCATACTTAATTTTTTTCTTTCAGCCATTATTAAATTAATAAACCTATAGGATCTTCATGCTTTCTCGACCAATTACCTTGTATGATTATTAGGGTGTTTGCTTAGAAAAAATAATATTGACATTACATAATCATTGGGTGTTAATAGAACTAATTATGAGTAATTGACAAATATTTGAATACTAATACTAAGATTAAATTAATTAGAACATAAAGAAATGTAGTAGGTGAACTCATAAGTTTTAGGCTCATCTCATCAAATATCTCTCAAACATTATATTATTGTTCTTTTAATTTTTTGTTAACAATTAAGCTTTATTTTTTATTCGTTACAATTCTGTTACATTTAAACAATCAAATTAAATTATTCTTGATACTTGAAAATAATCTCTCTGAGACAATAAATTAATTTCAAGTACCAAGAGAGATTATTTGTAGTAGGATCTGCTATAACCCTAGCTATGAGTTTAGTTACTCATAACAAAATAAATTATAAAGAACGTGATAAATAAACCTATAACCACAAAAGAAAACTCAAACAAAAAAAACCCAAAAAAGTACAAAGGGGCACTTAATCACTTGCTTGGACTCCAAGGAAAAGCTTATCGTCCTTGCCAATGATGGTTTTCAATGACTCTGAAAGATGAGTTTAGTTAGAACTAAGAAGGTGTGTAGAAAAGTAGAAGTGTCTCAAGTGTGGAGCATAAAGCCCTTGAGTTTCTAGTTGGTTGGACTTTATCTTTTCAAATTGGTTTTATCCACAATTAGAATCGCTCCAAATCTTCATATCTAAGTTTAAATTCAAAATTTGAACTCAATTTCATATATATGGAATAAAAATATGTAATTTTTATTTATAATATTTTCATAATGCACTAATAACAACTTTCAGCTAAACTGCAACAATTAATAACATAATTAGTGTAAATATATATAAAATAAAATTTAAGTGTATAAATATAAGTCATAAAATATATCAAAATATGAACTTATTAAGGCGACAATTAGATATGAAAACAGACTAGACTTTGCATAAATAGGCCTAATTTATTTAATAATTTTGAAGCATAAGTTTGACTTATTACTTGTCATAGGTTTTTTATTAAGTCTATTATAGCCTTTTTAAAAGTCTAATTTTGTCAGTTAGTCTTTTTAATGGCCTATTTTGTATTGAAATATTTAATAGGTCATTAAACTTCCTTATAAATAGACTATTAAACTAACTTAATAGGTATATCTTTTTTAAAGTAATAAGACTTATATATAAATAAATTATTAAAAAATTATTCAACACCTTGAATATGTATAATAAAATTATATATTCTTATTTATTACTTTTAAACCACATATTTAGTTTAAATAAGTAAATCACTAAACATATAAAAAATATAATAAAATGAATATCAATTTATAAATCATTAAGCAAATCTAGTAGCATAAAGTTTTACACATTAAATCAATAAATACAGTATAACTAAATAAGTTTCAGACCTAAAATTAGCAAATGCAACAAATAATAATATTTTTTTTACAGTAAATGTGAAGCAAAAAATATGTCATCAGATATTCAAGAAGATCTCTTGATATTGTTCATCAACTTTCAAAATAAAGAAAAAATTATTAAAATAAAAATACTTTAAAAATAATAATTACAAATATTTTTTAAAAATACTTTTAAAAGTTATTACCTTTAATTTTCTCGTCAAATTATACTTGTGACAAAACTAATTGAATTTTTATATATTATTATATTATAATTTTTATATAAAATTATTTAATATATTATTATAAATTTAACTTTTTAACAAGCTTAAATTAATTAAACTTTTAAAAGGTCTAATAGACTTTTTTTTAAGTTTAACTTTGACCTATTTAATTAATTAAACTTTTTCACAAGCTTAAATTAAGTCTATTAATTAAATAAGTGAAGTTGGACTAAACTTTAAAAAAGTTAGGCCATAAGCTTCTGTTGAACGACCTTATCTATTTTTATCTCTAACGACAATAATCGCTTTATGATAATCTCATGAATACCTTCTACTTAAATTGTTATATTTTGTAAAATAATAAATAATTTTCTTTTGAAGGAAAAAATCAATAAGTTTAGAAAATTATTAAATAATATCTTTAAATAAAACCCCGTTTAAAAATGTAAAAAAATAAGAAGTTGAATTTTGAAAGAAGACTGCATGTTTGGAAAATCATAAAATAAAAATTAATTTGATTTTACTATTCTGTTACTTTTAGCAATTTACGTATAGAAAATTATGAATTTGACTAAAGGTGTTTGTACTAAAAAGAATTTGACTGAAAATGTCATTCTAAACCATTGAAATGAAACAAAATTAATAAGATTTGACTATAAACTGAATGTATCTCTTTTTTTTTCCTTTCCTTTTCTTATATTAGCTTGTGAAATGCTTATCATACTAACATAGACGTTTTATTCCACTCCTAAACTATGTATAAATATCTGTTAACAAGGCACCAACTCACTTTTTTTAATTTACACGCACCATATATATCATATGCATAAGGTATTACAATCAAAGGTGCCATGTCTTCAACATTCGTGAGAATTGTTCTTCCACTATCACTGCTTGCATTGCTGGTAGCTGTATCTGATGCATGTCTACCATTCCAAGTACACGAGGTAGTGGTGAACAATTTGGCTGATAACAAGCTTCTAATCATTCATTGCAAGGAAGAGACAGGTAAAGATATTGGAGAGAAAGTACTTGGTCCTGGTGAAACCTTAGAATTCAAGTTCAGGCCAAGGGTTATTGGCTCTACAAAATATCAGTGTAACATTAAAAGGAAAGGTGACTTTTATAAGTTTGACTTATATGAAAAAAACAAGGATCATAAGAAATGTTGGCATTGCAACTGGAGTGTAATGGAGGACAAAATTTGTAGGTACAACCACAAAACCCATGCGTATACTGATGATTGTTTTTATTGGAAGAACAACTGATTGAACCATTATGTGTAGTCCCAGTAATGCAGTTCACTGTGCTATCATCAATAAATAGCTTATCTATTTATTATTTTACTTTTAGATTAAAGTACTGTTGATCATGTAGTGACGAAGGGCAATAAAATGAAGAACTTTCATATTTTTTAATGTGAAAAAAAATGCTTGTGGTTTTTTTTTCTTCCTTAAAAGTTGCAGATAAAGTATACTTGAGTACGGAGTTCAATTAAACATCATTAACTTAATAATTTTTATTATATGAAGATTTTTACCATAAATATGACCATAAAATTGATTAGAATAAATTTAAAAAACAGTTTATTTTAACAAGTTACAATAAAAATATTATTAAAATAATTTTTTAGAAAAACTCGAGCGTTATAAATTATTTTTATAAGCTTTTCAAAATCTTTCACACACTTTCATAATGTACATAATTTTTTTTTTCAAATTTCTCATATTAATAAGTATTACGTACAATGCATAATAAATAAGCAAATATATATATATATATATATATATATAATCTTAAAATTACACACAATTAACCAATTGCAAAAACACTAAACATAATAAAATAAAGTAAAAAACAACCGAAAATTACAGACACCCTTAACAAAGAACAGAGCCAGAGCCACAAAGCCTCTTTTTAGCTCTTTAACTCCTTCTTCCAGATTATGAAAAACTCCCCAGCTGTTTTTGGGCCTTTTTGATTGACACTTGGACATCAATTTTTTTTTATTCTGCAACATTGAACTCTTTAGATTTTGTTTTTGTTCAAGATGGAACTCTTTAATCGGTTTGTTTGAATTTGAAATAAGATAGAATAAACTAATTTAATGATGATGTAAGAAAAACTAACTAATACGGTGCTCCACTTGGTCAACGAATCATTTGTACTATAAGTGATCATAGCAGTAAGAAAAAACATAAAAATAAACATTAAAAACTTTAACATACTTGAAATAAAAAAACAAAACGGAAGTAATGTTTATCAGAGATGTTATCATGGCTTTATTTTTTGTCCTTATCTGATTTAAAATTTTGAGCATCAATTATTTGAATCTAAACCCCACTTAATCAAAATCTTGTACTATTTGAAATAAGATTGAATCAACTTAATTAATTTATTGATATAGTATTTTAATTTTGTACATTAGCACAACTAAATTATAGATGTAAAACGGATGTATGACATGAGAATACTTAATTATTATAAAAATGAAAAAACTATAAATTATTAAAATTTATTTGAATGGTTATAATTAAAACTAAAATACACAATTTTTAAAATTGTAACGTGATTATTAAATAATCTTGTCCATTTAACTAAAAAAGTTTTAATATCCGTCACTTTCTATCTCTATATATTAAAGTAAGTCTCTAATGAATATTTGTAATACATATTTTTATTATTATTATACCATTTGACTTCTTTTGCATTTTGAAAAACACAACCTTTTACTCAAATTGATATATTTTGTAAAATAATAAATAATCTTCTTCTGAAATAAGAACTCATTTTTGGAAAATATTAAATAGAATCCCATTTTAAAATGTAAAATAATAAGAAGTTGATTTTTTACATAAAATTAGATATTTGAAAATTATAAAAGAAGATTTAATTTAAACCATTCAAATAAAACAAATCTAATAAAAATTGTTGATTCGATTCACTAATTTTATTTATTATTATTATTTATTTTATTTTCTTAAATTTTATTTTTATTTTATGTGAATTCTTTTATTATAATACTGTTGAATTTTAAAATTTGAAAATTTTCAATGCTTGAGAGATTCTTTCAAAAACACAGTATTATAATCAACATATAAAAAAATCCAGTCATTTCATCTTAAATAAGAGTTAAAGCGCAAAGATTAACCATTCTTTTCGTCAAATCTTGATTTTGAACACTTTTTTTATTTTCTTCAGACGATCACGACAATTATTAAGAATTTCTCATAATTGTTGAGTTGCAACTAACATATTAATTTTGTGTGTGATTTTATTTACTAAAATGAGAAATTAAAACAAATTATTTTTAAAGATCCACATTATTTCAATCATAAATTTTTTATATTTTGATAATTATTAATAAAATTTCTTTAGATCTTTTACTTATGGCATTTTTCTTTAAATTTCGTTATGTTTTATTACCTATACACAAAGAATTAAACGGGTCTAAACAATCCGACTTAAAAAATGTAGCTTCCAACAAAAATTTTAACAAAATTTAACGGTCTTATAATAAAAAAAAAATAACTTGAGGTAAACTTTAAAATTAATTAAAAATATCAAATATTCACATGCTTATAATTTAACAATATATATATATATTTTTCATTTCCATTGTTAAAATATATTATAAATAAAGTAGTTATAAATTAATTTGGCTTACGAAAGAACTTAAACCTGCACAGTTATTATTTAATAAATATATACAAATTTCATTTAATAATAAAAATATATTAACAATTGTTGTTACTATTCCTCATTGTCGCATATTCCACGTACTAGTTACATCTATTTTGTAATAAAGGAACATTATGGCATGGCGACTCCAAGTTCTCAACCACTCTCTTAACCTTGTCCCCTTTGGATTTTCCCCACAGAACAGCGTAAAATCCCATCACGATTATAACCGCACCAATCAAACTGCAGGTAAGTCATTCCAAAACTTCATTAATTTTCACAAAATCCGATTAAATTAAGGTAGGAGTCTTCATAGTCCATAGATAAAGTATTTGCTATTATGTAACTTAAAGTGGTAGTGATAAAATTTTACCTTCCAAGGCATAAATCATCGCCGAGAAAAATTGCACCCATTAAAACGGTGAAGATGATTCCCATAGGTTTGAACATAGCACAAAAAAGAGGTCCTGCTCTTTGGACGCACCATGTGCATACGTGACGTATCAGTATGGCAGCTATTGCCTATTCATAACCATTGTAAACCTTATTAGGGACCACAATCCACAAGCACCAAATTCTAAACGAATGGGAATATCTAAACAAAGGAGGAGGAATGGGTACATATCAAAGTTTTCATTTTTAACCCTTTATATTTTGTGATTAAAGTATATTCATCGTTTTCAAATTGATAGCCGAGACTATGAAGTATTACCTGATATAAAATGACAATAAAACCCTTATCAACTAGCTTCCATGCTCTTGGATCATCTCTAACTGCTATTAAGGTAAACACTGCTGATTGAAGGAATGAAAAAAATATTTGAAAGAAGACTACCACTCTTACGACAGGGTATTTCTTTATAACTGTAGTCTGAAACATTAGCAGGAAAAGGAACAAAAACAAAATCAATAAATTTTACATTCATTGTCTTAGTAAAATGAATTTATATATATATATAAATTCAAATAAAATAACACTTTTAATAAGTCTTCATTAAAAATAAATTTTATACATATATAACTTATTTATGTGTTTAGTTTTTATCTTTTAATAAATTATTGCTTTTAATCCCTCTAAGTTAATATGGTTCATTAAAACAATACTAAGTGTCAACTTATAATTGAATCATATCAACTAGAAGGACAAATAATTTATGAACAAAATAAAAATTATATTTTAACAAAATATCTTACTGGAACTAATTCAAATTTTATAATTTTTGTAAAGACTAAACACTTAACAAATATATAACATAACATGTTTTATTTTTAAGATATAAAAAATATAAATCTGAACCTTAACCATATAATTATACATAAATAATTAATCAAAATTAAAAAAATCATGTAATTACTTAAAAATATTATATATATTTATAATTTTAATCATTCAATTAAGATCTAATAATATATATTAATTATTCTTACATTAATATGTGTATATATATAGTAGCAAGTAATTTGCCCAACCTGATATATGTACCACATGGAGCCAAGGAGAGAGTCTCCAGCACAGAATAACCCCCCAAAGATCCATGTTGATTGGGGTGAAGATTGAAGTTTATTATGAGAGTCTAACGAATGTGTCTTGAAGATTGGTTGGCCCTTGTAAAATATCACAACAAATGCTCCTGTAATTGATACTATGGTTCCTAAGATTTTGGCTTGGCTGCTAAATTGTCTCCAATGTACTTCTTCCATTCTAAACCATTAAATTTGAGACAATATTAGTTCAGATACTGTAAATGCAAGATTTGGCATATATTACATAATTACAAGACCATGGCATCATGTAATGTAGAAAGGTTCCATATTGTTTAACTTGGATTTAAACTGTGTTCACAACAGCCGCATTAATTATAGCTGTATTTTAGTTTTGGAGATCATCCACAACATTTTTACAATTTCTCTGATTGCAATACAATCATAATAGCAATCCAAAACCTTTCAAATAAAGTAACGGACCCACTCATGGCAAAGCAGGGGTACATGCCCCCACTTTTTTCAAGTTTTAACGTTAATAATTTTTCGTTGTCTTTTAGCTGTTATTGAATTCAATCTTATTCTCATCGAAGTAATTTTACAATATTACTTTTTTTCTTATACAAAAGAAGATATTATGAAGCGCCTTAGATCCCTTTTGTTATTTCCATGAGGGAGATAAGGCAACAAATCTCACAACCCTTTTCTAGTGTCAACTACTGGTTTTAATGGCAAGATATTTCCTTCTTGTTTTGGTTAAACACACCGGACTCCAAATTTCAGTTGATAGTTGGAGTCCTCTTGTTTTCAATTTATTTTGAAGAATGTCTGAACGTCGCAGAAAAATAAATAAAAATAGCTGAACCTGAAAATGAGAGCTAGAACAAAAGTGAAAGCTGGAATGAGGTTAAGCATGGCTGAAGCAAGTGTAGGCGAGCTTAGTTCTATGCCAACATAAGACATTATATGTGCTGAAGTCCTGCACCGTAATATAGTTACGAGTAAATACCCAACTCAAATTCCTGAAAAGTTTTTACTTCACTCAATTTAGTTTTTTAAAACATATCTTAAATAAATTTTAAAAATTACAAATACGAGACATTTTAATTCTTTATCCAATAAATGTAGAGATTGAAAATGTTCTCTGTTTATAATTTTCAAGGATTATTTTCTTTCAGAAATCAAAGTGAAAGTGTCTTTTATTAACATGAGACACCAATGAATATATAAACAAAATGGAATGTTGAAAATAAGATCCGACATAAAGAAAGTTGTATGATCATAATTTACAACCAAAGCATCACAACGTAATATGATTTACAAGCAAATACAGATAGAAGCATAATAATAGTTAGAATAGTAACACTAACCCAAGCAGTGCAGCAAAAAAGAAGCTGCAGAGTGTTGAGAATGTGAGAGGAGGGCGCTCTGACCTGCCATTGAAAAAAGGAAACCAAAAGACAAACGTAAACAATTTCAAATATCTCTTTTATTATTAATTAAAATTCGTTAATTTTACTTGTAATTTATAAATTCTCAATCGTACTTTCATAATTTTAATAAATTTCAACAAGAAAATAAGAATTGACGAAGAAAAAAGTATTTATTGGAGTCCTCTTCAACAAAATTCTTTCAGTTAAACTTGAGCCAAATACGTGTCCTTTCATGCAGTGCAAGGGATATAAAGTAAGAAAGAAGAAAACAAAAAAAGAGAACCTGTTAAGAAACAAGGCAGAGGGAAGAAGAATGAAGGTGGAGAGAGCCGTAGAATAGACAACCGTGACATACTTGTTCATCCCCTCAGCCATGGCAAATTTGATGACCACCATGTTCCCACTTTGAATCAGCATAAACATCATCATCCCCACAAAGGGCAGTAAATTGTCCATACTGTTTATCCATCCTTCCATTTCTTTGCTTCCTCTCTGCCCCTCTATCACTTCCTCTTTCTCTTTCATCTTATTGCTCTGTGCTAGCTCAACACTATTGCTTACGGAGATGATAGACCCATACTCTTCATCATATACCTTCTGTATGCTAGCTTCCACGCTACTTTCCAACTTGAGTCATTAAAATTCAACATCATACTTTTAATAATATATCCTAAAATGTAAAAGAACCTTTAAAAATATCTTCTTTCAAGTGTTCCAAAAATAACTCTAAAATGACAGGTGTTATCTCATTTCATGGTGTAATTGAGTGCGATATTGTTTCATTTTCTTTGCAGCTACACACTAATTTTGCTACTAAGTAAAGTGATGTGATTTATGCTGACGATTATTATGTTCTATCTTCTGGAGACATGACATGGGGAATACTGAGGAGAGGTAATGAGTGATTGGTAAAATGTTTTACAGATCAACAAACATTTATGCTTATTGATTATTCGTGCAACCAATTTTTTTTAATCAACAATAACTTTATCCAAATTATGAGGGGATAAAATTCCAAACTTTTGGCCCACCTATCCCTAAAATGAGATTGCTTCCATTTCATCGTATCCTTTCCCACTCTGTTTGGTCGAATAATGTTTTACTTACACCTATGCAGTGGTACTTACTCCTGCAAAAACCAACTGACAAGTTGTAAATTATTAATTAAAAAATGGACCAAGGCCTAGAAGCTGTGCTTTGAAGTGCGTTCCTTTGGCTGCGGACCCACTAATCAACTAGACGTTCAAATAATGATACCAATACAAGTTGGGCCAACAAAATATTTTTATAATAAATTTTAAATATTTAAAATAATAAATTTTAAATAAAGTATAAAATTATTATTATATTAAAAATATAAAATATAATATTTTCAAAAAAATATATTTAAGAGTTATACGAATCAATCATTCTTGTGAGTTGTATTTTAAAAACTAAAAAACTAATGAATATTAATTAAAAATTAAAAAAATCACTTTTTTTCCTCTTTTTCTTCAAAATTTATTTCTCATGCGCTTCTTCGATGGTTAAACTTAATCTCAAAGGTTGAAGTTAATTAAGATTAACAAAACTTAAATAAAAATAACTAAATATAAAAAAATGATAATAGACATTTTCTCTAACAGAAGTAGTTATATACTGCTGATTAAAGAAATACTCTAAAAGAATAATTTTTTCACAACTGAAAAATAATTTTTTTTTTATAGGTAAAACAAATTTTATTAAAAAGAATTTAAGGGGAACTCAAAACCCATATACACAAAAAATTACTTACTCAGAGAAATAAAAAGCAAAAATTTACTTATGCAAAATTAAGACAGATGCAATTTCGTAGGTTCAAATACCAATCAGCTAACATAATAGCTTCTCCCTTACTAACAAGTAAAAACCATTTCTAGGATCTCAGAATAATAGAATCTAGGACTTCCCTCTCATCCAAAACACTATTGCAAAATATAATTCTATTTCTATGCAACCACAAAGATTACACTGTACTTACCCAAATAATTAATAAGCATATTCCTTCTCTTTTACTACAGCCAACACCAACCCAAGAAAGCAAGTGAGTCGATAAATCTGAAGGCAAAACCAGTGAGAATCCAAGCCAACGCGCAGTAAAGTACCAGATTTGAGATGAAACTGAACACGTTAAAAATAAATGAGTTGGAAGTTCCTCCAAACCATGACAGAAATAACAAGTTATATCATCAATTTGAACACTACGATCAATCAGTAAACCTTTACAAGGAAGTGCATTCAACAACAATTACCAAGAAAAAACCAGACACTTAAGAGGGACCTTCCGTCTCCATAGTCTTTGCAAGGCATCTGCCGTACACTGATCTACACTATTAGGACCACCAAAAAGTTCAAATAGTCATGAATACACAGATTGCACTGAATAACAACTTGAAGAATCTGCCCTCCATACCCATTTATCTTCTTGTAGTAACTTAATAGAAACTCCATCCACAAGCTCCAACAAAAGATTAAAGATCGAGATCTCATGTTGAAAGAGTCCTCTTCGCCAACTAACATTCCAAACCCATCTAGTGCCATCATAAAAATCATTCTTCAATACACGTGATTCAACATTTCTCGCCACTGCAAATAATCGCAGAAATGCTTCACACAATCGCACCCCTCCTACTCACTTATCTCTCCAAAAAAGAGTGTGTAAACCTGCACCCACACTTCTATCAAACTTCTCATCCAGCCATGAATTCCCTTGATGAATAACCTCCAGCAAATCACGTCACCACAAAGAACATCTGTTGTGAACTGATGAACGTTGAAGAAAGGAAGCTAATCTTCCATATCTAGATTCCAATACCCGCACCCACAATGAACTAGAACAGTTAACACCTCGCCACAACCATTTACCAAGAAGCGCCTAATAAACTGAAAAATAATTAATTTTATAAAAAATGATATTAAAAAATATAATTTCTATTTATGAAAAATAATTTATTTATGATTAAAATTTAGTCGTTGATAAAGATATATTTTTAATGATTGAAATTTTGAACCTGTAACAAACATGTTGCAAGAACAGAATAACTATTATATAAATTATGTAAACTAACAATTATTGAACAAACCAGCAACTATATATTTACTGTAAAACCCAAATCCGAAAGAATTAACAATCATAAAAGCAGTAGTTGAACAAAAAAGTATAATTTGATTCACATTTGTCGGCGACGTAGCGAATGACTTTGCCACATGCTAGTTGCGGCCAGTAACTTGTTTTGTATATTGTAATACATTTAAGGCGTTTCTATCATAGCAAAGGACGTGGCTGTTGTTTCCGTTTGTGATCCTCAAAGATTTCTCAAACTTTTTCACACTATCATACAAAAGAACCTGTGTCGTTGTCTTTGTTCTGTAACAGAGGAGCTTCAGAAGAGGACGATGAAATAATGCTACAGATTCCATTTTTCTCACGTGCTATCTTTTCCTCTTGAGCCTGACCCCATATTACAGCATAAAACCCAATCGCTATTATGGCAGCTCCTATCACACTGCACAATAAATCACAATCCGACAACTTATTAAATAGGAAAATCCAATAATATTTCCTAATTAGCACCGATGTTATTGATTTGGGCAAATCATACTTATACTCTTTCACGTTTAATACAATTTCACCTTTACCATTTTTTCATTTTACATTTCTTTTTAAAATTTATGTAACAATATAATATCACGTACTCTTTTCGATTATACAAAATCATTTTAAATTTATTATGTAATTATATAAGTTTAAAAAAGTTAAAATAATATAAAAGAAAAAAAAATGGAATAAATTTTTTTTGAAGATATATGCAGGTACCTTCCAAGATATAGAATATCACCGAGAAAAGTAACCCCCATGGCAAGTGCAATCACAATTCCTAAAGGATTAAACATAGCAACATACACAGGGCCCTTCATGCGACACGCCCATGCATGCATCACACTTCGCATAGATATCACCAAAGTTGCCTACATGACCACAAAATAACAGCCATTATGCAAACTAAGACAGAGTAAATTGACAAAGTGTAGCATGGATTTATTTATTCTTCTAATGTCCTTAAATACGTACTGAATAGAATATACAAATCAACTCCATGTCAGGTTTAAGTATCCATGCCGTCGGATTTTCCTCTGCAATGAAAGCTACTATGAAAGATAGGATAACAACGAAACTGCAACAAATGGTTGTTAGCATTAGCTCCTCGGGGTAGTCTTTGAGAGTCCAGGTCTGCATAATGTATGAAAAAGAGACTGATTTTTGTCATTGGAGGACAAAGTGCCACTACCAACAAAATGTCAGTATAATTTTATTAAATCAAAAATAAATTATTCAGGTTGAATATCTTTTAACCCCTTTAGTCCTTTATATATATATTTTTAATTTTAATATTTTCAAAAATTATTAATTTTGTTCCATAATGGCTATCAAATGACGATGTAGCTGATCCAATATTATTATTTGTCAAATTTCCGTGACACATTTTGTTTTATTTTCTGAAGTCACGTAAGTAAGAAATAGGAGTGAAAAAGTAAGTGAGCCTATCTCGCTAAAATACATTGAAAAGAAAGTTGGGTCATCTCGGTCTACCTCATTTTTTGAAAATAGGGTTAGATATTCTAGATCACTCTGTGTAAGACTAGGCAACAAGAGTACGACATTGACTTTCGAAATACTAAAAGAATTTAAAAATTGTAAAGTAAATCGGTAGACTCACTCGTCCAAAATTAATATAAAAAAATTAAAAACTGAATAAAAATTTATGTTATAAAAAATATTTAAATAATATTTGTATATTAATAACGCTAAACAATTAACTAATAGATTATTATATTTTTTTTAATAAAAAAAATGAAAATGGATCTATTATTGATCCACATGCATTTTTAGGCAAGACCGTCAGTGGGTGTAGAATCCTCAACTGGATTCACTTATTTTAGGTAATATAAGTGTGTCAACTCTGAGTCAAGCCCACTTTATTGTCCCTAACAAGAACCAAAATCAATAATTTGAAACAATATATAAAAAGAACTATAAAGATTAAAATTAAAATATAATATACTTTAAGAAATTAAAATTATTGGAGTCAACTTAACAAAACAAATCTACACAGAAGTTTGATAAATTGTAATATATATACCAAATTTATAATGTTTATATGAATAACTTAATTTTGGTTATATAAATATCCAACCTTTGACGTTTTCTATTTAGCAGTGCACAAGCGGATTCTAAATAATAAGTGAAATCTACCTACCTGGAGAATCAGGTAAATTGAAGCAAGAAAGCTACCGGCTGCAAGAAGAAAGCCTCCTAGTAACCATTCTGATTGTTGTGATGATACCAAAAATTCACTATGCAAATTGTTTGGCATCACACCACTTGTCATAGGTAACCCCTTGTATAAGGTAACAATTAATGCTCCTGCAATGGATACCACAGTGCCAATGGATTTTGCTTGACAGCTTCCTAGTTTTAGATCTAGCTTTTCCATCCTGAACACGCATATCAAACTTTTTGTTTTATAAATCTCATTAAAGTTAAATTTTTAAAAGACTTGTGCAATCTTCATTTAATAGGATCATTTTTGTGTTAAGTTAGACCCAATCCAAATTTAAGATCACAGGTACTTATATTTCAGAAAAGCTCGTGTGCATACAGTATTTATTGACAACTAATTAAAATTTAAGATAATATCGGTAAAAATTTAGTATAAACTTCATTGTTTTAATATATATTTGACTATTTATTAATTCAGTCATGAATATATTGTTATATTATGCAAGAATCACTTATTTTATTAAAGGAACTCAAAGCACCAGATGAATAACAAATTAACGTTTAAAAAACAAAAAAAGGGCATCAAATGCAAAGATGAAAGCCACACAGGAAGGTATAAATAGCTTAAATGAACCCACAAGAATTGAATGGAGGTTTTAAGTAAGCACCTGGAAATAATGGCAACTATGAAAGTATAAGCTGGAATGAGGTCCTCCATGGTTGAGGTCAGAGTGGGAGAGCTAAGCCCAAGTCCAGTATAAATAAGTGTCTGTATAGAAATGCTAACACATGCAAGAAGCTCACTTAGTTAAAGATTGAACATTGCATTCGAACAAAAATCCATGTAATTTTATTTTGCCAATATTAATATATATACCTTAACACACTGAGAACAAAAATTCTCAACAAAATCCAGTTATTGATTGGTGTAGGAGCTCTATTTCTGGGATATGAAAATTAAGAGGCAAGGCACGAAAGGTAGTGAGAAGTACAGACCCACCTAATTAGTTTCATATGTATGTTGGAAGAAAGAAAGCTTGCTAAGATTAGAAGCAAAAAACCTGTAATAGACTATGTTTGAGAGTAGGAGGAAACAGAATGCGAGAAGATTTGAATAGGCAACATAAACGAAATTGCTCATTCCTTTGGCCATAGACGCTTTGATTAGAGTGTTCAAACCCACAGTCAAGAACTGCGCCACAATCATCACCGCTGTTACCCCTGTTCCCGGCATTTCGTTCACTCTCTCTCTCTCTCCCTCTATGGGTGTGTTGCTTACTTGCTTTTGCTTGTCCCACTAACTCTTGGTAAGCAGTATTAACGTGGAAACCGATGGTTTGCTTTAATGCCAGTGACTCCTCACCGTTTTCTTCTATATTTGTTTGGGCAATGTTTCTTGTGATACACAGAAATATTTGTCCTTACTCGCGAAATATCTTGTTAATTTTCTTCATACAAAATAAGGGGCCTAAATTTTTCATGAAATTAACTCATAATGATGCGTTAAAAATGCTTTATTAAAATTTTTCTAAGATTAATTTAGCAAGCATAGAAATAAGGGGCCATGCTGGGCTCTTTTTTTATGTATAGTTTTTTTAAAATTTAAAAAATATGGAATTTTTCATAAAATTATAAAAATATGATTTTTTTTATAAAAATTACACTTTTTAGTATTTTTTAAATATTTAATTATTATTTTAAAAATAGTTATAAGCAACTTTTTATTTTTTTAAATTTTTAAAAAAAATTATTATTAGTAATTTTTAAAATTTTATTATTTTGTTAATTCTTTATATCTGAATTTTTGTATTCCACTAAAAATCGTCGTTACCGATTTTTAAATCTTATATTTCTGTAATTTTTTAAAAAATACTATATTTTTATATATAATTTATAAAAATATATATAAAAAATAATTCAGCCATGCTGTTGAATTATTTTAAATTTATAATTTTTTATTTAATTCTATATATTAAAATTGTTAAGTATTTAAATAAATGAAATTATAATATTAATTATGCTGATAATTTATTTAATCAGCTGATTAGTTGATAGACATATTCAACCTTACCTGTGACAGTTCAAACTATTCATTCAAATGGAAAGAGAGATTACTGAACTCGCTTGCAAAACCAATAACTGTTCTCCTTCTCAAATTATTCATTCAAATGGAAAGGGAGATTCTTGAACTCGCTTGCAAAACTAATAACTGTTCTTCTAGGTTTTAGTTTTGGCAGAGAATTCTTATTTTTCTTTTCTACATAAACTAAAATAGATCAATTCCTCGAATCAAACAGACATTTCCTTAATTGTTTCTGGTTAAATTGTCCATACGATGGTTTTGTATCTTATCGTAAAAATTGTATTTCATGATTAAAAAGAATTCTACACAAACCATGTTCTTTGTTTGGTAGTAGGATAGATGCTTCCGATTGTTGGGCAAGGAATGGAATGAGTTGAAGCGTGAACCTCGAGAGATTTCAGGTGTGTATTCTCTTAGTTTTTCTCCTTTTCATGGGACATTGACACTGTTAGCTGTTACATCAGGTGCAGATAATTTGATTATAGTCAAGAAATGGAGTCCGGTTTCAATTTTTTAATGCAGTTAATCCATGCCGGTGGTTAGTTTCAAAGCACCCTTGAATTTTGGAACAGACCTAACTATACGCAACCGTTTTTTTTTTTACCTCTAGCAACAGAAAACTCTATTCTGATAATTAATCGTAAAATCTTATTTTCATCCTTTCTTTTACAGTAACTTAAAAATAAATAAAACAAATAGATAATATTTTTCAGCTATAAATAAAAATATAAATCAAATTGTATTCCTGAAATACTGAAAATAATTAACTAATGTTCTTCTTAATTATTTGAATAAATAAATAAATAATATCTTTAAATATTTTGGTACCGAAGAGTGTTTGATTGTTTTAATTATTAGTTTAATAAATATTAAAAAACATGTTTTAGTTGAGGAAGCAACCCTGAAATTAACAATTGCGTTGAAAAATAATACACACGTAAAAGAAATATCTCACGTACGAAAGGACAGTTATCAGATTAAGATAGAAAACCCAAACGAATATCACTTTTATTATAAAAAAATAATATATATTCTATTTATACATACTTTTAAAAATGTATGTTAATGTAAAATCTCCATGAAATATTTTATATAGATGTTCGTGAAATATTTTTTACAGTCTTTGATTTTTAATAAAAGTAAATAATTAATTTATCAAAATAAATAAAAAGTAATTATTATATTTTATAAAGACAAGCCTCAAGTGTTGTATTATAAATGTTATTTTTTAATTTAAGTTAATGTATTAATTCAGTAGTTCATGTAATAAATGTCAGCTTATATTTTGGATTTAAATTTTTAATTTTAATTAGAAAGAGTCCAAAAATACTTATAGTATTACGTCTAAGTTTTATTATTTCAAAAATTTCTTAATCATTTTTATGAAAACATTTTATGAAGATTTTAGGAGTACTTATATATTTTACATATTCATTATTTTTTATTGAATCATTTTAACTTCTTAATGTTTGATGCAATAATAAATTTTGACTTCAATTAGTAATAAATTTAAAAAGCTACCATTGATTTTTTAAAATTTAATGCAGTAACTACTTCAAATATTTATTTAATACGTGTGATTTAGTAACAAGTTCTTATAAAAAGCATTAAGGAGAGAGCATTTAGCTTAATCTTATTCTAATTCTTGGGTGCTGCTCTAAGTGGGAAGAATAAAGAGTGTTATTTGAGTTAATGTGTTAAGTGAGACTGAAATAATGAAATTGGAGTGGATTGACGCCTCTTTGCTTATGGCTAAAGAGAAGTTGATGAGGTGACATAAACAAATTTAAAAAATAAGACGATGGGCCAACGAAGCATTGAAAATAAGATATTACTGTTACTCACCCGAATGCATAAGCAAGCGGTTCCAACCATTCATCTCATCGTTTTCTTTTTTCGTCATGCGTTTTCAAAAAATAAATTAAAAATGTTAAAGAGTATCCTTAAAATATTTAAGTATTATATTTTTATTTTTCTTAAATTAAATTTAAAATTTAAGTTTTGAAAATGAAAGAAAATAGAAAAATCACTTTCCATTGTATAATAAGTGTTACTTATTAGAATAAAACTGTCTCATTTAAAAAAAAAATACATGTAGTCTTATAAGAAATATTAATTTAATTAATAAAAATATATTAGACAATATACTTGTACTAGATAGAGAACAACTCGGTCCTACTTGTATGGAAAGGAAACCGAGTACTTATTCGGCTTAATTTGGTCGGATACCCTTTGTCAAGATTAAAAGGTAATTAACTTAATTAAGGAATAATCAAGATATTATTTACTTTAAATAAAAGGCTAAAAATCAAGACTGACTTAGCAGACCCATTAGCCCATTACAGTGCCTATATAAGGAAGGTAAAAGTACAGGTAAATGATTGACTTTTCATTATAAAATAACATTTATTCCTCAATACCGGATCCTGACTTCAGCATCGGAGTGCCTTTTGCATGTACCCTCCTCACGTCAGCGACATTCAAAGGAACGTTACCATTTCAGAGTAGAGACTTGAAGACTAGTGTTTCTCTAGCAGGAACATTTTGGCGCCTACCGTGGGGCAGATTAGCCTCGTTTTTCAGATTAATCATGGTACTAACAATAAGCCAGCAAGAAGGACATGCTCAACAAGGAGGAACCTCTCGGCAACAACTGGAGGGTGTCACACCAAATGAACCAACACTTGAAATTGTGATGCAAGGAGGAACTGACGAGAGCCTCTTAGCTGTACTGAGACAGCTCAAAGCAGAAATGACAGAGATGAAGAGGGAGAGAGAAAAGGATGCACTGTAGCTCTCGGCTCTAAGAAGGGAAAATGCTAACTTGAGAGAAGAGATAAGAACACATATCCCTTCTCAAACTACACCCTTCGTCCAGGATCAGGGGGAATCCTCGGCGTTGCAAGAGAAATCAAAGCATGTTTTTCAGTCTGAAGCCAAAAATGACCGAGACGATCTTGTGAATCAGAGCCCATTTGTTCACCACATCTTGGAAGCCAAGCTACTCGACAACTGGAGAGGCTTAACAATAGAAAAATATGATGGCACGTCTGATCCTGGGGAACACTTGGACGTCTTCACAACCCAGGTCGGTTTGTATACCGAGAACAATTCTTTATGGTGTAGGATTTTTCTCACTTCACTTCGAGGACCAGCCCTCAGTTGGTTCACTCAACTTCCCCCTTCATCCATCGACTCTTTTGTAACCCTCACAAGACGGTTCAGCTTGCAGTTTACCATAAGCTGACCTCATCCCTTAACATCCTTAGCACTGGTCAATATTAGGTAAGAAAAGGGAGAATCACTTAGAGCATTCATGGAACGCTTCAGCAGAGTTAGCCTTTCGATCCATAACTTGGAACCAGCAGTGGTTATGCACCACCTCACAACGGCCCTTAAACCAGGACCTTTTGTTAGCAACATCTGCAAGAAACCACCTGTTGACTTAGATGAGTTGAGAAGTCAGGCTGCAAAGTATATGCAGATGGAGGAATTGTCCAAGTACCGAAACCAGGTACGGATGGACCAGGGGTCCAATTCAAAAAATACAGATAGGAGAAAAACTTTCAAATCTAGGCAGGAAAGTAAGGAGAAAAGAAATGAACTTGAAAGGCTGCCTAGGGGACCCAAATATCTTTCCTACACTACGCTCAACACTAATAGGTTCAGAGTACTTGATCAGGCATTGGCCATAGAAATACTGAGAATGCCTAGACGCGCCAACACCCCTCCTCGGGCAGATAAAAGCAAGGCTTGCCGCTACCATCAGAACAGGGGTCACACCACCGAGGAGTGCACAACGCTGAAGGATAAAATTGAAAAATTAATTAAGGAAGGACATTTAAAAGATTTTGTGCAGACAAATCCCGTCTGTCAATCCAATAGAGGAAGAGACCGTTACCCTGAGTCATCGAGGAGATACGATGACAAAAGATTTGAACGACAGAGGAGTAGGTCCAGGGAACCCCCAACTAGACGATATGATGAACGTGAGAAGTATCCTAAAAAGGTCATTAATACCATAGCTAGAGGATTTGCCGGTGGAGGACCTACCCATTCAGCTAGAAAGAGACATTTGAGGCAAGTCCGATCAGTTAACAATGTCTCACTTGGTAGTAGGATTCAAATCCCCCTATTACATTTATTGACGAAGACTTTCAAGGAGTCAACTCGGTACAAGATGATCCCATGGTGATAAGTGTAGACATTCTCAACTGCACCGTACGGAAAACACTTATTGATCAGGGAAGTTTAGCTGACATCCTCTATTAGAATATTTTTAAGTAGTTAGGCATTCCAGAGGAAGAGCTCAGAGAGTATCATGAACCGTTGGTGGGTTTCTCTAGGGAACGAGTGGAGACTCGGGGTTGTATTGACCTGTATACCTCATATGGGTCACAGCATGAGGAAAAACATATAAAAATCACTTATCTTGTGGTGCATGCAAACACTTCCTATAATATACTACTCGGCAGACCATCTCTAAACAAATTGAAAGCCATAGTATCTACTCCGCACTTGGCCATGAAGTTTCCGTCTGAGAGGGGCCAAATCGTTACAGTTCATGTTGATCAGAAAACAGCTAGAGAATGCTACTTTGCAGGTTTACGTCTTAAGCCTTTCCATGGAAGCAGCCGAGATGTCAACATTGTATCCCCTCAGTTGGAAGAGGAGTTGGATTTTGAACTTGATCCTAGAGTTGATGAAGAATATCAGGTTGAGCCCAATGAAAATAAGCAGTCATTCCAACTTGGACTAAAACCTAAACAGGTTGTTTATTTGGGAGTCAGTTTGTCTATGCAAGAGAGGTAAACCTTTCATGAAGTACTGCAACAAAATGCCGATTTGTTCGCTTGGTCTGCTTCAGATATGCTCGGCGTAGACCCTGCATTTATCTGTCATCACTTGTCGGTTTATAAGGGGGCCAAATCGATAGCACAAAAGAAAAGAAAGATTGGTCGAGACAGAGCAAAGGCAGTAGAGGAGGAAACTAATAAATTGCTGCAAGCCGGCTTCATCCGAGAGGTCAGATACTCAACCTGGCTAGCCAATGTCGTCATGGTTAAAAAATCAAATGGGAAATGGCGAATGTGCACAAATTTTACTGACCTCAATAAAGCATGCCCAAAACACGCATATTCATTGCCAAACATTGACACCTTAGTGGACGGCGCAGTAGGCCACAAGGTACTCAGCTTTTTGGATGCCTATTCTGGCTACAATCAGATCCGAATGTATCCCCCAGATGAAGAGAAGACTGCATTCATCACGAAATTAGCAAATTTTTGCTATCGAGTAATGTCATTCGGCTTAAAGAATGCAGGGGCGACATACCAACGACTTATGAAGCAAGTAGGTAAGTGCTTGGAAGTATATGTGGACGACATGGTGGTTAAGTCCACGACATTGGAGCAACACCTTGCCCATTTGGAGGAGGTATTCGAGGAAGCCAGGAAGCATGGTATGCGGTTTAACCCCGAGAAGTGTACATTCGGTGTATCTAGAGGCAAGTTTCTAGGGTTTATGTTATCTGAAAGGGGAATCTAGGAAAATCCTGACAAATGTCAAGCCATCATCGAAATGGCCAGTCCTCGGAATATCAAAGAGATTCAGAGACTTGCCGGTCGGATTGCAGCTCTCGCTCGATTTTTGCCAATCATGGCAGAAAGGTCTCGGCCTTTCATCGAGCTGCTAAAAAAATCCTAAAAATTCGTATGGTCCAACGAATGTGAAGTTGCCTTTGTTCAGTACAAGCATATGTTAGCAGCACCACCTGTGCTGACAAAATCGAAGCTTGAACAAGAGATGATTGTTTATTTGGCCGTATCAGATAATGCCATCAGTTCGGTCTTAATACAAGAAATACCTGAATCGGCTCCTGTATATTTCATTAGCCGAACGCTCCAAGGTCCTGAATCCCGATACTAGTTGATGGAAAAAGTAATACCGGCCCTAATACATACAGCTCGTCGGTTAAGACATTATTTCCAAAGCCATAAGATGGTTGTGTGCACAGATTGTCCAATGGCTAAAATTTTGAGAAAACCAGAGTTGGTCGATTGGTTGGTAGCATGGACAATTGAGCTCTCTCAATTTGATATCCATTTCGAAAGTCGACACCCTCTTAAAGCTCAGGTGCTAGTAGACTTCGTTAACGAATTCACAGCACAAAAACAACCCATGTCGGATATGTGGAATCTACATGTTGATGGATCGTTAAACCGACTAGGTAGTGGAGCAAGAGTATACTTGAAGGGACAAACACAGTCACCATTGAACAATCCATTCAGTTTGGGTTCAAGGCGTCCAACAATCAAGCTGAATACGAGGCTTTACTTGCTAGTCTCAGATTAGCAAAGGAAATGAGAGTTAAACGTATTATTGGCTGGAGTGATTCAAAAATAGTGACCGAATAAGTTAATGATACATATCAGGTTAAGGATTCGGTTATGCTCCAATATTATCAAGAATTCAAAAGAATGACAGATGAATTTGATGAGATATGTGTTCGACACACACCAAGAAACATGAATGAACGAGCTGACAAGCTTGCTAGACTAGCTAGCCAAAGGAAACCTGGGCAATTGCAAAGCGTAATTCATCAGGAAATCCTCCAACCCAGCATCACCAAACAAGAGTGCATGGACATAGAAAATATGCCTCAAAATTGAATGACCTCCATCGTCCAATACCTTACCAACAGCACCTTACCAAAGGATCCAGTTTCGGCTAAGAAAATAAGGATACATGCAACTAAATACCTCCTCCTCGGCAAAGACTTGTACAGGAGAGGGATCTCAACACCCATGCTTAAATGTCTTGACGACGATCAAGCTAGCTATGTCATGAGGGAGATTCACGAAGGTATCTATGGTACCCATTCGAGTGGACGAACCATGGCAGCAAAAATACTCAGAGTTGGGTACTATTGGCCAACACTTGCTCAAGATTGCCATGTGTTTATAAAGAAATGCATTCCCTGTCAACAACATGGTCCTCACCTACACCAACATGCCGATACCCTCCGCCTTATTAGCTCTCTTTGGCCCTTTGCTATTTGGGGTATGGTCCTCCTCGACCCTTTCCCTTTAGCAAAAGGGCAGTGTAAATTTCTACTTGTCGTTGTGGATTACTTTACCAAATGAATTGAAGTCGAGCCCCTTGCCACCATCACGGCCAACAATGTACAGAAATTCACTTGGAAACACATCATCACACATTTTGGCCTCCCTCATGCATTAATTACAGATAACGAGCTGCAATTTACAGATTGACGATTCAATGAGTTTTTGGAAGGTCTTCACATCAAGCACAAGGTTACGTCTGTTGAACACCCTCAGACTAATGGCCAGGCTGAGGCTGTAAACAAAGTGATCTTACATGAATTAAAAAGAAGATTGAGTTCGGCAAAGGGAGAATGGGCAGAGAAACTGCCCGAGATATTATGGGCTTATCGGTGTACACCATGAACAACCACTTGAGAGAGTCATTTCCGGCTTACATATGGTACTGATGCTATGGCCCCGATTGAAATTGGGGAACCTTCATTTCGAAGGATAAGCTTTAAGGAGCCATCCAATGATGAGTCCCTAGCCGTAAAGTTGGATCTTTTAGATGAAGTACGCAGCCAAGCAGCAATAGTAACCGAAGCAAGTAAAAGGATGATGGCGAGGAGATTTAATTCCAAAATTACTCCAAAACAATTTTATAAAGATGACTTAGTATGGCGAGTAACCGGCGAAACCCGTCGAGATCGACGAGAAGGGAAGCTAGCAGCAAATTAGAAAGGACCCTATCGGGTAGCAGCACAATTGGATAACGGAGCGTACAAGTTGGAAACACTAGAGGGGAATATGATACCCAGAACTTGGAACGCCACTCATTTAAAGCATTATTTTAGTTGAACTCTTGTAACTTATATTTAGTGCACTCTTTTCCTCGCCCAGCTTTTGTCCTTTTAAAAGAAAGTGAAAAGGGGTTTTCCTGGGAAGGTTTTTAACGAGGCACCCTATCAATAAAGTTCTTCTTCTAAGCTGTTCGGTTATTATTCATCAAAATGATAATTTCTTTCAAGCACTTCATTTAAATTAAAATTCCCTCCTGAGTACCCCTACTCGGCTAAGGACAAATCTATTAAAATTCCCTTCCAAGTATCTCTACTTAACTAAGGTTGAATTAATTAATTCCCTCCCGAGTATCCCTATTCGGTTAAGGACGAATCACTATTAAAATTCCCTCCCAAGTATCTCTACTTGGCTAAGGTTGAATTAATTAATTCCCTCCCGAGTATCCCTACTCGGTTAAGGATGAATCACTATTAAAATTCCCTCCCAAGTATCTCTACTTGGCTCAGGTTTAATTAATTAATTCCCTCCTGAGTACCCCTACTCGGTTAAGGACGAATCACTATTAAAATTTCCTCCAAGAGTATCTCGACTTAGCTAAGGTTGAATTAATTAATTCCCTCCCAAGTACCCTTACTCGGTTAAGGATGAATCACTATTAAATTTTCCTCCCAAGTATCTATACTTTGCTAAGGTTGAATTAATTCCCTCTGAGTACCCCTACTCGGCTAAGGACGAATCACTATTAAAATTTCCTCCCAAGTATCTCTACTTGGCTAAGGTTGAATTAATTAATTCTTTCTCGAGTACCCTTACTCGGCCAAGGATGAATCGCTATTAAAATTCCCTCCCGAGTATCTCTACTTGGCTAAGGTTGAATTAACTAATTTCCTCCCAAGTGCCCCTACTCTGCCAAGGACGAATTGCTATTAAAATTCCCAAGTATCTCCACTTGGTCAAGGTTGAGATAACTAATCATAAACATAACGTTTGTAAAGGTATTTAGTAGACTTACAAAATTGTATTTCAAAATTCAAGAAATATAGTGTGCAAGATGCAAGAATAGCAGAAAAGAGATTGTATTTCAAAAATCCAATAGAATTACAAAATTGAGGCACTATTGGCCCGAAAGTACAAAGAAAATAGTTCTATGTTTGCCCTTCCCCACCATCCGGTCCAGGGCCCTCGGGAGCAGGAGCGTTTTCATTAGCAGTAGCTCGACTAGGAGCTTCGGCGTTCGGTTCCACATCATCATTTACTTCATTATAAGGTATGAACCTGCCACCAAAAAAGTCTTTAGTAATGTCAAAATGGAAGTCGGTCGGGACGTGACAAAATCCATGACATTGACGAATAGCGTGGTTAAAACAGACTCATGTTCCAAAGCAACTTGCTCTGAACACTTCTCGGCAAAAACCTTAAAGTCAGTTTCAGCCCTCTGCCTTTCAAGTGCCAAGGCTTCTTCCATCTCGGTCGACTTGGCCGTTAAGGCCTCTTCCATCTGAGCAGACTTCACCTTTGGCGCCTCCATTTCCTCCTCCTTGGCCCTCAGAGCCTCCTCAGCTCCCTGGACTCGACCTTCCACTATACGATACTGCTCCTTATACTGATTGACTTCAGCCTCTAGGGATTGAATGGTCTTGCCAAGACTGGATTAAGTCTCTCTGCTTTCTGCTAAGGCTTCTTGAGAAGCCGAATACGCTTTCTGCATATTCTTCACCTCAAAAATGGGATGTACAACCAGCCTTCGGAGCATAGCTGTCGATCGTACTTGTAGTTTCACGTAGCAGTGCCAGAGAGATTCTAGTTCTAAACTCTCGACCAATTCTTTCCCCGATCAGACAGTAGATTCAGAGCAGCTAGCCGGCTGGCATGTCTCCCAGTTGCCAAGAAGGTCTCGGTAAGCATTGCCAAAGGTATCACCGGATTGGAGGAATTGTTGGCCCCTTTCTATAGCTACAGTTCGGGTTTGCTTGCGCGTCCCTTCTGTACCATTCGGTCCACCCAAGTGGGCATGCTTTCTCTTTCTTTCCTTCTCGACCTCCTTGCCTTTGCCCTTGTCTTTGCGCCTCTTGGGCTGATTTTCTGTCAGGACTAGATCCTGTGGAGAAGGGCGAGGGTCAGATATTTCTGGCAGATGATCAAGTTGAGGGTGTCGGTGCTCCTCAATTGACGTACCTTCCAGCATCCTCTGCTTCAGAGTACGACAAAAAATGGGCACATCAACACCTCATTGAGCCATTAAGCCTACATTAAAAATAACAAGTCAAATCAATACAACTTGATTCACAAAATAAGTTAAAAAAGATGATACATACCCTCCATCTCCCAACGAGGATGCGGAGACTTGAGCACGAGGAGTATGTGTCAGGCAGGTAGTTCTCGGGGAAGGAACTTAAAATATTCTAAATCCAATAACTCCCTAGCCGATAACATGTCCTCGGGGAATATGTCATATCGGCGAGACGCCCGAGTCCAATGAAAAGGGAAAAAGGGATTATTCTTGCTATCAAAAAAATAATTTCTACCTACAGGGTCCACGGTTACCTTGAAGTAGCTAGTTTTGAAACCCTTGAAAGATGAAACATAAGGTTTAAACAAAGGCAACTTAGGTTGCCTTATTAAAGATACCCATTTTGCTAAGTCCGATGGGCGGGTACAGAAAAAATGAAGAAATAGCCCTACACTAGGTTCTATATAATGAAATTTACAAAGTATTATAAAGGCCTGTATTGCCGCCCACCCATTCGGATGAAGTTATGTCGGTGCTACATTTAAAACCCTCAAAACTCTCATTTGGAAGTCATCGAAGGGTAGCCTAATACTTAACTCTCTAAACATATACTCATACATACACTAGTGGAAAAAATAAATTTAAAATCACACTTTTAAAATCGGTTATTAAATAGTCAATTTTAAAAATGACGCGGTGGCAATTTTGTAAATAATTGCTAGCGTTTTAAAATCAGTTGTGTATGTCCGATTTTAAAAGATATATAAAATCGGTTTTTCTATTAACCGATTTTAAAAGATATATATAAAATCAGTTTTCTTATTAACCGATTTTAAAAGATATATATAAAATCAGTTTTCCTATTAACCGATCTTATATGATTTTTTATACAAATATCTCCTTTTATTGAGTCATTCTCGCAGCAGAGGAGCCCCTTCTCGTTCCAGCGCTCAGCAAAGACCTAGGCAAGTTGGAGATTTGCTCTGGGGTTCCCATCCGTTAATATAATAGATTTGCTCCGGGCCGGCAATTGCTCCTCAAGCTTCCTTCCAGCGAAGAAGAGCAAAGCAAGGTCTAGCGGTGGAGCGTCTTGACCTATCTACTAAAGAAGGAGGTTTTCTCAAAAAAAACTCAAGATTTGGAGAAGGTTGAAAGGTGGGGGCAGGATTCAAAGCTGCAATCTTTAGGTAGGAGGCAAGTGCACGCATTTTAGGTAATGTATTCACTTCTTTCGCTGTTTTGGATGCTTTTTCTTTATCTGTACTTGGTTTTACGTTCTAATTTAGATGCCGATAGTAACGTTCGTGAATGTATCATTCACAATGTCATCTTTTTTGGTTTCCTGAATGACCGTTGCTTATTTTTAATAGGAAATTCAAGGTTGAATAATAGAGATGATCAATTTCTTTGAAGAGATAGTGCTGTTAAGTATTTACACACTAGGAATTATCACTAGAAAATATGGGATTTATATGTTAGTTTTGAAAATACTGACGAGGAATTATAATTTTAATTGTGGTGATAAAAATAAATAAATGAATTACTACTTTTGTTGTAATGAATCTTAAATAATTTGACATTTTTCTAATTATTTAAAAATAAAAAAGACGTCAATATTTTTTTTGTTTAAGGAGCATTAAGCAATTTTATTAATGGGAAAGTGTTGTATATTGTTATGATGTTTAATGGGTAATTCAATTGAGTGAAACAAATGGGTGAGAGAGGTAAGTGTGAAGGAGTGATCTCAGATGGCAAAGCTACAAAGGTGACAGAGGGGTGTGGCCCAAAGAAGGCATCTTGGAGGGGTGGCGTCTGATTAAAGTTAAAACATAAATGGTGGCTAGTGTTCATAGGAGTTCTGTTACTTTGTTAATTAGTTTAATATTTCATATGTAATGCTTTTGTCTCGTAAGTTTGATATATTTTACTCTCAATAATTTTATCAAGCCACGTTTACCATTTATCCATGTGGTAAGGGAATTTTTGTGGGAAGTAATGCTTATTAATTATATAAGTTTTTCAATTTAACATTTAAAAGTAAAATTATTGTGTAAATAAGTTCAACAAAATTATTGTTCGCAACCTTCACATTTTATTTACGGTAAGGGAAAACAAAAAGAAGGATGAATGAATATTTGTGGATCAAAAAGGACGTGTTAGCTTAGCTAGCTAGCTAGTTAGGGGCTTTCTTTAAATTCCCTTTAGTTGCTTTCAAAAGGAAAATGGGATTCCATAAAGTTTATTGTTCTTTGGTTCTTTTTCTGCCACAACTATAATTGCCATTCAACAATTTCAGTTTAAGAAGTTTCTAAGTTTGTTTAGATTTGCATCCACAACTATAATAAATGTTTAAATTTTTATTATAATTATATGATATTTATTAGTAACAAGTGTTTATAAAGATTAGGTACTTTATTTAATTTTTATAAATTAATATGATATTAAATTTATGCATGAATTGATTGAATCTTAGTTTCTTGTTTGAGATTTAATACAAATGAGACTGACAAGCATGATATATGGTTTTTTATAAAGAACAGAAGTCATGGATAAAAGTTGGTTATTGAATCGAAGTTGGATACATGAATCATGCTTAAGTTGGAAGTATGAGACATGAGTGGAATACTTTATTGAATATGTAATACAAAATGCTAATAATGATATGAATGGGAAATTTTTTTGTCCTTGTGTTAATTGTTGTAATGGAAGTCGTCTAGAACTTGATGTTATAAGGGAACATCTTCTCTGTGATGGTTTTCTTAAGAATTATACACGTTGGATATGGCATGGTGAAAATATTGACATTCCAATTGTCTCAATTGAAACTCCAACTCAAACTTTTACACATGAGATAGATATGGATGATCAATTAGAGGAGATGATTCGTGATGTGGGTCCAAAATCATTCAAGCGAGCACATATGTATGGATCTTTGTGTAGTGATTCGGAGAAGCCGTTGTATCCAAATTGCACGAAATTTACAAGATTGTTAGCGATATTGAGATTGTTCAATCTGAAGGCAAGAAATGGGTGGAGTGATAAAAGCTTCACAGAATTGTTAGAACTATTGAAAGAAATGCTTTCGAAGGGTAATACATTGCCTAGTCGTAACTACGAGGCAAAAAAGGTGTTGTGTCCTATGGGTTTGGAGTATAAGAAGATACATGGGTGCCCAAATGACTGTATGTTGTATCATGGTGAATATGAAGGGTTGCATCAGTGTCCAAGATGTGGGTGGTCATGATATAAAAAAAAGCAAGATGATTCTGATTATGATGTGAGCACTAAGGGTCCTCCAGCTAAGGTTTTATGGTATTTACCAATTGTTTTCAGATTAAAACGTCTGTTTGCTAATGCGGATAACGCAAAGCTAATGAGATGGCATGAAGATGAGAGGAAGTGTGATGGACAACTTAGGCATCCAACAGATTGCTTACAATGGAAAACAATTGATTCTATGTTTCCACATTTTAGCAAGGAACCAAGAAATGTTAGGCTTGGACTAGCTACGGATGGAATGAATCCGTTTGGTAATTTAAGCACTAAGCATAGTTCATGGCCTGTTTTGTTGGTAATTTACAATTTACCTCCTTGGTTGTGTATGAAGCGCAAATATGTGATATTATCTATGATGATTTCTGGTCCACGGCAGCCCGGAAACGACATTGATGTCTATTTAACTCCATTGGTTGAAGACTTGAAGATGTTATGGGAGAAGGGAATTGATGTGTACGATGGGTATTCATGTGAATCATTCAAGTTACATGCCACGTTATTTTTCACAATCAATGATTTTTCAGCATATGGAAACTTGTGCAGGTATAGTGTTAAAGGGCACAAAGCTTGCCCTATATGTGAAGAGGACACTTGTTACCATCAACTAGTTAATTGGAAGAAGACAATTTACCTTGGTCATTGAAGATTTCTTCAACCTAACCATCCATATCGAAGGTTAAAGAAAGCTTTTAATGGATGTCAAGAATATGGCATAGCACCTACTGCATTAACCGGTGAGCAAGTTTATGACCGGGTAAAGAATTTAAATGTGGTACTTGGAAAGTCGAAAAAACAACTCAAAGAAAAAAACATATGGAAGAAAAGGTCGATATTCTTTTATCTTCCTTATTGGAAAGTTCTTGATGTTAGACATTGCATTGATGTCATGCATGTTGAGAAAAATGTATGTGATAGTGTAATTGGCACACTTCTCAATTTAAAAGGTAAGACAAAAGATGGACTCAAATCTCGTCTAGATTTGCAACTCATGGGAATACGAGAACAATTGTATCCCCAACCTATGGGTAAGCGAACATATTTGTCCCCTGCATGTCACACATTGTCAAAAAAGGTGAAAACAAGTTTTTGTCAGTCCTTACGTGGTGTCAAAGTGTCGTACGGTTACTCTTCCAATGTAAAAAGTTTAGTATCAATGAAAGATTTGAAATTAGTTGGCTTGAAGTCTCATGATTGCCATGTACTAATGCAACAATTTCTTCCTATCGCTATACGTGATGTTTTACCTAAAAATGTGAGACAAGTCATAATCAGACTTTGTCTATTTTTCAATGGCATTTGTAGTAAAGTAATTAATCCTCAGAAGTTGGATGATTTGGAAAATGAAGCTGTTTTAATATTGTGTTAATTGGAGATGTATTTTCCTCCTTCCTTTTTTGACATTATGGTTCAGTTAATCATCCACTTGGTTAGGGAGGTTAGGTTGTGTGGTCCTGTCTTTTTGAGGTGGATGTACCCAGTTGAGAGATACATGAAGATATTGAAAGGGTATGTGAAGAACCAACATCGTCCAGAAGCATCCATTATAGAAAGGTACATTGCAGAAGAAGCAATTGAGTTTTGTACTGAATACATGTCTCAAGTTGAATCAATAGGCATTCCTAAGACCCGTCATGAGGGACGAACTGCTGGGAAGGGTACAATAGGCATAAAATTGAAAAGCATGATGCGAGAAGAAGTGCTTCAAGCACATTTGTATATATTGAACAACACTGATGAGGTTTTACCTTATTTAAATGCCCACAAAGACTTAGTGAAGACAAACAACCCTCGAATGCCTGAAAAATGGGTGTTAAATGAGCATAACAAGACTTTCATAGAGTGGTTTAAAATGAATGTTGGGACAGATTTAAGTGTTTCTGAAACTTTACAACGCTTAACTCAAGGACCTAACTTTGATGTGTTTACTTTCTGTAGATATGACATTAACAACTACTCATTTTATACAAAGGCACGGGATGACAAGAGTACTATGCAAAAAAGTGGGGTTATGATAGTTGCTCAATCTATGCATTTCTCAACAAAAAATGATAACAACTCTATCACAGCTTCTATGTGCTACTTTGGAGTTATTGAAGACATATGGGAGGTCGATTATGGTCCATTTCGAGTACCTGTATTTAAATGCAAGTGGGTTGATAGTAATAGTGGTGTCAAAATTGATGAACTTGGATTTACCTTGGTCGACCTTAATAAAGTTGGTCATAAAGAAGAGCCTTTCATCATGGCTTTCCAAGTAAAGCAAGTATTTTATGTCACCGATCCATCTAACAAAAGATGGTCAATTGTTCTACAAGGTAGAAGTAACAATGTAAATGAAGAATTTGGAGATTTAAGTAATATAATTGATACTCCCTCCTTGTCAACACGTGTGCTAACTTTTAATGAAGATGATGTGGATGATGTATATGCCACTCGTGAGGATCATCAGGAAGGAATATGGGAGAACAATGAAACTTGATCATATTTTTGAAATAGGTTATTGTTATTAATTTTTATTTATGATGCTAATTTTTGTTGTCTTTTAAGTACAATATGTTATTATTTAAATTCAATTTATACTAATGACTTGTAATTTATTTTTCAGTTAACAAGTAATTATGGATGAACATCAAGCCTCTCCTTCAGGTAGTACACAATCTACAAATAAGAAAAAAGTTAAAGGTCCCACTAAAATGAAACATGTTATAGCCAAACGCCTTAATGAAGAGAGATTACATGTTGACATAGATGAGATCACTGGGCATCCTACAGGGGATTCAGCTGCCTAGTTTACGAGTACCATGGGGGTTCATGCTAGAACAAAGGTTTCTATTTTATTGCCCAATTGGGATCATGTAGAGGAGGCTATAAAAAATCATATTTGGGCAGATGTTATGGTAAAATGTTATTTATACTTAACATTTTTGTTATTAAACTAGATTAGGATATCAACATGTATTAACTTATTGTTATCTTTGTAGGAAACTTGGGACATTCCAAAGACAGAAAAGATGAGAAGGAAAACCCTTTCTATTGTGGCTGAAAGGTGGAGGACATATAAAACTACTTTGACAAACCAATACATTTTTGGAAAAAAGAAAGAAGAATTTCCTGGTGATAAAAACCCCACTATTGATCATGAGACATGGAATTCATTTGTAGAGTCTAGAATGACTGAAGAGTTTACAGTATATTATGACTATATGCATTACCATTTGTGAATATTAATTTTTACCCTTACTCTTATAATATGATATCTTTATAGGAGAAAAGAAAGAAGGCACAACAGACGCAGGCAAATAATGACACCTTTTGTGTGATGTCACGTGGGGGTTATCCATGGCTTAAGAAGAAGTTGATGAAGGAGAAGACTATGAAACGTCAGGCTAGTGAAGATGAGACTGTAGTTAATGATCCTCCTTCTCCACCCACACGTCATGAATTATGGAAGTTTGCTCGTATTAAGAAAACGGGCGAGTTTACAACTGAGGCAGCAAAAGAGATTGCTAGCAAGATAGTAAGTATAATTTTGTTGTACATATGATGCTAATTAACATATATTTCAAAGGGTTTATTAAATTTTTGGTATCTTATATTGTAGGATGTACTAAAGCAGCAAGCTGAAGAGGGATCTTTTGTTTCCCATGGGCAACATGATATACTAACTATTGCCATTGGAAAGCCTGAGCATGCAGGTCGGGTTCGGGCAGTTGGTGGAGGTTATGGTTTGCGGACTTACTTTGGACAACCATCATCTTCACAGTCATCTAACTCAGTTGAACAATTGGTGGAACTGAAGGTCTCTCAAGTTGTAAGTCAGATGAAAGAGGAGATTCATAAGCAGGTGAAAGAGGAGTTTCATAGACAGATGAAGGAGGACATGCAAAGGCAACTACAAGAGCATTTACAGTCACTTAGCAAACAATTTCAGCACAATACTCCATTGATTGAACCAGTTATTACATGTGTGAGTACAAAGGGATCATGTGCAGGTGCTGATCCCTCTACTACTGCTGTTGACCCTGATACCTCTAATCGGTGTGAGTTGTTTGTCGATGCATCACCCGATCCTGTTGGCATAGGGAGGATTCACATGTTTAGGTCTACTGTGCACCATCAGACCATCGGAGATGATATGGTTAGGGTTTCAGTAATGGATGTTAGACATCCAGAGGCAAGAGTTCCTATGCCGACAGAGGAGGTTCAAATGATGGGACAAGCCCTAAACACCTTCCTTCAGTGGCCTCAGAGTTTGGTGAAGATGATATCTTCAGAGGTATGTTATTTAAGTAATATTTAATTTTAACTTAGTGTTATTTTCTTCTAATTTAGTATAATATCAAAATTGTACGTTGTTGAATAGGATGTTGTTGCCCCACCAAAGGATAAGGAGAAGGTTGTGGTTACCCCTTCAAGAAATCTACCTCCGATAAAGAGGCTATGGAGATTAGTCACAGATATGGAAGATGACAATCGACCCAAACAAGTCCCTTGGCCACATGTGGTGTTTGGCAGATCTAATAATATACCTCTATATATAAGTCAAAGTGACATATCAGAGATTATTAATGGGCACTGTATGCTGAACATATCAATTTTGCAGTTGTGGTTATTGTAAGTATTTTAATGAATTCTAATTTTGTTTTGTTGATTTATTCTAACTTTGTTTCTAACCTTGTAGATATATTCATAAATTAAGTGTCAATAAGAAAAATTACCACATTTATAGATTTTTGGAACCTGAGTCAATCCAAAAAAGTGGGAACAAGGCAGAAGAATCGCAAGCTTACATCTACATCCAGAATTGGATGGCTGACTCAAATAAAAAAGTTTACCTAGCTCCTTACTTTTCTGAGTAAGTTATCTTTACCATTAATTGATTACAAAAAGTTTTAAGAGTGTATTCTATCTCAACATATGTTTCTCAATGTAGTGCTCATTGGCAACCAATGGTTATTTGTTCTAGGGAAAATAAAGTTGTATGCATTTGTTCATTGCATAGACCTCCGCCTGCAGAGTTCAAACAATTATTAGATAAGTAAGTATTTTAAAAACAACTACTTTCTTTTGTTGATTATCATTACATTTGATTTTAAACCATAATAATAATGTTATTTTATTATCATAGCAATGGAAGGATATTACATAATCAAGGGCTCAAAATTGAAGAAAAAAATGCTTTGGATATCTCTTAAAGTAGGTTATTTTAATTCCATGAATGATATTTAATCTAATGTATTTTATTTTTATTATCCTTACTATTGAAATTTATTTTTATATTTTTTTTTGTAGTCTCATAAGCAAAAAGAAAACTTTGAGTGCGAATATTATGTAATGAAGACAATGCATACTATTGTTGATTTAGACATAGTATCGAGTTGGATTGAAGTGAGTTTTATAATTTTCAAAATTCTTATTTTAAGTTTTTTTTATTTTATTATGTTTTATGAATTACTTCTAATTCTATTAATTTTTCTTTACAGATATTTATTGATCGATCATCATTGCTACAAGAAGTCTTGAATACCATTAGGGACCAATGGGCTACATTTTTTCTTGACACATTGATTAGTTAGGACTTATGTTTATAGTTTTGGACATAGTTAAAACTCCTTTTCCTTTGGAGTATAAATATGATTGAGATGTCATTTATATGAAGTGATTTATGGAAATTGTGCATCATTGAAATTGTCTGAATTGTCTGATTTGCAGGTTTTATATTGATTCTTTCGAAAAACAAGCTAATTATTAAAAAAAAAATCACCACTTTTAAAATCAGTTATACCTTACCCAATTTTGAAAGTGAACTTTTAAAATCGGTTATGCCATAACCGATTTTAAAACTTTATTTTCAAAATTGGTTATCGCATAACTGATTTTAAAAGTGAACTCTTTAAAATCGGTTCCACATAACTGATTTTAAAAGTACTTGATTCTTTAAAATCGGTTGTGTCATATCTGATTTTAAAAGTTTAGTTTCAAAATCGGTTGTTAACCGATTTTAAAAAGTTTACTATTTAAAATCGGTCGTTTCAAAATCGATTAAACAACTGATTTTAAAAATAAAAAATAACCGATTTTAAAAATATTTTTTCCACTAGTGATAAAAAAGGTGTTGGCCATCCCAACGCCCCTAAGAAAACAAACTCATAGTTCTCAGCTTCGTCCCCTTTACAGGGGTTGAGGTATATTGGATATGGATCAGCGGCTTCCCATAAGGAAATATCACAATGATCTACAAAAAATTGAAGACTTTTATTTCTTCTAAAATGAGAAAAGTACATGGCCACTTCACTGTGCACCCACTCATATCCGGGTATGGTACAGGGGGGAACACCTGTCTTTCCGTAAGGGGGGCTGGTACTCGGTAGGGGTTCAGAAGCGTCAGTATCACTGAAGCAGACGACTCGGCCTCAGTGCTGCATCCTCTGACTTGTGGTTCTTCAACCCTCTTGCTTGGTATTGATAAAACCTCTCCACTCCCCTCAGTTTCGTTTATAATGTCTACTTTGACAGTAGACGGTCTCGAGACATTGGACAAAGTATCCTCCCACTCAATAGAATCGGCCATGAAGGAAAGAGAAATGAGAAATTAAAACGCACCTTGCAAGTAGTCGGTATGGAAGGAAAAGTGAAGATCTTTGAAAAATGAACACCCTTCGGTTTGCAAGTAGTCGGTATGCACGTTTCAGTACAGAACAAAAGAGTAGAAAATGGACGCAGGGACCACCACATATTTATAGGAGATTTGGTTTCGGACAAACGAAAGGTCACCCCCCTTTTGAACCGTCAGATTTTCAGATCAACGGATGAGGTTGGGTACTCTTTCATTTCATACACACACACACTAAGCAAACACTAAAGGCCAACATTCTAGAATATTCCTTTTTCAATTTTTTTTCTCTTATATTATGATTTCTTATCTACTCTCTTGGCATATATCATTCTGTTACTAAACCGAATACTCTTCAGTGTACACTCAGTACACATCAATCAAGTTTAAATGTTGTCATCACTCGTCCACTCGATACCGAGTCTCCCCTCAGTCTCGTTCAAATTCACTTTAGCCGACTACTCCTTGTCTAACTGAGCCTGACAACTATTTAAGCCCTCGCTTCTACCTCTTCGAGCTTGGGGGGCTAGTGTACTAGATAGGGAACAACTCAGTCCTACTTGTAGGGAAAGAAAACTGAGTACCTATTCGGCTTAATTTGGCCGGATACCCTTTGTCAAGATTAAAAGGTAATTAACCCAATTAAGGGTAATAATCAAGATATTATTTACTTTAAATAAAAGGCTAAAAATCAAGACTGGCTTAGCAGACCCATTAACCTATTACAGTGCCTATATAAGGAAGGTAAAAGTACAGGTAAAGGGTTGACTTTTTATTATAAAATAACATTTATTTCTCAACACTAGATCCTGACTTCAGCATCGGAGTGCCTTTTGCAGGTACCCTCCCAACGTCAGCGACATTCAAAGGAACGTTACTATTTCAGAGCAAAGACTTGAAGACTGGTGTTTCTCTAGCAGGAATAATACTAAATAATTTTTAATAATTGTTATTAAGATATTTAGCAAATCACGTCCTTAAAACAAATCACTCCATAGAGTATGATATATATAAAATATAACTAAAAACACATTCTTTTTAAATATATTCTTTAATACAATTTATGTAATTGATTAGTTTCTATAATAATCAATGTGTTTTGTTTTTCAATTCATTCCTTTAAATATTATGAAATTTTTTATTTAGTCTCTCTAAACATTACTTAGTTTCTTATTTATTCATAAAAACATTTTTTCAATTATTCTCGTTAAACCGGAGATTAAATGAAAAACTTGTTACATATAGAAGGATGAAATAAAAAATTTAGTAAAAATAAGACTATCTTGTAAAAAAAATTATGATGACTATTTTGAAAAAAATGAAAATAAAAAACTAACTGAGAAAAAATTAAATTTTGAGGAACATAAAATAATATTAAGTAAGTAAAAAAAGAGTTTTTCGTTTGATATTTATAAATAAATAAAATTAAAAATTAAATAGAAAATAATGATATTTAAATAAATCAAATACAAAGAATAAATAAGTTTTTTATAAAAATATTTGATAGGAAACTCATTCAAAAAATGAAAAATAAAAATAAAAAGGAAGAATCAAATTTAAAATTTATAAATTTTTAATTAAAAATTACAACAATATATTGTTCAACTTAAGCTTAGAAAAAGAAAAAGAAATTGGAAAAGGGAGATCTTTTAGCCTTTTTATTTTGTCGACAATTTTTGCCTTCTTGATTACATTACATAGGCCGGATATGTAAAACAAGTGTAAGATAGCTGTATGCATGAGAATACATGGATGCGTTTACCATGCACCCACTTATATCAAGTTTCATTATTTAGCATTTGTTATATCATAATTCATAATCACAACAACAAACATTCGTTCTGAATCTCAAAATTACTTCTATACCTCCATACTCTTGTTCTGCAACAGAGGGGCTTGGGAAGAAGATGATGAGACAAAGCGAAACGTTCCATTTTTCTCATGAACCATGTTTTCCTCTTGAGCCTGGCCCCATATTACACCATAAAATCCACTAGATATAACAGTAGCTCCAATAATGCTGACCCAAAATTCAACCAACAAAATAATTTTAAGTTTCACAATTTAAATATTAGAGAAGTTTATTTTTCTACATAATAATAATAATCTTCGACAACTAAACTTTGACCAATTAATTTGCACATCTTTAGAAGTATATACCTTCCAAGATAAAGGGTGTCCCCCAAAAATATGATTCCCATCACAAGTGCAATGACCATGCCCAAAGGAGTAAACATAGCAACATACACAGGTCCCCTCTTGCGACATGCCCATATATGCACAATGCTACGCAACGACACAACAAAAATTGCCTGAAAATTTAAGTTTGCAAAAACATTTTTTAGAAGTCATTTTATATGTACAAGAAAATATTTTTCTTAAATGCTTGGCTTATGCTTACTGAATACAATATGGCTATCAACTCCATATCAAATCCCAGTGCCCATGCTTTTGAACTTCCCTCTGCAGCAAAAGCTACCACCGTGGATTGAATGACCACAAAACCACAAGAAATGGTTGTCACCGTTAACTCTTCAGGGTAGTCCTTGATAATCCATGTCTGTATATAAATAAAGGTGTCCCAACAAATTTAACACGATTCTTTAAATATTTTTAGTATTATTTTTAATTAAAATTATTATTTTATCCAATAACTTACATCAACTTCAAATGTTGTTTATTAAGGTAAAATTAATATTTAAATTAAAATAATATTAAAAATGCAGTTAAATTTTATTTAATTAGAAATAACATAAAGAGAGGTTAATATTAAAATAAAATTTAAGCATACTGTTTATCAATCAAATTTAAACAAGAATAAATACTTATAAAAACAGCAGAGAGAGATATGAATGAATGACCTTGATAATGAACACGAGGGAAAGGCAGAAGCTAGCAGCTGAGAGGAGTAAGCCTCCAAGTAGCCAATCTGATTGGTGTGAGGAGAATGGGGCAACTGTTACAGTGTTTTGCAGTGAATCACTATCATCGTCAGTCAATGGCATGCCCTTGTATAGGGTTACTGTTAACGCCCCTATGATAGAGACCACAGTGCCAATACTTTTCGCCTTACTGCTCCCTAGTTTCAGGTCCAGTTTTTCCATCCTGAAAGAGTGCCGTGCACACCAGAGGTTTGATTGTGGATAATTAATGAAAATGAAATTCCTCTTCGGTATTCGATCGTTTGCCACGTCTAGATTCATTACTTACAATTGATATGATCGATAAGGAAGTTTATAAGTATTTATAATTTATTCTTTTAGTATATATCATAATTTATTTATTTTTTATCTTTTCTATTCTTGAACATGCACTAAAGAATGAACACGAAGTTTTCTTTTTCTTGTTTCAAAATCTCTCAAACTTTCTCCCAACCATTTAATAACATAGCACACCTCGTTAGTCTCCGAACCAGATCCAAGTTATCGCAACGTTAAAAGTGTACGTAAGCACGTTACTTCTAAATATGAAATTGGTCGATAATAGGTTAACACAATATAAGCCATTGATGAAACACGTTCTGTGAATGTACGCCGAGTCATGGTTTGGGTCCTAGCAATAATTTTTCACAAAAATCTGTAGATATGAATCGGGGTAATTTATGTATTACAACTCGTAGGCCATAGCCATGCGTTCTTGCACGTGTATATGTTATAATAGATATTATTTTAGAATCAAAACAAATTCCTATTTTACTAATTATTAATAAAAAATAAATAGTATATTCTATTTAAATTAAAAAATTAGTGTTAATTAATGAGTTTGGGTTTTGATATATATATATATATATATAACACCACCACGTCTTAAAACACCTTGTGACAAGTCAAGGAATAGTTAGCAAAAGAGAAGAAAATACAGGGCAATGAGAATGAGAACACACCGGGAAACGATGGCAACTATGAAGGTAAAAGCTGGAGTGAGATCCACCATAACTGAAGCCAGAGTTGGAGAGCTATATCCAATACCAGTATACATCAATGTCTGTTCAGAACAACTACCACATGGACACCCAAATCATCAAATTTCTTTTCAAAGTGAAAAAAAATTAAATTAATTATAACCATTCATTTTGTGCTACCATTTAAAATACCTGACCAAGCTAAGAATAAATATTCTGCATAAAGTTGACCTTGTGATTGGGGAAGAAGGTCTCTTTCTGCGGTGACAAAGTAGCAAATAATATTAATATGTCGACTAAAATGGCACGAATTGTAAAAGAAAACTAGCTGCTGAAGCGGGAAAAAAAACCTGCGATAGATGAAGGTAGATAATAGAAGCAAACACAAGGCCACAACGTTTGAATACACAATGAAAACAAGGTTACTCATCCCTTTGGTGGTGGCAACTTTGATTATATTGTTCAAACCCACTTCCAAGCTCTGGACAACTACCATCATTGTTGTGACTCCTACACCCTGCATTTGTTCTCTTTGTTCCTCACTCCTCCTCTGTTGCACGCACTTGCTGTGAATGAGGTTTTGTTTGAGAATGTTGCTGCTCATTAATATTAATACTGACTGAATAACACAATTTTTACTAAATTAAATGTTAGACTTAGACCTATAAATTGCCTATCATTTACTATGTACTTCTAAATTTATAGTTCACACTTGTAGGAAGCTTCTGCTGTGGTACTACTGCCTTGCCTGTATGTTTCCAATTTCATAACTAGGCACATATAAATCCATAATTCTCAAGTTTACGGCCTTTTTACTCACATCACATGGTGCAATTTGGTATACTATTTATAAATTTAATGTTTTTTTTACATAATTAGCATAAATAGCAGGTAAAAACTACGACCTACAAAATAAGGTAATGTTCTGTATATACGATTCATATACTTAACCTTCCTACAAAATAAAGATATTTATCAACCTTTAGTTAAATATGTAAATCCTTCCGATTTAACTTTGAAGCAATTTCTTCAATTTGTTCTTGATTTCCCTTTAGCTCGGTCGGCTTTAATAAATAATTTATTTTTAACTTAGTTAATCAAATTTTTCATATGATTTATAATTTTAAAAAAAATTATTAAATAAACGCTTAATATTTTCAATTTTGTAACTACTGTGTGCACACCGGTGTACTTCCAAGCCGGAAGCATGTACAGGAGGCGCATATCAACTGTAAAATTATTCAGACGAAGGATTGAAAGAAGCAAATATATATAGCATTAGTCAAAACATGCAATGAATTTTTTTTTTTTTATCGAATTAATATTATTTTACAAATTATATATCAATATTTATATGTATAAAATTACCAATGTACAACTTTTTCTGTTATGGGTATTTTTTTTGGTGACCGCTGTTAAGTACTCATTTGTCATATGGCATATGGGATGTCTTGTTAATATGTACCGATTATTATATTTTTATACTCAATTTTTAATATTACTTCTCAATAAAATAATTTGTTAGCATTTAATTTTTAATATTATTACTGGTCGGAGCTTCTTATATCATAACTCAGATAAAACTTAATAGCACTTTTTAATACTTTTGGGCAAATTATATGCATTTTTCTTATACTTGTACTTCTCATTCTATCTAAATCATAATAAAGAGAATTGTAATAACAAGATCTTTCACCTAAAAATTTTCTGATACACAAGATCCGTTTAAAACGGCAAGTGCAAAGCATACTTCTTTCTAGTTAAGGATTAGAGGATAGTCATTATAAACAAAGCTTTCAAAAAAAGAAACTTAGAATGAACTCATGTTGTATAAAACACACAAGTTTTATTTCATTCAACTCCTGCCTTTAACTAACAAGAGTCCTTCTTTATATAGAGAAGTTGAGTACAACAAGACAAACATTTGGATAAGATTATGACATAATAAAGCTACTTTAACAAAGCCAAATTACTTTAAGTACATGATCACACTCAGAGCTACTTTATAGTACATAAAGATGCTTTTACAAAAGTTGACAAATATAAAGTAACTTTTTATTTGTTCTTCAATCCTTGAAGATAGGCTCATGACTCAGAGAGAGATTAGGGTCATCTTCACTGATCCATTCAGCTTCTTCCAAAATGGATTCATCAGGATCTTGGGAATCTATAATCATGTCAGCTTGGAATGACTCAGATTCTTTACTCAGATAATTATTTGATCTTCTCTTTCCCAATTGTCAATCTGACAGTTCGAATAGACAATAAATGGAGTGACTTGTTGGCTTTTATCCCATATACCTTTATCATCAGGGTCAGGTGGATAGATGATATCCATTGGTTTTAGATTGGAGCAAGTAGAATTTACTTTTGTCATTTGATCACAGACTCTATTAGTGACATGTAAATGAATTATCAAATTTGCTTGCTCAAAAGACGGCTTTGTAGGAGCAGAAATATCCTGTAAATTTTTGTATATGTTTCAAAACCTGACTTGATTTTGAGTGTATAACAATTTGGTTGTTAGATGTTGAAAATAAGGTCTATGAATTATTACAACAGTCACATGTTGTGGGAATTGTTCAGGAGGGATCTTGATTTCCTTCCAGATACAAAGTCTTTCCATTTCTTTCTGTATATCTCTTTTCCAGTAAGGAATAGGTTGATACCAGATAAAGAATTTCTATAGTAAGGATGAGTTATTTTGACAATTATCAAGAAATTCAAACATCTTGAAGGTTGGAACTATTATAGGATAATGGAACAATAGGGAAACACACCATAAATACCATAAGTCTTCTTCAATCATGGGATAATCTATTAAAAGAGCAAAGATGTTCAGATAAGGAGCATCTGGATGAAACCAAGAAGGTTTAGGCTTAACTCCATGATTATGTAAAGAAAGAGCTAGGTAATGGAACATATGATTTTTGGCAAAGTCTTTTATATACTCAGGATTGACTCTATTATTGGGATTAAAATCTGGTAGAAAATTATTTAGATGTGGGTTACTTTTACTAGCTTCAACAATGTTGAGAGGGAAATTAATGGATAGATTTGGGTGGAAGTTACAATAGAAATTGATTTTTTTGGACGAGATAACAGATCTGGGACAATTTTTTTTTCTCTTTTTATATGTTTAACAATAAAATCATACTTGGAGAACCAGTTTTTTAATTTGAGAACCTGAGAATCAGGTGACATCTTATTTTTGAACTCAAGAAGAGCGGGAAATGAAGAAGTATCCATCTGGACTTCAAAATTGTGACCTCTTAAATATAAATCAAATTTTTGAATATCACTTTTGACTGCAAGAGCTTCTTTATAAGTAGTATGATAATACTTCTCAGATTCCTTGAATTGTCCACTGGCATGTCCACAATATGCTTGTTTTCCATTAATTTCCTTAAGTAAGACAACTCCCTAATAATGATCACTAGCATCTGTCTGTAAAATCCTTTTACCATCTCCAGGAATCTTTAATGGTGGAGAATTTTTAGCTATCTTTTTTAGATGATAAACAGCTTCAGTCTGTTCAGTACTCCATGGTGGAGGATTTTTTCTTAGAAGTTTTGACAAAGGTCTTGTGTATTTGGCAGCATTAAGAATAAAATCCCTAATATTATTCAAAACTTCAAGAAATTGTTGAATTTGTTTGATAGTGAGATTTTCATCAGGAAAATTTAAGAGTTCTTCAGCAATGTGAAGTTGAGGTTGATAATTTCCCCGAGAAAAATGCATTCCCAAAAAATCTATCTGGATTTGTGCTAATTGAATCTTCTTTTCTGACAATATAATCTCATAAGTATTTGCGAGATCAAAAAACTTGTTGAGAAGATCTTTATGAGATTCTTTGTCTTTTGAGAATAGCAATACATCATCTATGTAGATGAGTATACTATCAAGAATAGGTTCAAAAATTCTGATCATAACTTTCTGGAATAAAGTGCAACCTTAAGACCAAATGGTAGAACTTTCCATTAGTATTGAGTAATAGATATGCAGAAAGCAGTTTTATATCTATCAAAGGGATCAACACCAAATTGCCAAAATCCAGACTATAAATCGAACTTGGAAAATATTATGGCATCCTTGATAAGAGTGTGAAGAGAAGCAATTTTTGGGATAGGAAATTTATCATCTTTGAGAAAATGATTTAGAGGTTTGTAATCAATCACTAACCTCTTTTTTCCCCTGAGCTTTTCAGATCTCTTCTCAACATAAAATGCTTGGCATGCCCACTTTGATTTTGTTGGTTCTATCAATCCTTGACGTAGAAGTTCATTGCATTCTTATCTAACCATCTGAAGATCATTGGGACTCATTCCAGGATGAGTGACTTTAGTAGGATTGATATCTTCATTGAGTTTGAAATGAAGCTTTATAAAAAACTCTGGATTGTTCCAAATTGGATTGGGATGAGAGAAATTCTCATGACCATCTGCACATAATTGTTTTAACTTTTCCTTGATCTCAGAATATTCTTCTAGACTTTCTTCAAGAAAGTAAAGTTTTAGTACATCAGTGTAAGGCTTGAAAATTCTTTTAAACTTAATTCCCTTGGGAAGAATTTGGAGCTTTTCAGCTAAACAATATGCATCCATTCCAAGAAGTTATTAGGAAGATAACTTCTTATGACTTTCATCTAGACTATACAATCTGGGAAAAACTTAATTCCAATAGGCATTTTGGAAATTAAGTCTGTTCTGAAGAGCTTTCCATCTGCTGCTACAAAGAAAGTTAGATTTTTGGTCCAACAATCTCTTGGGAGAATATCTAGATTTATCATTGTTCTCTATGCCCCGGTATCCATATAGGCTATGGCTTTAATAGGAGTAGCATATTTGTTGGAAGGAACTTGTACTTCAACATAAGGTTGAGCTGGAGTTTGAGATATGCTTTGTATCTCCTGGGTGAAATAGAGAGGTATATATTCTTCTTCTTTACTAGAGGTTTCTGAGAAATTATCAGAGAATTCTTATATAGCAAAAACTGTATCTTGGTCTGCTTCTTTTTACTCTGAATATTGTGATTCAATATCTCTATCAACAGAATCTAATGAATTCACCAGATTTTGGGCTTTAAGGTTTTTATTTGGGCATTTTTTCGCAAAGTGACCTTTTTTTTCCCACAAATAAAACATCTCGTGCTTTTATTTTTTCCTCTCTTGTTTTTCTTCTTGAAGAACTCCATCCTCTTGTTTTATGTTGAGAAGAGATATGAAAAGCTTAGGAGAAAAAAGAGGTTAGTGATTGATTACAAACCTCTAAATGATTTTCTCAAAGATGATAAATTCCCTATCCCAAAAACTGCTTCTCTTCACACTCTTATCAAGGATGCCAGAATATTTTCCAAGTTTAATTTAAAGTCTGGATTTTGGCAACTTGGTGTTGATCCGTCTGATAGATATAAAATTGCTTTCTGCATACCTAATGCTCAGTACTAATGGAAAGTTCTACCATTTGGTCTTAAAGTTACACCTTCTTTATTCCAGAAAGCTATGACCAGAATTTTTGAACCTATTCTTGATAGTATACTCATCTACATAGATGATGTATTGCTATTCTCAAAAGACAAAGAATCTCACAAAGATTTTCTCAACAAGTTTTTTGATCTCACAAATACTTATGAGATTATGTTGTCAGAAAAGAAGATTCAATTAGCACAAACCCAGATAGATTTTTTGGGAATGCATTTTTCTCAGAAAAATTATCAACCTCAACCTCACATTGCTGAAGAACTCTTAAATTTTCCTGATGAAAATCTAACCATTAAATAAATTCAACAATTTATTGAAGTTTTGAATTATATTAGAAATTTTATTCTTAATGCTGCCAAATACACAAGTCCTTTATCAAAACTTCTAAGCAAAAATCCTCCACCATGGAGTGCTGAACAGACTGAAGTTGTTCATCATCTAAAAAAGATAGCTCAAAATCCTCCACTATTAAAGATTCCTAGAGATGGTAAAATGATTTTATAGACAGATGTCAGTGATAATTATTAGGGAGCTGTCTTACTTGAGGAAATTAATGGAAAACAAGCATATTATAGACATGCCAATAGACAATTCAAAGAATCTGAAAAACATTATCATACTACTTATAAAGAAGCTCTTGCAGTCAAAAATGGTATTCACAAATTTGATTTATATTTAAGAAGTCACAATTTTGAAGTTCAGATGGTTAATTCTTCATTTTCCGCTCTTCTTGAGTTCAAAAATAAGATGTCACCTGATCCTCAGGTTCTCAGATTAAAAAATTGGTTCTCCAGGTATGATTTTAATGTTAAATATATAAAAGGAGAAAAAAAAATATTGTCCTAAATCTTTTATCTCGTCAAAAAAACTAATTTCTATTGTAACTTCCACCCAAATCTATCCATTAATTTTTTTTCTCTCAACATTGTTGAAGCCAATACAAGTAACCCACATCTAAACAATTTTTCACTAGATTTTAATCCCAACAATAGAGTCAATCCTGAGTACATAAAAGACTTTGCCAAAAACCATATGTTCCATTACCTAGCTCTTTCTTTACATAATCATGGAGTTAAGCCTAAACCTTCTTGGTTTCATCCAAATGCTCCTTATCTGAATATCTTTGCTCTTTTAATGGATTATCTCATGATTAAAGAAGACTTATGGTATTTATGGTGTGTTTCCCTATTGTTCCATTATCTCATAATATTTTCAACTTTCAAGTTGTTTGAATTTCTTAATAATTGTCAAAATAACTCATCCTTGCTATAGAAATTCTTTACTTGGTATCAACCTATTCCTTACTGGAAAAGAGATATACAGAAAGAAATGGAGAGACTTTCTATCTGGAAGGAAATCAAGATCCCTCCTAAACAATTCCCACAACATGTGACTATTGTAATAATTCATAGACCTTATTTTCAACATCCAACAACCAAATTGTTATACACTCAAAATTAAGTCAGGTTTTGGAACACATACAAAAATTTACAGGATATTTATGATCCTACAAAGCCGCCTTTTGAGCAAGCAAATTTGATAATTCATTTACATGTCACTAATGGAGTCCGTGATCAAATGACAAAAGTAAATTCTACTTACTCCAATCTAAAACCAATGGATATCATCTATCCACCTAACCCTGATGATAAAGGTATATGGGATAAAATTCAATAAGTCACTCCATCTATTGTCTCTTCTGACTGCCAGATTGACAATTGGAAAAAAGAAGACCAAATATTTCTCTGAGTAAAGAATCTAAGTCATCCCAAGCTGATATAATTATAGATTTCTAAGATCTTTATGAATCCATTTTGGAAGAAACTGAATGGATCAGTGAAGATAACCCTAATCTCTCTCCAAATTATGAGCCTATTTTCAAGGATTGAAGGACAAATAAAAAGTCACTTTATATTTGTCAACTTTTGTAAAAGCATCTTTATGTACTATAAAGTAGCTCTGAGTGTGATCATGTACTTAAAGTAGTTTGACTTTGTTAAAGTAGCTTTATTATGTCAGAATCTTATCCAAATATTTGTCTTATTGTACTCAACTTCTCTCTAAGTTTCTTTTTTCTGAAAGCTTTGTTTATAATGACTATCCTCTAGTCCTTGACTAGAAAGAAGTATGCTCTGGACTTGTCGTCTTAAACAGATCCTATGCATCAGAAAATTTCTAGGTGAAAGATTCTATTATTACGATTCTTTTTATTATGATTTAGATAGAATGAGAAGCACGAGGATAAGAAAAATGCATATAATTTGCTCAAAAATATTAGAAAATGTTGTTGTGTTCTATTTGAGTTATGATATAAGAAACTCCCGGCCATTAAAAATTGAATACTAACAAAATTTTCTTGAAGACTAATTCTAAAATCATAAAAATTTTGCAGGAAATAAATGCAAGATGTAAAACGATCACTTTCGAATCTACACATCCATGGTTCTGGTAACCAACAGAGGAGCTGAAGAAGATGAGGCAAAATCACGGTTCTGATTCGTATGTACCATATTTTCCTCTTGAGCCTGCGCCCACATCACAGCATAAAATCCCATAGCTATTATAGCAGCTCCAATCATGCTGCACCAAAAAGCATATAAACCCAATGTTAAACAGGGTAGTCCTACATTTCAGATTTAAATTATTATTTCACAAATTTGATGTTCTTAATATCGAGTTATTTACCTTCCAAGGTAAAGACTGTCCCCCAGAAAAATTACTCCCATGCCAATTGCAATGACCATTCCTAAAGGATTGAACATAGCTACATAAATTGGTCCCTTCTTACGACATGCCCATGCGACCGCAACACTTCGGATTGATATCATAAAAATTGCCTACAAATATACCACCACAAAACTTATAATTGCTGTGTCGAAAGGTTACCAAAGTACTAGTAAAGTTTATACTTACTGAATAGCATACAGCTATCAACTCTTTATCAAACCTAAGTATCCAAGCTCTTGGATTTCCCTCTGCAACTAAAGCTACTATGGCAGATAGCGTTACCACCAAGCTGCAACAAATGGTTGTCACCAATAGCTCTTCAGGATAGTCCTTGATAAGCCAAGTCTACACATAAGTGGAAAAGCAAATAAATTCAATGATTTTGACATCATGTAGAGAAAGATTAATTTTGAGGGAAATAACTTGAAAAAATCTCATTGATAAAAAAACAACTCAATTTTTGAAATAAGATAAACTAGTCACTAAACTGCAAAGACATTGTAATGTGTGCCTTTTTAATTGTTTGTTTACCTGGACAACAAGCAAATTTGAAAGACAAAAGCTAGCAGTTGCAAGAAGAAAACCACCAAATACCCAGGCTGGTTGCACTGAGAGGTATGTTCCACTTTCACCCAATACTATATTTCGCAAGGAATTGCTAGTTAATGCTATTCCTTTATATAAAGTCACGATTAATGCCCCTGCAATGGAGACCACTGTGCCAATAATTTTTGCCTGGCTGCTATGTAATTTTAGATTAAGATTTTCCATCCTGAAAATGACATCAGAGTGTTCCCTTCAATTTCTTTTGTCTGCATATATTATAAGGATTAGAGAAGATTTCGGTAATTATAATAAGATAAGTGTTAAAATTATTCCTTTAACTAACTCCTCTGTTTTCACAACTCTAACCATTGGTTTTCCAAACGATTTAATTCGGATCTGATCAAATCGTGCATTTAGATGTGATGAGTGAATCTGAAGATTTTTTATATACATAGAAACTCTTTTGTATACACAGAAACTCAAATTTGAAACTTTATTTAAGTAATACCAAACTGTTTGTGGACCAACCTCCGTTAGTTATTTTTTGTTCTTTCTATTGTATATAAATACTCTTCCCTTCATATACCAAGATAATTCTAAATATACAATATTGAAAAGAAAAATTGAAATAATTAACTAACCATCTATTAAAATAGTAACACAGTATAATTTTTTTTATTTTATTAAGAATCAAAGTGAAATTGCATTAAACATTGTGATGGAGATAATTAGTAAAAGTTTTCATAAAAAGATATTTTTATTTCTTAACTAATAGTTTAAGGACATTTGTTAGTATTTTTCTTAAAATTAAGTAAAAAATCATTAATTAATTTTTATGAACTGTATATTTATAAAGATGATTAACTGAAATTGCAAATCTAATCACTTGTCAAGTTCCTATTAGTAGAATCCAGTAGTGAACTTGAGAAAAGGGAAATCATAGAATCACAAAAAGTAACATTATTTTCAAATGTTTAAAATTTTAATGCAAGTTATAAAACCTGGTATAGGGTGATTTACTTGTGGATAGAGTTGAAAGGAGAGAAAAATAAAAATAAAATAAAACGGGGGAAAGGATATTTAATAAAAAATTAATTATTGGAAATGAATAAATTTTAACTGAATTTAAAAGGGACTTCTTATTTAATTTAAACAAAAATAATTTAGAATTCTAAATTTATAAAAAAATAAAAGTATTAATTTTTTTTAATTAATTAGGATTATAAATTAACTATTTCTTGTCCTTTTGAGTCTTCCAAGTATAAGATTAAAGATAAAAATGAGAAAGGAAGGACTTTGGTGTCTTCAACATTTTACCCCTCGGATCCTCTTGAAAAGGGGTGCCTTTATTCAGACACCTAAAGTCTCTCTTGATTCAAAAGACAAAAAAGATAGGCAGTGCCTCAAAAAAAAATTTCTTCGTCAGATTGCATAAAGAATAAAAAACAATATAAGTTCCATCTTTTGAGTTAATTGTAACCAACGTCGGAAAGAGACATGTTTTTTAAGAAACCCTTTTTCTTAAATAATTTTTGAAGAAACCTGGATAAAAAATTCAAATGCAAGTTGGATTAAAGAAGACCTAGGCCAACAGTAATGGGAAAGGGGGAAGAGAAGAAACCTGGAAAGAACGGCAAGTATGAAGGTAAAAGCAGGGATAAGGTCATCCATAGCTGAGGATAGGGTGGGAGAGCTATATTCAATACCATTGTACTTCAACGTCTGCACTGCAGTACTACACATATACCTTAAAGTCACTCAAACCAATATCAAATTTGCCCCACAAAACCCACATATCAAAAATACATAATTGATCATGTTAATTTAATTTGGGCTACCTTTATTCATACCTGAGACAGCTAAGAAGAAACATTCTGAAAAGAATTGAGCTTGGGATTTTTGGAGGAACTCTCTTCCTATAATTTTCTTATGTGTCAACGATGAAGCGTCAAATAACAGAGAGAAAAAGTTTCACAGACAAAAAGGGTACACACCTGTAGTAGAAAAATGTAGATGGTAGAAGGAAGCAAAGAGCCAGCAGGTTTGAGTACACAATGAAAACGTAATTACTCATTCCATTGGTGTTTGCTGCCTTTATTAAGGTGTTCAATCCCACTTCTAAGAACAGACATGCAACCATTGCTGCTGTTACGCTTACTCCTACGCTCACCATTTCTCTCTGCACTTATTCTTGTTCTCTTCACTTGTAAGTTCTAATCCTCCTTTCTGGATTAGCAGGTTTAATAACTTTATTTTGGCACTCTCTTCGGAACCAATCTAGAAAAATGAATAATTTGATATGACATTTTTAAAATCGAAAAATAATTTAAAATAAACTAAAATTTGTAAAATATAATTACTTTAAATAAAAAAAAAATTTAAGTGCTGAATTTTATTGGTATTTTCTTTTTATTAATGTTTTATTTCAATAATTTACGTAACAAAATTTAATATAAAAAATAAGAACTGATTGGCAAAGTGAAACATAAAAAATACTCAAAATATTTCACTTAAGTTTATTGTAAAACAAAATCTAACAAATCCTAATCACATATCTCACGTTATTATCTTCCAATTTAACTATTTGTCAAGAAGTTGTTCAGTCTTTCAACGAAGATAAGATGATATTGAAAACTAGAATTAAAACAAAAACAATAATTCTTTTAAAATGACGGTATATATTTGAAAGAATAAAATATAATTATTAGTATTAATTAAAAAATTAGTCGAGATTGTAATAAATATGTATTTATATTTTAATCACTATAGTATCAATATTTATTTTCTAAAATAACGAGCACTTGTTCTAGAGAAGTTAGTATTATGTTGCTTTCAAAACCTGTTATTTATGTTTGGCTATGGGTAGCATTGGAGCAAGGTCTCACAAGTCAAAATAGCAATTTATAATTAATAAAAGAAAGAAACAAAAGAAAAAGTATTCTCTCTACGAACTAAATATTTAAAAATATAAGCACGAGATTCACACACTTACAAAACAATGGCAGAACCTTACAATCCTAATACTTGAACTGGCCGTCGTTGAGTGATTATATTAATATTAATTAATTTAAATTTATATTTGAATCTTTAATTTTGATAAATCATAATAAAATAAATAACCTTTTATATTTGTCTTAATTATAGTTTTGAATATTTTATAATTTTTGTTTTGTGATTTAAAAAATTTATTTAGTTAATTCTATTTAAAATAATAAAATATTTAGCTTTTTGACATAAATACAACTTTTTCAATGCAAAATTATGTATGTGTCTTACAAAATATTATTTTATGCAAATGTTGATTAAAATCGACTTTGATATTCCATTGAAGTCGATTTATTAAAGTCAATTATCGTTTTGGTCATGAGATGTCGATTAAAATCGACTTTGATATTCCATTGAAGTTAATTAAAATCGACTTTTCTATTCTAAAGGAATCGATTGAACTCGACTTTCGTTGCTCTTTTTTGGTGCAAAGAAGTCGATTATAGTTGACTTGCAGTGTAAAGGAAAAACTATTAAAATTGACTTTAGTATAAATCTGAATACGATTATAATTGACTACTTTATACACACCAAACTAGAGAGAGAACTAAGACCAGAACGAGTGAGATCAGATAAAAATGGAGACAATTGATAAAGATGGATAATGATCTATATCGACTTAATTTTTTTATTACGTTGCAAGCAGGCTATTAATATAGGTAAATTAATTTTTAAATATATTTAGTTAAATTATAATTAAATATTTTTATATTTAATTTAATATATTATTAATTCTATAATTATATTTAGAAAGATGTGTAAATATTAATTATTATATTATAAATTAATTTAAATTGTTTGTTATAATTATAATTATTATATTGAGAAATGTAAATAAAATTCTATTATATATTTTTAATAATTATGATAATTTAGTTTTGTATTGTAGTAATTTATAAATTATAATAATTTTGTTATAATGTTTTAATTTAAACCTTGTATATATTATTTTGTTATTATACACGAATCTCAAATTTTAAAAAGTAGGCATTATAATATGATAATTACTCCAAATTCAAGAATGCAATCATTTCTTAGGGAGACTGGTTTTTGGCATGACACTCATAGGTGCACTTGTAGAACGTTGGAGGCCCGAGTTACACACATTTCATCTTTGAGACAGAGAATACATGATCACTTTGGAGGGTGTTATGTTTCAGCTAGGCTTACGTGTGAATGGAGTCCCTATGAGTGGTTGCATTGAAGCGTGGAAGAAATTTTATAATCATAATATATGGGCATTGTGTGAAGATTTACTTAAAGCAGTTTTTGATAAAAGAAACATAAAATGAATTTTCATAAATCTAAAGTGGTTCACAGATACATTTGCAGCATTACCTCATAATGCTAATGGACAAACCATTATCTATTGCACTAGAGCGTACATAATAGTTCTATTTGGTGGGGTATTGTTTCAAGATTTAATGTTCATATGAAGTGACTATCTCTTTTAACTGATTTTGCTAAGATTTCAAATTATAGTTAGAGTTCTGCTGTTTTAGCATCCCTTTATCGTGAGTTTTGTTGTACAGTGAAATACAATGTCATCAAGATTGCAGGTTGTTTGCCTCTTCTACAGTCTTGGGCATGGTATAAAATACTTCAGTTAGCCCCTAGACATCATTATCCTCTCACTTTTTCACTAGCATTGAGGTACATTTATTTATCAATATATTAATTTTTGTTATTTATATATGTTAAATTTACAAGTAAAATCTAATTATGCTTATTTCAGGTGAAAAAGTTTTAAGTCATCGACGAGATCAGACACATATAAGTTATTGCGATATAGGAGGATCGTTAATTCAATTGGCATTACTGGGGTAAGTTCAAATATGGTATATGATACTAACTTTCGTTTTAAATTATTTTATTTTTTGGTTTAATATTTTTTATTGATTATTTCAGTTTAGGTGGACTCCCTACAACAACAATGATGTCAGGAACATTACACCTCATTTAGTGTATGATGAGGCTGATGTTTGGGCATCTGTGACTACTCTTATATAATTTACTGTAATTGAGTGGCATGTTGTTGATCACATGGTTCGACAATTTGGTGGAGCACAACACATACCAATCAGCCTGATAAATATTGATCAGTTGCACGTTAAGGATGGGAGGGGTGATCTAGACATACGGTGGCCTAATTATCATGTGACATGACATGTTGCATGCGAGTCATGTAGGAAGTGACGAGTTCAACATCCTCTAGCTAATGATGATAGTCTCTCTATTGAGTATTTTCAGTGGTACTGGTGAGTCGCTAATAAATTTTTGTCATTGGATGGAACCCATAGGATTGAGAGCTTAGGGACTTTCCTGATAGTGTATCATTACATGCTCCTCCAGCACCTGATATCGCACACCCTAATGACGTTTCAGATAGATGCTCTATCAGTTGTCGTTTGCGTGCAGGTATACGTGTTAGTAGACGCCAATACTCCAATGAGGCACATATACCAGCCGATCCCCTAACACACAATGTACAACCTAATGCAAAACCGTATAACCTACCTTACACCATGTATACCAACTGACACCCATATACCCCAGGCAACACTTTATGCTAGGACCTAGCCAACAACAATACATGTCAGGCCCTTCTCAGCACCAGTTCATGTCAGACCCTAGCTAACCATGTATGACCCCCAGCCAGTAGTTCATGGCAGGTCCTAGTCATCAATTCATGTCAGATTCTTTTCTTACTCTCCGTCCTATACAACATTTTGTCATAGGTCTAGCCCAGGATGATATTGCATGACATATATCTTTTAGTCTACCTTTCATGTCAGATGCTGAGGTTGCAGCTTTGCTAAATTCAACAAATAACTCTATTGTATGAACTTCAACAAATAAGTTAAAATAGCTAAACATGTGATCAATGTGCTCATCTTTTTGTAGTTGCCACCTTTTATATCGAATACCATTTGGTCCAATATCAATTGGCATCTTATAGAATATTTTTGAAACTTGTGTGTTGTTTCCCTTATATTCCTCTAATATTCAGTTTTTCAATTGTAGTAAAGTAATCGATGGAAAGATAATCAACCAAGCTTAATAGTCATTACAAAACATCTCTCCCTACACTGTGTTTATAATCTCACCATTATAATATATAAGGACATAAACATAACTCTCTGTCATCTCATTATAATTTTCATATTCAATCTAAAATTTTGTCAAAAATAATCGTACAAAGTCAAGAGTTGTATACGTTGATTTATACTGAATGTGTTAAAGTTGATATTTATTTAGGACAGAAATATATTAAAATCGACTTTTGTGTTAAGTATAAATCTATTAAAATTGACTTCTATTTGTAAAAAAGAAAAAATATATAAATACAAGTCGATTATAGTGAACTTCTATGTTACCGTACATCAAATTGTGAAGGAAAGTCGATTGAATTAATTTATTTGTATGTATAAATTTTAAAATGGTAGCAAGTTAATTCAAATAATCTTTTATTGAAGTTACTTGCAAAAATTATAAGAAAATTAGTTAAAATCAATTTCTATTAAAACAAAATCAGGACATATATGTAAACAAATTTGTAGCCTTAAATTCATTTATTTAAGTAAAAAAATCAAATATTTATTTTTTTAAACTTAATCACTTTAAAACACATGCAATACATCTTTATTTTTTATTTAAAAAATATGTCTTCATTTATAAACACAAGCATTTCTAAGAGCTATTTTTAAAAAAATATTCTTAGTATATATTTATCCTCTTCCTCATTAGGTAATTTTACTTTTTATGGTTTTAACAATATTTTATGTTTTTAAATTTGTGAAATTGATACATTATATTTATTATAATCTGAATCAATCTTAAATTAAATTTGATTTCAATATATTAATATGGTATTTTGATTTTTATATTTTCTCTTTAATTTATTGTTATTTAATATAGTACAATATTATTTTCTAATAATAAAAATATGTATCAATTTATTTAATTTTTTTGTTTATAATTTTTATTAAAAAAGTTTGTGCCATAATGAAAAAAATACAAAATTTAAAATAGTTTTTTTTCTAGCACGTGTCTAGACACAATAAAATTTTACATATAACAAATATTTAATGAAAATAGTAAAATATCACAGGATCAATAACTTTGAATGAAAATTTTGTATTTATTAATTTCACCTAACTGGATTCAAAATATGTGTAAGAATCTAAATCCTTGATGATAATACAAATCAATTAATCACTTTGTATTTAAGTGGATACAGATTGCATTTTACTCGGATTCAGTTACTTGAATTATATTTTAATGTTATCTTTATCCCAACTAAGTTGAAAGGTTTTGTTGCATTGAAGGGCTTGTATATATGTATATATAATACGAACACAGATCCAAAAGTGAAACCATTGATCTTTGATTTTAGAGAAGCCTAACTTTAGTGTTTTCCCGAGATGAGTAATGATGATCTTTGGGCGAACCTTCACTCTGATCTGTTGAATCAAATTGTTAAGTACGTACATTCTTATGAGGATTACGCTCGACTTCGTCTTGTTTGTAAATCGTGGAGTTTGACACTTGCAAGAACTCCAGAGCACAAATATCCATGGCTAGTGTCGTTACTTTCAGCTGAAGATTCTATTGAAACTCATGGTCCAATAGAGGAAGAGATTAATCAAATGAGATTGCCGCAGATGCAGGACCACTTGTTTCGTGGGTCTTGTTGTGGATTCCTAGTCATCCTTGGTTTATCTGATGGAGCATTGCATTTATTGAATCCATTTACAAAGGTTATCTATGATCTTCCCCCAATCTCAACTTTGCCGCATATAGTTGATTATTTGCCTGAAAATATTGGGAATGAATATATGATGCGGGATATGGTGAATGGCTCAACTGGAACTGTAGAGCGAATTCTTGTGAATAAAACATCGGTCTATAAGATAATTATTTCTTCCCCTCCCGATCGTGACACACATGATTTCATGGCTGTAGTTATATACGGTGATTATCGTAGATTGGGTTTCCATAGAACTGGTGATGGTGGTTGGACAGATATACCAACGGCTAAGGCACATAGGTGTGAATTTGAAGATGTTATTTTTAACGAAGGAAAGATACATGCTGTGGATTGGAAAGCTCAACTTTATGAATTTGATATGCATACGAAACCTATACCACTAGGAGGAGCTACTAAAGCCAAACCTCCCATCGGAATTCCACAATCTCGTGGCCCTACTGATTGGAACTTCAAGTATCTGGCTGGACATGGTAAGGGCAGGTTGTTAATGGTGGTGAGGCATTTTGTCTATCCTCGTGATGGTGATGATGATGCAGATGTGTATCGGACTAATACATTCAGTGTATATATGTTGACCAATAATGAAGTGTGGTCAAGAGTGTATAATCTGGAAAACTATGCCTTGGTGCTTGGATTAAATTCATCTATCTCTATGCCTTGTGCTTCTTCTTGTACCAAACCAAATCATATTTACTATACCGACAACCTATTAGAACATTATTATGTAAGCGAGGAAGGACATAAGAGACGTAGAAGGCTTCAGCTTAAGTGGTGTTGGTGGTCACTCGGTGTGTTTGATTTGGAAGGCGGTGGCAATAATCAACTTTTTTCGGCTGCACAATTCCTTCTCCCTCCTCCAGTTTGGTTGTGCTGATTATTTTTTCATTTTTAAGTTACGTTACTTTGTTATGATTAAAGCATGTTTAGAGATTATCTTATCTGCGATGTTACCTGTTACCTGTTTGTTTATCCCATGATCAACTGATGGACTTAGTGAGTGAAAATGCCTTTAAATGGTTTTTTATTTCTTTTACTATTTGCAAGTTTTGGAAATTTTATTATTTTAATAAGAAATAATAAACTGAGAACAAAGTAATTTTTAATTTTGAAAAAAAAAATGAATTGTGAACTTTAGCACAAAAAATAGATATACTTTCAACAATTATTTTTCTCGTAAACCTTCCAATTTTTTAAACTATAATATTTTATAATATATGTTCATTAATTGACATTATAGAACTTTTTATATTTTAATTTCGTTATAACTAGTGAAACTTAAACTGCAATAAACAAATTAACAAAAATATATTTCCTGTCAAGATTTTAGACTGTTATTATATTTTAAAAGATAAGTTTATATGATTTTAAATTTCAAGTCATTTGTGATATAGTTGATGTTCATTAAAATCACATTTTGTTTTTTTAATATTAGGCATTTAAATATATTAATGTAATTGATAGACAATTAAAAATTTCCTCGAACATATAAATCTTTTTCATTACCATATTTTATATCACATCTATTTTGTACCTTCTAAAATACTAGTTTCATATGACATTAACTGTGATTAAAACTAAAAGTAGACATCAATCATGCTTTTACACTGGATTCCTCTATATTTAATTTTTACTACTCTTTCTTTTCATTTTTAATTATATATTATATTATATTATATTATATTTTTATTAGTTAATTTTTATCATTTTCTTTCTTATACTCAAATTACACTTTTTAATACAGTGATAAATTATTGCCATTGAAAAAGATTATATGAGTTACTTAACATGACCCCAAAAAAGAAAATTTCTAATCAAGGTGCTTTTAGACATAGGATAAATAATTTAAAATATTTTATCAATAAAAAAGTTATGTTTTAAATAGAAAAATATAATTTTTATATATTTGAAACTCAACCTTAAACATTTAAGTTATGAAAACTATTATATTAGAAAAAAAAAGTTAATCTTAATTTCACAAGCAATTAAGCGATCAAAAGCAATTAAAAGTGATAATTTGTTAAAAAAAGTATTATTATCTTGAAAATAAAAAAAATATAATAATTTATATTTTTTATAACAACAAAAAATGAATAAATTTATGCTTTTTAATTAAAAATAATTATTTTTATATGTTTAAACTCATCTCTAATAAATTGATTTTTTTTATTTGATCTTTGAAATAAACAAAATCCACTTCTAATATATTGTTAATTTAAGTAAAATTTACAAATTTGATTTATTTATAAAAAATTAACATTAATTGTGAAATATTTAAATAAATATTGTTTAATAAAAAAAATTTTAACCCAAACAATACAACAACCGAAAAACGAAGCCAAAAAAATTGGGCTCCACATTTTATAGCCAATCCAATTTTTCAACTTCAATGTTTTTATTTTTCCTTTGATTATAATTTTTTTTATCTAAGTTATCTACTTAATTTATAATCACATGTGTTTTAAAAATTTAACTATACTTCATTTATAATCATTAACACATGTATATAAGAAATAACAAAATAAAAATAAAAATTATAAGAGATAAATACTATTTCTTCATTTTAATTTGAAGTTTAATTTTATTTAAATTTATGTTTCAAATTGTGTATACATTTTTTCTTCGATAACCTTAATTTAGGATTATATTACTCTTAATTAATCGTAATTAAGGTCAAACAGCTAACACCTTTTTCTTTGTTTGGGTCGTTTGTCGCCTATAGTTATTTTTTGGTGACATTGTTAAAAGGGGAATACAGGTCTGGATCGTGGCCCAGCCTATACATCCGGATTTAATGGGTTACTTTTTTATATGTTGTACAAAACAAAAACAATAGGCCGAGCCTAAGTCACAGGTCAGTCCATTATCCAACCAATGAAATTGAAAAAACAAAAAAAGAGTTATCAAAATGTGTTAATTCTCTTTATTTGAATTGGTTGACTTCGCCCTAAGTTCAACATTAATTATTTTAATTTAGTTGACTTACTAGGTGAGTTAAGAAAAACTCAACCTAGTCAAACTCATGGAATTTGACTTACAGGTTAACTTATTATACAGAATATATAAAAATGGTAGTTTTTTTTAAAAGAAGTTTTCTACCATTGTTTAATAGTATTTTTAGGTCACTTACACAACTAACTCTTTAAAAAAATCAGACATTTCTACCATTATCTTAACCTAACTCAGAATTTTTTTGCCATAAGTTTTTTGTTATAGTAGTAACCTGACCTGATGGTAAGTTATCCACTATAACTTTCAGGTTAGGTGATTAAGGCCATGCTAACGGTTGTAAGCTTAATTTTTTAGAATTCTACTCACCAGTTACTTGGGTTAGGTTAAGCTAATCACAAGTTGGAACCTATTTTGATGACTCTATTAAAGTTAATTACACTGACTTAAATGATTTTATATGCTTAGACAAAAAAAATAAAAATATATGAAATTATTTATATACCATCGTGCCTAACAGCGTCCCCCACGTTATGCAATGGAATGCAATGTCCACAACATGGCCGCAGAAGCTACAATTATGGTGCATCCATAATTTGATGGAGTGAGACTTTAAATTAACTTTATACTAGTTTATTAGTGACTTGAAAATGACTCAAATTATTAGCTACCTGCATTAGAATTTACTGGGAATATGTTGGCTAGTGGCCACCGAAGTAAAAAAAAGAAAAGAAAAAAAAAGGTATAATAGCGCATTTTTTCTTTAAAAAGAGTTAAAATATTATTATATATTAATTTAAAAAAATGAATAAGACAAATTAAAACTAAAAAGTAATAAAATTTAAAAATAAGGACATATTTAAAGTTAAAACAATTGCCCAGTAAACGATGGTGACATGACCGACACTTTGGTCAAGCAAAGAAGACAAAGGTGATCATATGCCTCATATTTCGCAAGGAAATGCTAAGAACAGAGAGTGATGGTGATAGAGATTGATGTGGTGATAAATGGAGGTATGTCTTTGATAACAGTATTGTGATTAGAGATCATAAAGCATAGAAGGATGTGAGTTGGATTATATTCCATAATTTATTTTTTAAGTAACTTATAAGTTTTTTAGATATGTATGTTACACGCATGAAAATCGTTATATTTATTTCAACATATTATACAATTTTTTAAGACAAAAAACTTCTTTATAATTAATTATTACTCTTTATTAGTTTTTTTTTTATATCCAATTTCAATTATATTTTGAAAACTTTTCGATTAAAAAATGTTCAGGCAAAACAATTATATTCGTTTTCTTCATATCAAGGAAATTTAAAAGATATGACCTACATATCCTAAAACAGTTACTTAACTGTGAAAGATAAACTAGCTATTTCACGTTTTTAGGTTTAGAATGTGTGTTATGATTCTTATTGAAAATAGACGTCTTGATCTCCATAATAAAGTATGTAAGAAGTAAGAACTCTAGTGTGGTAGTAACTTTTTACGCTTTTCCATGAGAGCTATAGCCTTTAGTTGCATATGTAGAACTTGAATATAATGTTATCCAAAACGTGGAACATGTAAACACTGTTCAAAGTTTCATACTATATAACCATAACGAGTTGAGATGATACATTAATCACGAAGTACCTAACTTAGCCTTTGCTTTAATATTATTTTTCTTATTTCAAGTATTTTTTTACTTCAGCGTTGAAATGTGTTGAGTACTTGCCCATTTAAAAGCACACTAGCGACCGGAGAAGATGAACAATTTTAAGGTAAATAATGTGGAACTTTAATTACCATCATACACTTCCAATCATTGTTATTTTCAGTTGTTTTATAAATTAAATGATACAGATGGTACATAATGTAAAGACACCCAAAATATTGCTCAACATATGTCTTCGGTGACAAAGTTAGCCAAAGGAAAATTGTAATAGAAATGCTTTAGAATAATGACTATGAATTTCACGTAGCAATGGTTTATAACTGTCTTGGAAAAACCAATTTTGTTCATGAAACTATAAACAGATCTGCGATGGATCACGGGACAACAACAACTTGTGGGGTTGTCAATAGAAATGAGCTGGGCAGCTTCATGTCATTCCTCTCCTAAAACCTTGGTACCTACAAGATATATAACGTACACAGAATATTGGGGTCTTCAATATGGGATTGATCCACCTAACTCTTTCGTTGAAATTCAACATTTAAATATGTCATGGCAAACTTTTGCCACGATTTTCATGCATTTCACCAGGAGCTATCTATTTTGGCTCTCCCTTAATGGTTAGACTCAGCTGGCTTATAAATGTATTTTTGCAAAATTGTCCATGACTTTAATGAAGCAATGACTTATCATTTTTTGCAAAACCAATTTGGTTCTTGAAACTACAAAAGCTGATTCTTTGTGATGAAAAGTACATCCTACAGCTTTTACATAGTTGCTTTTACTTTTAGAACCTTGTCATCAAATCTGCTTCTCGGAACTTTTGGTAAATTATACTACAGGAATCTCACGCTAGTTCTTGTGTTGTCAACGTTAACTGATTTCTTTTATTTTCGTGCATTGTAGTTAGTGCACTTACTTAATATATCACTATCTTAACACTGTCTTCCTTCAAAGATTTCCCCTCTTTACTAAATATACGCTGTGGCCCATGCTTTATTCCTATGATCCTATATATGGAAGTGGATACAAACCTTCCGTGTTTCATTGAGTAATGATTGGGGCATAAGTGATGTATGATAGTGTGCAATCTCTTATGATGAAATGACAAAGCAAATTTTGGTTTGATTTATGTAGGCACATAGATGAAAATGATTTATCTTTCAAGTCTACTTTCTTAAGGCATCCGTGTAAAAGGACTTGGTCTACTTGTAGTTGATGGTTAATATAGCCCAATCAGAACCTGTTTGTTAAGTTCTAC